TTTTTAACAGGTTAGGAAACAGGCTGAAAATTATGATTATGTCTCTTTATAGCCTGTAAACTTTAACAAGACCATTAGCAAAAAGGGTTAGCCCTGCAAAGGCTCTGAGGGGTTAGGTGTCAGATTCTACAGCAAATATTTACTGTTAAAAGAGGATAGAATGAAGGTTTTTGTCAGGAAAAAGGATATGAGGGGTATCACTTTGTCCACAGGAGGCACAAAAACCAACACCAACATAGAACTCCTTACAGGACCTTTAACTTTACTTCTGTGTCAAAGCAGTGGAGTAGTCTCATCTCATTTGCTGGAGGCCATTGTTTTGTAATGGGCTTTTATTTTTTGCACTCCTGTCTGTTTTGTCTTGATCACTGTTCAAAACATAACTGCAGTCTCTGTGAAGTCACCAAAAGATACATCATGAAAGCCCAACTTTTAGCTCATCTAAAGCAACACTAAAGTCAAGTTGAGTTGACAGACTTGCCTCTAGCCAATCAGTCACAACACAATAACCTGCATTTCAGTCAAATCAAGTCTAATTATACTTATCTCCAAACTTTAATATAATTAAAATAGGTGTTATAAAAGGATTTCAAAGGTGCTATGAATAATGAAACAAGTTTCAGAGACCAGAGCATTCATCTTATGATAAAAGAAACATTGATACTGTGCTTTTAAAAACCCATACGGGAATGATATGAGCTCATAGTTGTAGTCCTTAATTCTGGTTTCCACCATAGACTGTATATACTATGGACAACTTGGTTCTGTCTGCCGTCATGTACGAATTTGAAGCCAAATTACTCTCTGTATTTCTGGGATTTTCTCCACTTCCTGAAACCACCACTTGCGCAGTAGCGTTGTATGCATTCAGTGGAAGAGTCGCTGTGATGACTCAAATAGCTAATAACTTTTTAGAAATTGAGCTGCATTAAAAAAAAAAAACTTGAGCACAAACCAGTCTTACAGTCACGACATGTCAACATCAAAACCAGGGGGGGAGAAAAACTTATATCCTGTGTAATACATTTCTAAAGTTTGTCCAAAGCTCCACAGGGATTGCTAGAGGAGGCGGGATTCATGACCTATACTGCAGCCCGTCACCAGAGGGTGCTGTTCCCGCGGTGGCTTCACCCAGCGAGGAGGCAGACGGCGTCCATTCTATATACAGTCTATGGTTTCCACATGTCATAATAGGGCAAGGCAGACAAGGAAGGATGAGCAGCTGCTAGTGAGGCAGCTGTAGCAGTCCTCCAAAAGATGATTATTTGGCACTTTTAGAAAATGAAATTCAAAGATTTATTGTGAACTTGTGAATGTTAGAGCTTGTGCCTCTTCCAGTTTCTCACCAACTGAACCTTTATTATTTAAAACTATTCTTACGATTCAGAATAAAAGCATGAAAGCCTTTTTTCAGAGACAATGTCTTCTCCAAGGCAGTTTCAGTCACATCATGGCTGGTGATTTGGATGAATCATTTATTTGAACGTCATTAGAAATGGGTGATGACATGTTTGTTGATTTAATCTAGTGGTTAAGAAGAGTTGCTCCAGCCTTATCTGGTGTTTCTTACTTTGACTGTGTTGTTTTACTCTTAAATTTGATTAAAAAAATATCAGGATAAAATAGTTATCATAAGATTTTATGGTCTTCATAATGCTGAGGTAAAAATCTGACATTGTTACAGCCCTGACAGAGACCAAAACAGTCCAAGACTGTTGATATCTTACATGTTACATATTTTTTGATAAGTGGACAGCTTTTTCATTCTTGCATTGGCTCAGTTTTTTAATGCGAGAAGTTATTGTTTGGTTTTAATACAACTATATATTTTTTTGTCTTATATTACTGAAATAGTTCACTATAAGCATTGATAGAGATGCTGAGATGCTGATGCAAATTTTTATTTCAACTGATGTGGAAATATGATCAAAAGACGAGAAAGAGGTAAAAGTGCTTTAAAAGTATATTTTCGTAAATGTAAAGGTGAAAGCAGGTGTTAAGAAAATCAAATGCCAATACAAAAAAAAAATGTGACAACACTTTTTTTTGTTTAAAAGCTGCTTCTCGGTTAAAAAAAAAGGCTCCCCACCTCTGATGAGATGTTTAACAGCAACACAACCAGCATTTCACACATCTTCATGATCTCATGTTAAATATAGTCACTCGCAATTCATAACATTTGACCAAAGCAAACCTGCTGCAAAAAAAACCTTTAGATACTAAATCTGCAGCAATTCACAAGAACCTGAGCACACTCTCTTCTGCAGGGTTTCCACCCTTTCCAGGACACCAAAAAAAGGTACAGAAAGATCATTGTCATTTAATACCGCTCTTGGTGATTCAACTTGACAGCACTTGTGTGGAGTTGTTTTTTAACACCCCCGAGTCAAGTAACAGGATGTTTGTGCTGAAATCCAGCCGTATAACACCTTGTTGGTGGCTCTGCTGCAGCCGGGGTGTTACAAACGCAGTAAGACGTCACTTTGTATTCCAAAGAAGCGTCCACTGAACCAGAGAGCATATGGTGAATGGAGGAAAGCAGACAGCATACCATTAGCCCTCAAAAGAAAGGGTCCTCGAGGGGTCATTTGTGGTTAAGAGTTTTGTTTCTTCCCAATTTACTTCAGCTCACATCCACAGCTTCATCTCATCTACACCCGAGGGGCACAGCTGACATTTTAATTGCTGAAAAACTGCCTTTAATTCTCAGAGAAATGTCAACTGCACCAGCTTGGCTGTCAAAAACTGGACTTTAAAAATGTTATCGATACACTTCTTCCACTCTTCCTCCTCGTCTTCCACTCACAGTTACACTATCATCATAGTCGGCCTCTTTAGCAGCCCTGAGGCGAAGCAGTGAGGTGAAACAGGCCGTTTAGGAGGCACGTTGGGAGTCTGGTCACACATCAGGGATGGAAAAAAAAATCATGAATGATTTGCATCCAAGATAAAACAGTTGCAGGGGAGCGAGCACGCATGGAGCCTGTGTATTTTAAATATGGGCAGCTTCAGATTTCATGCCTCTGGGCTCCATGAAAAATTCAGGAGCTTGGATATAATGTTTGTTTTTTGTGGCTTGTAACCCACAGCAGATTAATTGATAGGATATTGATTTTTTTTTTCCTTTATAAGCAAACAAAACAAAGACTGTGCTCGGCTTATGTCTGGAGAACATATTAGAATAGACTCACTGGGGTGTCTCATACTCTCTGAATAAAAAACTTATTACATGCAAACAGGAAAAACGATAATAGACTCCATGCCAGCAGCACCTGAGCGCATCATTTCTTGCAGATTGCTTCTCCTGACAAAATCAGTCAGAGCATCTGCAAAATGAGACTTCTTTAGCATCACTAGAGCATAAAAAGATATGCAGAAACAAAACCAATCAGATTTTTAATAACTAGGGGACTGGATTGGTTTGCACGTTGCAAAAATATGGCCATAGTGATTGATGTCTGTTGCAACATCAGGGTCAAAAATCAACAAAAAAGGCAGAGTTAAACATTGTTGATCCACACAAGCTGCTTATATTGAGATCAGATATAAACAAAAGGCCCTCCAAAGTTAATTTTAGGAAGTCTCACAGTCATGGAAGTGTTAATGATGTGATCTTTAAAAGGGCATGTGTGTGGTTTTTTTATTAATCTAGTTTGATTTCTGTGGAGTTCTTGCCAATTATCAAACATTTTCTCGCCTCAGCACAGTGTGAGTCGTCAAAGCTATTATCCATGCATCAGCAAACATTTTTACTGAGGCTAAATATGGAAAACAAAATGTCAACTGGAAGTCTGCATCATTAGAAAGCCTCTCCTAACAGATTCTGTGTCCACTCAAATCAATTACCAAATGCAGGCCTCCAAGAACAACAAAAAAGAAGAGGTGTAACGAAAGATAGAGGTACAAAGATGATGAGAGAAAAGTGAAAATGATCTTACTTTGACTGTCAAACTTCCTGATGATGGTGTCCAGGAAGGTGTTCTGCGGAGCCACATGGCCCCTCCGGACCGGCATCTTCGCTGTGTCAGCTCCTGGACTTTAAGAGACTTTGCCGGACTTTTTTGATATCTCACCGAGACTCCAGTCCCCGCAGCCGAGCGCACGATGCTCACTGCGCTCCCCGCATGGAGACCAAAACACTTGACAGGTTCAGTGACGGTAATCCGGGGGCCAAAGTTTTCCTAAATTGCTCAGATAAACGACAGGCGAGTGGTGGATCTCCAGGAGAAAACACTGAGAAGAGAGTTCTGGAAAGGAGGCGCACCGTACGCACGGCAGAGCTGAGCCGTTTCCAGCCTCCACTTTCCAGGCTGAGAGGATCGAGTGTGTCTGTTTCTGTGCCCCTAGGGGAGGGCAGCCTGTCAGGTGATATTTCTTCCCGGTCTCACACTCACTGGAGCACAGCAGACCTCTCATCATGCGCTGCAACCGGCTCCTGTGAGGCGGACAGGGCGAGCTTTCTGACGAGCGTCGTTGGAGCCATAGTTGGGGCGCTGAGCTGCGCGTTTGTTATTTGTTTCTCATTCCAGCTCCTCTTCCTGCCTCTGGGCGTCTGTGGATTTCACTGTGGAGAGAAGTAACACACTGATGGTTACAAAGAAACCAGCAGAGCAGATCAGCAGCTTCACTCGTCCTAGATGCGTGTTTTTTGGAGGTGTTCTCTGTATCTCTCCTCCTCCTCGCTGTGCGCTCTGCCGGATGACTTCAGCTCCACCAGTTTCTAGCTGCGCCTCTTTTAACCCTTTGCTCAACAGGAGCTCAGCTGCTCACTTCTTATTGTAGAGGAAGAGCTATATGCGCTCTTACACACCCAAATTTTTTTTACACCCAAAAGGATAACTTTCATTTGAACCCAGTTTTCCAAAAGTGGTGCCCACGGAATCCGAGAAAAAAAACGTTTCTGAGTGAGGTAGCCTAATTACAAATTTCCCTTTGATAAAAACTGATCTTTTGTCCCTTCGTGGCCTAATTAGCCTCCAAATATTAAACACAGGGCAACACAAATTATCCGGATGGCAGCATGGGATGAGTAGAAGATGGAGCATGCATACTGCTCTATCACACACTTCCTCTATTAAAAAAAACAGTCTGGCTTTTAGGGAGAGATCATCTCAAGCATGCACAGAGTGCTCTGCTCTGTGCAAAAAATACCATGTTCCTGACCCACTTAGAAGGAGGATTTACCTGCACTCAGATGAAGCGTCTCTCTGTGTTTGAAGACTTGCAGCTGACCCAGAATCAGCGCACCTAATGCAAATAATTGCAGGAAATGCGGTTGTGATGCTGCTTTGGAGTCTTTCAGGGTTGGATGGGGATTCTCCACTCAGACTGCTCAGTTACGTCACACCGTCGGGGTTCCCCCCTTCCGTCATGCTGGAGATGATGCCTTCATGGACTGTTGGAAATTGTGGATAACGCGTGGATGATTGACCACGTTCAATAAAGGCTGTAATGCATGTTCTTGAGGGTTTCTGCTCGTATTTTCTAACCAAATTAGAGGCTTTTTAAAAGACAAACAAAGAAAGATTTATCTCTGTTTTATGCAGCAGGTGATGCATTTTATATCCAAAGTGAAAAAGCTTTTTTGCTGATCTTGAAAGTGACTTTACAAGCGTTGTCACCCCTTACAATCATGCAATCTTTGTATTTTGTAGATTGAAAAAAAAAAAGAGTTGACAGGAGTTTCTGTTTGTAAAAATGGAAGAGCTTCCTCATTATGCATCATAGAAGCTTCTTGTCCTCCGAGGCCACCGTCACTCCTGTGACAGAAAGGGTAAACAAGGAAGGGTCTCAGTCAAGATTATAAGAAAGAAGATTAGGGCCACATGAAGAGAAAAAACAATATTTACAGGAAGGGGATTAAAATCGGAATTTCGAGATTAAAGAGGTGAAATTTCGAGATTACAGTCAAAATTTCGAGATTACAAAATGTCGTATGTTGTGAATAATGTCGGAATTTCAAGATTCACAAATCAAAATTTTGGGATAAAAGTTGAAATTTCGATTCTAATCACGAAATTTATTTTTTTTTTTCATTTCGACTTTATCTCAAAATTTTGACTTTAATCTCAAAATGGAAATGAAAAAAATTTCCCTCCTGTAATTATCATTTTTATCTTCTTGTGGCTCAAATCCTCTTTTGTAAGATTCTGACAGCGAGATATCTCTAAATATTCCTATTTCCACATACTGGCCCATATGAGCCCACAGCTAGATACACTTTTCTGTTTAGACAATAGCAGAAAATAGATGTAGGACAGCATCTGAAAGCTTCAGTGATTACAAAATGAGTATGAAATAAGTTTAGACTGTGTTTGTTAAAAACTACTAAGGTAAGCAGACAAGCAATGCATTCTGTAGAAACTGAATAACTGAGCCACATGCTTCTGTCAGTCTCCTTTTTTTCTGACTGCACTTGAAAGCATCAGCTGACAAAGCTCCTCTCCTGCATGTCTGTCAGCCTCTGACTCTCAGTGTCCCTTTTATTCCATTAAAATAACATCTTACATCCATCTGCAGGACGTAATAGGCTTTGACTGAGTCTGATTTTTTTCTTTCTTCTGTCAGATCCATGCCTGAAGCAGCTCTACTGCTCTGACTTCATTTCTCAAAATGACCTGCATGAATGCAGACTCTCCTTTGAAAAAATCTGTGTTTTAATGATTGATCAGACGTGATGAATTACAGTTCTAGAGTTGGATGAGTTTAAAGGAGCCATCCATCAAAATCTGATCATTTGATATGAATTAAAAATGCTCCAGTTCCTTCTCATATCAGATCCAGCGGTGTTTACTACAGCAGCCGAGAGTCAGAGGAGGCGTGCTGCTCTGCCATCCCCTCTCAACTCCCTTATTTAGGCAGGAAGAGACAGAGGGAGGAGGGGAGGAGGTAGGTGGGAAGGAGGGAGGGAGGACGCAGACAAGGATAAATGAGACAGATCCCAGCCTGTCAAACTCTCTTTGTATCACCAGTAAGCACTCAGATAAACAGATACAGGGATGGATATCGATGCTTGAGGAGCTCTTAATGTTTTTATCTCACACATTAATAATGAAGCGTCTACAGCTCCTTCATTCTGACTCATCTGTTAAAAGCCAAACCTTCTAATAATCATTTAAAGTTCAGCCGCAAATCAGATCAGCCATTAGATTCTGTAGAACTTAACATAACAAGTGAATTTTCTGTGGGAAACTTTTCTGAATGTTCGCAGTCGTTTATTCCGTGCAAAAATAAATCAAAGCAAATGCCAACACTTTCATCTTTGGAATAAATACCACCCACAAAATTGCATCATTAATTCAAAACTTAGCTGGTATCTGGTTCCTCTGAAACGGCAGAGTTTAAACTTTGTTTTGTAGTTGAATCTGAAGGACAGGGGGATTGTTAGGGAGCTTAACAACAAATAATTAAAGCTGGTGGGAAAAGATGTAGAGGCAACTGAGTTGTTGGTGGTTTAAGGGGATTGTCAAGAAAAGTTGATTGAGTAACTCAGGAGAGTTTTACAAAGAGTAGACTGAGGCTGGTGTCAGTGCACTAAGAGTCACCACATGAAGATGACTCCAGGAAAAGGGGCCACAACTGCCACAAGCCGACCTTCTCCTGAACCGAAGCCAACGTTAAAGGAGTGTTTCTGAGGAGAAGAAGAACCACACTGTTGATAAAAAGGTCTTACATCCACTTACTAGCTGAAAATCAATTTTGCATTTCATTTGGATGTCAAGGTCCCAGAGAGAAAAGGAAGGAAAGCGGAGAAGCACAAAATACAAGATGTTTTTCAAGACCTGAGTGAAGTTTCTGCAGTCCCTGTGCCATTTTATATGCTGCTGTTTGTTCCCTATGTTTTTATCAAGCTCTATATCAACACAGCAGTCTATCAGAAGATCTCCAGGCACTATATGCTTCCATCAGCTGACAAGCTTGATAAATACACTAATTTCCTTTTCAAGCAGGACTGAGCACCTGCCCACAGAGCCAAAAACACCACCAAATGATCTACTGATCATGATACCCCTATGTTAAACTGACCAGCCAGATATGCTGAAATAAGAATCTGGTATTTTTATGAGGAAGATGAGAAAAATTCACACAAAACTCATGGACATGCCTGTTAAAAGGAAGTGCTTCCTTGCCACTGTCACTCATGTTAGATGAGATGGGTCAAATTGGTCCCATCTTAAGGTTGGGTCTTGGTAATTCATCAAACAATGTGTGTGGTCTAGACCTGCTCTTTTTTGGGGAGCGTCTTGGGATAACAACTATTGTGAATTGGTGCTATATAAATAAAATTTGATTGATTGATTGATTGATTGACAGACACTATCAAAGAATCCTGTGATTCAGTCATACCTCAGCATGGCTACAGGCTGATCACCTCCATACCATGACACACTGATGCAGTGATTTATGGTTAAGGGGCCCCAAGCATACACTGATTGTATTTTAAGACTAGTTTTCTAATACTCTAATTATTCGAGATACTGAATTTCATGAGCTGCAAGACAAAAGCTTGATATTTGTTATTGTACATGTTACTAATATAGAATATATGAAAGTTGACCTCTTTAATCACGGGGTGAAACGAAGTGAACATTTTACATTATACTTTGTTAAGATGTACCTTTTTATAATGATCCTTTCATTAAAGTTTTTCTAATAAATTGAAACAGACAAGTTCACAATGAGGTTAAATGTGGCGTAACCACTTCAAGAAAGAGTCTCTTACTTGGTCAAATTAATGTGTTATAAAGTTTCCCTTTTTATTTCTTGATGTAAGTTTAAAAGAGAAAGAAAGTTTTGTCTTAAGTTTAAAGTTTGGATAGTCACTAGAAGTATCTGGCAGAATAAAAACTCTAACACAGACTGAAGAATATAGAAATACTTTAATTAACAGTCCACTGAAGCTACCAAGAGAAAATCTAACCAGAAGACTGCTGGTACATAAACAATTCTTTAAACATACAATCCAAACATATTTTGATGCATCTTAGAAATCACTTATAAAATATCATAGGTCCTTTAATAATATTACTATAAATACACAAAAGAAAAAAGCTGTACAGGCTGAAGGATAAACAACTTTTCAGAATAGAAACTTCACTACAAGCAGTAACATCCAGTCATATGATGACTAAGGACTAAAGAACAATGTGTACATCAACAGGACTTCTTCACTCTTCCACTCATCGCTCCATTCTTTGGTCTGTCCATCCCAAAGATCCCCATCCATCATCCAGCTGGAGATCTTGCTCGGCTCATTCTGCTCACAGTCTCTGCAGTGCCACACACATTCACACACTTTCACACTCAGACACATTCAGTTCACAGACCCACTCAACACACTCGCTCAGCGTCTGGACAGGTCACCTCCTGTGAGGAAGAGAAACAGCGAGACTGATGGAATCATAACTTCATGGTTAGCATGAATCAGGAAGAAAAATGCTGCCGCTGCAGGAGAGACGAAATTGACTATCTGTGGAGCATCTTAACAGCAGGACTTGATATATCCTTCTGTGTGGGAGTTTCTATATTGAAACCGGGCAAAAGAATCATAACAGAATCAAATGCATGAGAAGTGTTAAAGCGTGCATTTATAACACCAAACAGCTGTTAAAAGAGAAACTTGCAGGCTGGAGACTCAAGTGAATCAATGTGCAGGAAAATGATTCACAAAGTTGATTTTCTGGAGCTATTTTTGTAAGTGTTCATGGGAAAAATAGGCGCAGTTTGCCGGGTAACACTCGTCTATCTGCTCCCTTCTCCCACCAGATTATCTGCAGAGGTGATGGATGACACAAAAGATAAAAGTACAGATGGCCAAGGAGGGAAACTCATAGCTATTAATAGAATACAAAATTTTTCTCCCTACAAAAGCTAACATCGTCAACATGAGCAGAATCAGGTTTTTAATGTAGATGTTAGGGTTGTTACTTCCACAGGACTCATTGGCATTGACAGCTCAGAGCATGAAACCTGAGAGTAATCACACCTGTAAAGTGAGGGACAGCACAGTGTTTTTGTAAAACACTAACAGAGTCTAAGGCTAAACCTGCTCATTTACAGTTTTTTATATGGACTTCTACTCTCTCTGTTTGCAAAGAAAATTCCTGTTCAAACCAGAGGTGTTTCTGACCACATCTGTCCCCCCTATAATGTAGAAATGGCTAAAAAAACAGGCCCAAAACCAGGTCAAACCAGTAGGAGGTGATAACGTGTTTGGAATAGAATCAATTACCTTCACTGTCTAAATGAATCAAGCTGATACCTCAAAAACCACTGAGACCACTCAAGTAATTATAAGGCTTTTATTCCACTATTTGCTGATTAATTGGAAAATACAGATAATGTATTAAAAACGAACCTGGTCTATTGGGGCTGTAAACAAACACTGAGAGGCGATGGTGGAAAAAAGAAGGTATTACTAGACAGAAACTACTGTCTTGTTGCCTCTTGATCCTCATTAAAACTTTATACAGCTTGACAGGCTGTTCAATAAAAGAATTAACACACTTGAGGTTGTGTTGTTGCTCTGTAAATTGACACTGGCACGATTGTCTTTTCCTGCAAACACGTGTCTTTCACTAAATCACAGCAGCACTGATTTTCAGAGCAGTGTCTGAAGTTGCTCTTCATGTAATTTTTCCATCCTTATGATCTTGTCCATTACAGTCTTGTGTTTATAGAGTGTGTGTAGATGATACTTTGTGCAAAAGTGTGTGTTTGTGTGTATCCACACACTATCAAAGATTGATTGCTGTATCGACCGAAGCCGTCAGACGTGATGTCCGAGTGTGTGTAGTGCTGGAGGAGAATATGAGTGGGGGGATGTTCTGTGTGTCCTGTGTGGCTCCATCCAATTAACTAACGCAATCAGCCATGTTGATGAATGGATTAGCGCATAATTGCTTCAGAGGTGGGATCCTTGATTGAATTATTCATGGTGAGCAAAGGCAAACGTATGTTTCGCTGTGATTACGCTGGATGTGCCTGTGTGAATTTGTGTAAGTGTATGTATGTCAGTGACTCTGTGTGTGTTTGTGTTTGTGTGACTGTGTCAGCTTAGTGTTAATGGAAAGTGACTATAACAATGTAACAGGTAATTTAAAATAGAAAAAAATAACAACCTCATTTATTTTAGAGTTGAAGTGCTGAGCTAACCCCAAGCCCTGCTGCCACCTGATGTGTCACCTGCGCTGCATGTTCATGGTTTTCTGCATCAGTGGAAAAACATAACAAGCTGCACTCTGTCGTGACCAGAATGACCACAGTCATGTTTGAACACCTGCTGTGACATCGGGCACTGGGGTGTGGCCCAAACCTTCAACAGGCCTAAAGGTTGCAGCTAAAAATAAGCAGAGTCCTGTTCTTTAGAGGTGAGCGACAGAGCTGATGTAAAAGATTAATCTGATACTGGGATTATTCAGTTTTTAAAACTGCTTTCACGTTGATTTTAAGCTCCTCACAGAACAAGAACGCCTCAGTGATATCACCCATTTGTGTCGAGAGAGGAGTTTTGAAGCCTATCAGTAGCAGAATTTCTTGATCCAAATAAAAATTTGAGAGATTAGAAAATCTGAATCCACTGTTTATATGGCTGCAAAATCAAATAATCCAATCATGACGTGTGTATACATGCACCAAGTTTTATTCAGATTAGAAGCATTTGGACATGCCGAGCTGTATTTACGCCTGTGCTGTCAGCAAAAGTGGCTCACTTTGTCCAATTCAGGATTTTACCCCTTGTTGAATATTGTCACTAGATGGCGCCCTTGCATACTTATTTTACTGTTCTGTCAAAAGTTGCACTGTGCGTGCAGATGTGACATCATTACGCTTTATGTAGGCCTTGTTATGTTATTGGAGGAGCAGACACGGCACCTACGTTTGTGTTTTATGCCGGAGTGTTGATAATGCAACCTCCTGAACTGGCCTCAGTAAATAAGACAAAGGCTTAAGAGTAAAGACTGAGTCAGGTAAGAGAGTCATGATAGCAACGAGTGTTTATATGGATGTGTTTCGGAATAATGATCGGCATCAACCACCCCTCTAGATCGGAATACAATTTCCTTCTGATTGAGTAAAATCGGTCAGAATCTTCAGAATCTTTGATCAACATGTTTACATGATGCATTTTTATTCAGATCGGGCATTTATTCCGATTACTTGCGCCCATGTAAACGCAGCTAGAGATGGTCATCATATTGGAAAGGATGACTTAACCTTACTGGAGGGTGACCAAGAAAGACTAAGAGGTGAATGTACCTTTTTGTCATTGAAATCAGTGGTCTTTTTTTGTTTTTATTTTGTACAGTTTCAGTTCATTATGTCATATATATCTTGTTTTTATTCCACTTTTATGTCCTCTAATTTCTGAGAAAACATTCATTCCTATTTGGTGATTTCAGTGACTTTAACTCAATATTTCTTTTCTCTTGAAATGCTTTATTGACAGTAGTTTTACTGCCTCTGTGATTTGAACTCAATATTATTGTAAATGAGGGTAACCCTTCGCTGATTTCTGGAGTATAAATAAAGATTGAATGAAAATGACACTCAACAAACTGCAGATTTGAACACTTCTGCATCAGCTTCATTTGTCAAGACTTTGGGATTCTTCTTGATCATTATTTGGGACTTATTGAAATAGGCTATTTTTCTTTGAAATCTTTTTATTGGCTAAAATGTTTTACACACTACGTCAAGGGCTGTTTCCTCTGTGAGAGGTGAGGAAAAAAAGGGGTATCATGATAAATGCCAACCTGATATATTCATGATAAGCTTTTGGGCATAAATTTCCCGTCACCAAATTCACAAGTACCTGTGCCCTCAAGCCTGTCCTGCATTTTAAATTTTACAGATATCTGGGGGGGCATTTTTGCACTTAATTGACAAGAAAGCCTCAAAGTGATGAGAAATGTGGAGAAGGGTGAAAGGTTTCGACCAGACATGATCACTGCAGGGCTTGGAAATTGATCCTACAACCAGTGCAACAGGGACGAGGGCATCATGAGGAACCTGCCCTGGAGCATATGCTGCTTCATCGCCTATTCAAACTGTAGTAAAACCAGAGTTTACAGAAAAAACAACATGCTGTGTTGAAGAAGACCTGAGGATTGCTTTTGGGACACTAAACTCATGAGGAAATAAATCAAATGATACACTGGTGTAATTTCAAGCACTCATTGATTTTCTGCGTCCTGGGGGGCTCTGAGCCATGATGCTGATGGCAGTTCTGAATTGACTGCATATGCATATTACTTTCATGGTTTGCAGCCCGCTGATAATGTGCTGTGTTTCTCAAGATGGCCTTGGCCGCTTGTGATCCCTCTGAGATGACAGTAAAATAATAACATGTTAGAGTATTTTAATCTCACTGGGATTCTGGCTGCTTGTAACATCAGTGATAGGATCTGCATATCAGCAAATTAACACCTACTATGATGTTGAATCTTAAGTCATGTCCTCCTTTTAAAACCAAGGAGATAAATTCTCTTATGTTCAACAGCTTAGCATAAAAGGGATATTCTGGCGTAAATTTAAGTTATGGTTAAACACATTGTAAAACCGAGTTAGACACCCCCTCGAGAGATGAATGTTGCCAACAGCTTTCTTCTCACAGCAGTCTATGTTTCCGCGTGCAAACCTCAAGAAAAAAGCCACTCTTAGCCACAAATAATGCTCAGAACAGCACCTAACTTCATCAACAGTACATATAGGGTCCCAGCTATAGTATTAGCCACCAAACATCTTTTTAGCTTTGCCTGGTTTATTTAGCAAAGAGGCTAAGCACAACTCACCCAATCTCCTCCAGCAGCCGCTTGTTTGTGGTTGAGCCCTATTTGTGACTTTTTGGTTGAGTTAGACCGCTGTGTATTGCTATCATGTGGTCGTTACTTAAGTTGGTATAACTAGAGAAGTAAGCAGTTGGCAACATTCATCTCTTGAGGGGGGTCTAACACAAAGTTACGGTGTTTGAACTTACATTTACACCGGAATATCCCTTTAAGTATACAATTAAAGCAACTACTTGTTTTAAAATTTCATGTTAAGGGCAGGGGAATCATATACTGACCTTCATTAGTTAATCAACCTTGAAGAAAAAGGTGCAGTTCTGTATTTTGTCAGGTGTTTTCACTGAATTCACTGACACTTGTAATGATGTTATCCTATGAGAATAGCTGTAAACATTGCCCCTATAGATGTGCCTGTATTTTTTTTTTTCAGACCTATTCCCCATTTTTCTCATTTTGAGAACATACAGAGCACATCCATGTCATGTCTCTGAGTCTGCTGGGAGCCTGAGGTATGTGCAAACATGTATACTCTGCAGACAATTTTACATTTATTTAAATTCTGCCTGCTCACAATGACATGAGGAATGCACATGCAAATCCTCACGGCCACATTCATTATTTCCCACCTTGGCAGCTGGTGCACTCGCAGCTGTGGATGACGGGTAGGACGACCGGCTCGCTTTCTCCGCTCTCACACTGCAGGCTGAGGAAACGGACCGGGTTGTCAGGGTCCAATCGGTAACTACAGCACTCACACACTGACTGCAGGTAGGGTTCCTGCAGAGACATAAGGTGGGAGAGAAGAGGGGATGAAATGATGGAGAAAGATAAGTAAAGACAGGGAGGAGGAGGAGGAGGCGGGTGTAAGAAGAGCCAGAGGGATAAGGTGGTGTGAGCCAATTAGGAGAATGGAATATGCTGGTTAGGGGGTGAAACTCAAGGTAAAGAGGTTGTAAGAAAATAATGGAGACGGAGAGAAGAGGAAGTAGAGAAAAGAGAGAAAAGCAAAGAAGAGGAGGAATGTGAAATTAAATTAGGAAGTGTGAGAGTAACAGCAGGCAAGGGAAGAAATAAGAACCTGCCAACCTGCTATGAAACCAGAATATGAGATGATATATACTGCAGTCTACATTCTTGCATACAGAGAGGCTCTTTAAAGAAAGAAACACCTGCAAGACATCAGCTGACATTAAAATAAATGAATTTCCTGTGCTGTATCCCAAACATTGGGGACACCACAGTATGCTGCCTTTAACTACATAACAGATGGGGCAGGTTTGTGTAGGCTAAAAAAAAAAAACGGTTGCACATTTAACAGCTGGACACCTGAATTCTGGGCCAAAAAGAGATTTTGTTTTTTTTATTCTAAAAAAGAAGAATAAGGGGGAAAAAAAAAAATTCAAGTCCTAACACAACTATCACATCTTTCCAAGGTTGATTCAAAGACGATCTGCAACTGAGAGGATGTAATTTCACAAAAAGATTTTTTAAAGCAGTGTTGAAAGATTTTCATAGCGGTTTGCTTCATCCTTCCACAGCACCTGAGCTGTACAGCTGTGGTCCAAAAACAACATTTAGCCACAACTTTTCATCTGTTTCTGTCAGACCATCTATATCCCTGACGTCTAGATTTATACAGTTACTCTGTGAATGCATACGTGTAACAATGTGTGAGTGGTTGCCCGAGCAACATTCCTGTTCTAGGTTTTTATTTTCTTAATGGTTTAATGTTTGATTGCTGTGAGGTGTGTTTGGTGTATGATGGATCGATTGATTTTATTTCTGTATTACTATGATTATTTCTTCTGTGTTTTTATCCTTGATTCAAAATACATTGTGACGAAATATGCTTTGAAAATAAAATTGCTATAGCTCTTTTAGCTCTTTGTGTTAATGTTCATTTGCTTGGACTAGCACAATTAGCGTGAATTAGCTACATTTCAGGTACTTCCACAAAATGGAAAAAAAAATGTCACAGTTTCAGGACATACAACATGATAGTATACAGGACACCACATGCACAGAAATGTAGTTTTACATAAAACATAGACACTACTGTTACATTGTGAATGATAGAGCCACGCACAATAAGCTGGTTAAAATGAAAGATCAGCCCAAAGCCCTCAAGAACGTCATGAAGAAACGAGTGTAAAAATGTATTAAAGAATTTTTGAGTGTTTTTTTTAAGGTGACGAGGTTTGTTCCAGAATGTAAATCTTTGTTTTTATCTAGACAATATCATATAGCCTATTTAAAACATAAAAAATGAAAAACGTTAACATCATCAATGTTTTAAATATTAACCTTGCATGTTATGTTGAAGCAATGGAAAAGAGGAGGTTTTCTGTTTCCCTAGAAAACTGTTTCCCTTTCCAAACTTGTTTTTACAAGGTTTAGCTGAAATCAAATCTGACATAAGCACATAATTTTTTAGAAATTCATATAATGTTCATAGATTCATATCAGGGTCAACTTTTTGAGTTTACTAGTACTCTAAAGGAGCTTCTTTGGAATTACAATTGAATTAAAAAGATGACTAATCTAGCTCGTAACACTCCCATCAACAGGTAATATTTATGGCCCCTGACGCATGAATGTTTATTTGTTTTACTGAAATAGTGGGACCTCCTCTATTAAGAGCCCTTTATTTACACCCGCAGAGAGTTTAAAAAAGCCCCTCAAAGCTCAAAAACCTTTTTGGGCACAACTTTAAGAATCACATATGGTTATATATCTTTTTTACTCTTCAAAAGTGAAACCCAGCCTCAGTAGTTTCAATAACAGAAGGCTGCCTCTTTAAAATATATTTCACAGGTTCAATTAGTCTGGGAAAAGAACCAAGTAGGAGGTTGTGGAAAAGCACAATGTGTACTTGCAAAGCATGATGGATGATAGAGGGAGGTCAGAGGAAGGTGGCGGTCCAGAATCACAAAGTCAAAACACCTCCAGCTTCGAAACAGCGGGTATTATTAGTCGAACACTTTGAAAAGTACATAGTGTGTGTGTGTGTGCCTGCATGCACCACTAAATACTTCAGCAGGTGGTGTCGAAAGAACATGTGATTTATCTGAATTAATTGCTGCTGCCCCCAGTCTTCAGCTGATCAATCAAAAGGAAACTTCTCAGCGCTGCCTAGTTGTCAGATACAAACCCTGGTTGCCACAGTAACGGGAGGTAACGACACATTTGGCCGAGTTGATGTTTATTTTTGCTTATCTGACTGGCCCTGTTTTTAAAATGGAGATTTATTGAAACCAAAGATAAACAAAGTCACCATGGCGATGAAGTAATGAAGAGAAAAAGACAAAAAAGGAGACAAGAGGAGAAAAGAATCACTCACATGTGACCCCTGCAACCAGACTCATGCTCAGAACATCTATATTTAGATCACTGGTGACTCAACTGCTGAATTATGTATTTTTGTTTACCTGCCTTCATGTCATCTATGTGAAAGGTTCTTTAACTGTAACTTAAGTTGACACCAGTCAGAGACTGTTAGCTTTTACCTACAGGTGTCTGAGTGGTCTGTGTTCATCTGGAAAATGCAAGATTAAAGCTGATTTACAGGCTGTAACAGGCCACATGTTTAAGTTCATTTTGTTCTGGAAAATTCTATTATCAGACTGATGCTGGAGGGATGTACTGTGGTTGAGATTAATGAGTTGGTGAGCTGTGATGTGACTATAAAGCAAGGATCCCTCATGTTACAAAGGTAGCTCTTTTTTAATCTGTTTATAACAGTGAGGAACCTTATCGGCCCAGAAGGAGATGATGTACAAAGTTTCCAATGTAAATTATCTAAAGGACAGAGCTGCTCTCTTTCTGGGTAAATTATTCTACACGCTGTAAACTCTGAGAAAACCAAGAGTCTGCACAGGTAGAATAAGTAATGGACAAAAACTTGCTCAATCCTGCTTCAGTCGGTGCTGTATGATCAGGAACATTAACTGCACTTGTAAATGAGACAGTTCTCTTTCTTTTGAGGTCTCTCTGATGGAAAATGGTCCCAAAGAAGACTTATTTTACTTGCTTTCACCTCTTATTATTTCAGTCTGGGACACCTGCGGAGTAGCTTTGCATGATCTGCAGCTCAAAAAGAGATCCCTATTTATCTGTGCGTGCTAACCAGGACAAATAAGCCACTGCCTGTAACACTTTGATTCATTAAATGACAACTAACCATGTCTTCTTGGAAAATGTCTGAGGCCAGTTGATATCACCCACCGAGCTTTCCATTATACCTGCTATTGTTGAATTATCTACAGTTTTGTGACTTGTGGCTCTGAGCCTTTATAGATGGAAAACTCCAGCTGAGATGTGAATCTGTCTGGTACATGGCCTTTGTGTACAAAGGAGTCAGCAGTGATGTGGCGAGCACAAACAGCTGCACTGTGGCTGTTGATGTCCTGAAAGTATAAAAACTTCACATTGTCTCCTGCTGCCTTAAGAAAAATAAATAGCTGTGACCCTTTTCCTTTTTGACCAAGAGAAAAAAACTTCTGAGCAACTATCTGATTCAACAAAGTACAGCACAAAGGAAAAAACTGAACAGTGAAACTCCCAGGTGAGGCTGTCCTTTCACATTGTCCTTTTACAATTGCAGAGCCAGATATCAGGTCCAGGCCTGGGACAAGCTGTTCAGGGAACCAGGAAAATACATCCAGGAAAGATGCCAACATTATAGAGAAAGTACACCCTTATAGGTTTAATACGAACAGTAAACATGGTAACATCATGTTACACGCCTAAAGGTCTCCTCTATCTGTCCTCCTGAGCGGTGATTTCCACTGTGTTCACCCTAGACCACAACCCACAGTTCCTCTGTTTCTCTTTCAAGTACCAACTATTTTAACTTTGCGTCATTCCCAATCCTGTTAGCTATCTGTACAGTAGTTGAGCTCAGTCTGAGCTATCTCTGATAGTTCTGAGGCACTGCCATGACCAATTCACCTGAAATTGTGTCACCTACCTCCACTTAAAACTTGTCTGAAAGTTTGAACTCTTTCCAATCAAACCTGCACTCCACGAAGGTCCTTTTAGAAAGAGGTGCTGCCAAGATAGTATGTGCCAAACTATACACCAGCAAACCCTGGCTACTTGCACCCTATATTTGTATATATGCATCAGGTAAGAGTAACACATTGAAATTTACACAGCAAACGTCCATACACAAAGAGAATGGAGAAAACCTAAATCCACTTTTTGCTTGCTTTTGTTATGCAAACAAGCTTGTTTTGTTCTATTCGTTTACAAGACAATAGATCACTGATTAATATATCAATTAATTAGCTAATTGCATCATTCAAATATTAAAAAGACTCCATTCTTTCCATCCGATCATTACAGTTTAAAAGCTGTATGCTGTGCAAAACTCAGTTTTTTTGGAAAACAGAAAATAACAACACCCTCTTTTTCAGGAACACACTCAATTCATTATCTCTGATTGAGGACAAAGGACTTACATTTTTTAGAGCAAGCAGCTGCAATGATCAGCCTTGTCGAATTTGCTTTGTTGGTTTTGCTCCAGGGGAGGTACGACAGAAAATTTGACAACACAATAAAACCTGTGGTGATAATCAAGTCTATTTTGTTTCATAGTGTGAGGACATTGGTTAAAACGGCAAGCTTTGTCGGAATATGAAAGAACAAATGAGTTTCATTACTTTTTTGGCACTTTTCACTGCCTGTTTATAAGTCTGAGAAATGGTTTGCTTATAATGGTGTATTAAATCTAAACTGTAGAGTCTGAAACTGCATGAAATTGACTGAGTGAATAAATCACAATCAGCAGCATTTAAGCTGATTTCCTTTGGTCCACTTTGTTTCCTGTATGGATTTCTATTGTGTTAACAGTTGTCTCTAATGCTGAAGTCAACACCAGTCTATGTTGGCTTATATTTAGACTGTAATATCTTCATTGTGAGTGTATATACAGTACGTCTCTTTTTTCCATACCTCCAGGATGACATCAGTCCTGGACAGACAGCGTCCCCTGCAGAAGCTGACCTCCACGTTGTCAAGTCGACAGTCTCCCTTGGTGATGTTCCTGACCTGTACGTACCGACGACACTCAGGTACGGGCTCGCCTGCCAGAAACACAGGGCGGAGGCAGAGGAGAGAGGGAAGGGGAAATCGTTGAATTCAGACTGTGAGAACTCAAGGCCAAAAACTGGAGAAAGTTTCATTTTAGTCTTTTGTGTTTGCATGAAAAGGGAAGAAAAAGACAAAGGCAGAGTAAGAGCCAGAGACTTCTTTCCAGAGAGCGCAGTGACATTGCCAGACTTCGTTGCAGCATGTGACATTTCCTCCACTGGGAAACAGATTAAAGCCCCAGTGTAGGTTCTGCAATGTAATCTCACACTAATTGGGAACTGCAGCACTTGGCTTTTAGCGTCCTTTATAATGAACTATATAACACACAGAGATTCAAAGTAGTGATTGGAGGATACATGGAACACAGGAGACTGCTGTGAGATTCTCATATGCATAAGATACAGTGCATGCTTTACATTAAGACTTTTTATTAGATCACTGTAATTAGAACACTGTATTAGATCACAGTATGACAATGTATTCAAAATGCTGCTACAGAAATCCTGCCAAAGAAACAAAAAAATAGGACAAAGTTACTCCAATCCTCCAATTACCCAGAGGATTACTTTGAAAATCTCTGCTTCTGAGTAAAAGTCTACTAGTGACTCAGCGTCCAAACTCATCTCTGACATGCTTGGCATATCTGGGACCCGGAGGGCCGTCCCAAGAGTTAGAACAAAACTAGAGAAGCAGGATTTTGTTATGAAGAAGGACAAAACTGGAAGAAACTCCCAGATGATTTCAGACTAACCTCAACGCCATCCACCTTTCGCTCTGAGGTAAAAATGTTCCATCTTTATTCTGCCAAGTGTCAACTTTACTTACATACTGCCAAAAAGTTTCATGCTATTTTTTTTCACATTTGTTGGATAGAAGAACTGAAGATAGACAGATAGATAGATAGATAAATAAATGTGGGGAGTAAAGGGCAGGGGAAGACATATAGAAAGGGGTGATGGCCAGAAGTTAAACCAGTGACTCTCGCAACAGGGGGCTTTTGTCTCTGTGCATGGGGTGGGTCCTCAAAGTCAAGCCAAATGGGCACAAAGCTACATCTTTATCATTCTGAACCATGCTCCTTTGCACCTCTAATGAACTCTATAAATAATTTTATTACTTCGACTGAAAATCTGTCTTTCATTTCATTTGCCTACCTTCAGTTGTTCCATTAGTTTTATGCAACCATGGATGAAAATGCATTATTATATAACATGGCAGTGAGAGAGATGAGATACAAAAAGATCATGTCATAGTCATGAATCTGGCTTGAAGATGAAGACGCTCACATCTTAAAGTATGACAGTGTAGCTTTTGTGTATCATATTCTTTGTTTTGATCAAATTTAATATTTAATTCTACCTCAAACATAAACAGTCACCAAGAAGGTTTTACACCAGTTTTCTTTCCTGTGTTGTTACTAACCTGGAAACTGCTTTCTACAGATTGGACAGCAGCTGCCTGGTTCCTCCACCTTGACCTCCCCCTGAAGGAGAGATAACCCAGATAACATGGAGGTGCCTGTTAAATATTTCTTCAGTCAAAGGCATAAAGGAATATTATTTGGACCATGACGACTTCAAAAATAAAAAAATAAAAACATTTCTTTGGACAATCACAGTGAGCAAACATTGATTTAACAGCAAACTTTTCCTGAAACAGCAACCAAACTTAGTGTCTGAGCAATCATTTCATCAATGCACAAACATCAGACACAGCAGAGGAAAAGATGGTGTTTTCCAAAAGGCAGCAACTCTGCAGTATCTTTCACTTCTCTAAAACCCATTTGGGATACTTTGAGAACATTTTATCTGCTTTTTTGCTGAAAAGGCAGATCCGACTAAAGAAAGGTGAAAAACCTTCATTTCTAAAACCTTTATGTACTGTACAATTTCCAGTTAGTTTGAGAGGCCCCTTTGGACTAAATGGCATTTTTCTCCATTTAGAAATAGGACACTTTCTGTCATTTAGGTTTCTGCATCTTCCCACTGCAAAAAATGGTGCTCTGCCTTTTGGTACTGCAGATGAAATTTCCTATATTGGATGAAGAATGGCAAAAAGACAGCTATTTCTAGGTACAACTAAGTCCGTAGTGGTCACAGTTTGTACCCATACTTTGTATAAGCAGGATCAGGCCCCAAACAGCCATAATTAAACAGTAGTAGTTGTCTGGGATGTCTGTGCATTGTTTCATGGTAATCAGGATGGATGTTGAGACATTTGAATGGAGAGAAAAAAGAGGTGAACTGTGTATAAAATCAATTTTAAAAAATACACTGGCATCATGGCAAAAAAGGCTACGGTTCATGAGATGTACTAATTTTTATAATTTGTCAAACAAGAGTAAAAATTGAAGTATTCATGAGATCCAGCACAGTAGAGAGCAGAATAAAAGAAGGGCACAGAGACACACTATCACACTCACTTAACAGGAAGGGAAAAGAGCAGGAATTAAAAAGACAAAAAGTCACATTTAGACCAAAAATAGCGAGAGAGGGAGACAGTGACATAAGGACGCGGAGGACACAGACAGAGGCAGCAAAGTACTGGAGCAGAGAGAGATCCAAAACAGTCCAAAGACCGGCAGTGTGTCCCGTGGTGTTCCCGTCTGAGAATAGCTGCTGCTAGCATGCAAACTCTGACACCTACAGAAAAACACTTTTCCTAACCAGTCACCCTCAGGACTTGTCCTCCCACTCCTCACACCGCCCCGAGCCACCCCTCAGGGAAGGGAGGAGCTCTCTCATTTGAAGAGTGGGCGGTCACAAAGGAACCACTTTGAAGTGCTTTAAGTTAAGATGCTTTTGGTGTCTGAGTGTCTGTGTGATGCAGAAGGAAAAACAGATTCCTGATAAGTTAAAAGGAAAGGATACTTGGTATTACAGGTGAAGAGCAGTCTAATGTGTGTTAAGGACATGCTATGAATCATTTCTATAAAGGCGCTGAGCAAACAAAAGACACAAGAAGTCAGTGTTTGAGAGGGATTACAATGAAGTATCTACCACATGGCCTCTAAAGTCTTCTACAACCTGTGCACAAAGAACAGAAGGAGATAAAAACAGGAACATCGTGGGAGTAATCAGGTAGGTTATCAGTGGTATTATTAACGAGTCAGGCCTAAAACATTGTTATTATAAACAGATCTGATAAACTCCACAAAGAAACTTCAGTATTGGATTAGCTAATGCTCGCCCTCTGACAGCAAATAACATGGATTTCACTGATTGCAGCAGCTGATACTCGTCTGTTGCCTCAATGAAATAATGACAAGATGGTGAGCCCCATTTTTAAACTTCCTGAAGGGAACTTTGGTGAACAAAAACACACTTACTGGAGCTCAGTGTTAGTTTTTAATTACCCATCATATTATGACATTTTTCTTTTGATCGCATTGCTGTTCTAGTGATCGGCACATTTGTCTCAATGGTAACATGAGATTATTTTAAGTTTTTGAAAGTTAAAAGGTTTTTGATGGATGTGCAATTACTGAAAATGTTGTCGCCTGGGGGTCTGATTCACAAACAGATTGCGTGTGTCCACTAAACCTCTGCAAACAAGACAAAAGACATTGTCTAATGAACAAAGCACACACAAAAGCTTAAATTTGCTCCACAGACTCTACTGCAGAACATGTAATTTCTCTGGGTGCCAGTGTCCCTTTAACTGAGCCATGATGCAGCAGGAGCAAATCTTGCCCCTTTCTGTGCAAATGAACCTCACTGCAAAAATAGCTAGCACACAAACCATGGTGCTGTTGATCCCACACAGTTAAAGGGACATTTTTACCATGCTGAGAGTCGCATTCGTACAGCAGTTTCACACTCAAACTCTTCTGTGTAGTGATGTTATGAGATGTGCCGAGGCTTCGGAGCGTGTGTCGAGTAATGCAGGGGGCGTTTCCGCGAAGCGTGTATCGAGGCTTGCTTCATCTAGGGGTGGAGCCAAAAATGATGACCAGGTTATTGTTTAGGGAAGTGGTTTGGATTTTGCTGTGAGGTTTCACAGCTATATAGACCCCTCAGGCTCCATTCAAATGTGGGTTGTTGAAGGAGAGTTGCAGTCCGTCGAGAGTTTGGATAGAGTTTGAAGAGTTTGGATACTAGAGTTTGGATAGTGTTTGGATAGTTTGGAGACAGTTTAGATAATTTGGAGATCGTTGAGATAGTTTGGAGATAGTTTGGAGAGTTTAGGGAGAGAGAGAGATTTAGGAGAGTAGGAGAGGTGATACTATGTAGCCAGAGAGGAAGAGGAGGATTTCCCCTGTGTGGGAACACTTTGATTTGATAACTCCTAACAAGGTATGCTAAATCCAACATTATTACAGATGCATAATTTTTGCTTATCAAGAAATATATTTCACGGTTTCTAATTTTATTCAAAGGCGAGCTGTTTATTGTGTTCTAAGGAGTTGGGGTACAATAACAACATCTCATCCATGCTAAGGCATTACCGTGCCTTGCATGAGAATAAGGAGGAAACTGTGGTGAGACGCCTCTTCTTCCTGTTTTATTTTGGTTTAACTTCCCATTTTCCTTGTGTTCCTTGTCTGGCTTGACTGTTGTTTCAGTGCACTTTCCCTTCCCCCGGTCACTGAGGCTGAGAGAGACTCCACACCTGCGCTGCATTGGCAATCAAGCCCCTTGAAGATGCCAGCAGTCCTCAGTCCTCAGTCTCAGCGCCTGAGTATTGTCTTCACTCCTGAGTGGTACAGATGCTTCTCCTGGCCTTCTCTCCCAGATATTTACTTGTGACTTTTTGCTCCCTGTGATCCCTTGTATGTCTTCTCACCTCCTTCTCCTCTGTTTCTCCACAGTGTCTCCAGCCCACACAACAGCCAGCCAGCAAACCGGACTTTCTTCCTTGTCTTTTTTTCCCAGAGTTGGAAATACATCTTTAATTTGCTATCTGCCTCTGTGTCTGCTTCTGGGTCCACAAGATACGCCACAGGAACTGGAGCTTCATCTAGCCAAGGTAAGTCATAACAATATTACAAAAACACTATCAAAATTTTTCCATGTTTACTTTTGTTTATTGTGCAAATAAAGACAAGTAACACTGTATTTATGATGCCCTGGTCTCCATGATAGTGAAGGACACACAGCCCTTCAGCATTGTGGAAGATGTTGGATTTAGGGCATTTGTGTCCAAATTGGATCCTAAGTATGTTATCCCTATCAGGCAGGTATGTATAGGTGCATGCATGAAACAAATGAGTACTTAATTGTATGCCTAACAATTCAAACAGATTAAGTATTTTATATATTTTCCATTAGGCTCTGAAGGCCATGGTGGAGGCCAAGTATGAGGCAGCGAAGGAGAAGGCTAAGGCTAAAGTTGAAAAGGTGGCTGCTGTTAGCCTAACCTCTGACATGTGGACATCCATCAACATGGATGCCTACCTGGCTGTAACATGCCATTTTGTGGATGGAAAAAGCCAGGCTCAGCTCAGTGCTGTTTGAGGTGCAAGTATTCCCCCAATCACACACTGCTGAAAACATAGCTTGTGTGAAAGCCTCCCTGATGGAGGAATGGGGAATCACCAATAAGGTAACATGTATGGTTACTGATGGTGCTCCCAATATGGTTGCGTGTGGGAAAGAGCTGAAGCTTTGGCACCATATTGGTATTGCACATGCCCTCAATCTGATGCCCCGTGCTTTCCGGCATCCGGGCTAAAGAAAGGAAGCTAGTTGGCTTCTTTAGAAGCATCACCACTGCTAAGGTATGGTCATTCCCTTTATTCCAATTTATAATAACATCAATAGTTGTGTTCTTTCTGCAGCTATCTAATGGCCTACTCATCTGTGTCTTTAAAGGAGAAGCCTACACAAGTGCAGTTTCAGCTGGAGATGGCAACAATGAAGCTAATACAAGAAGTGGAGACCAGATGTAATAGCACTTTTGATGCTGCAACGTTTGGTGGAGCGAAGGGAGCCAGTTGGAGCAGCGTTGGCTGGGCTTCAACACGATATGCACATGATCACATCAGATGAGTTCAACATTGTTGGACGGTGCCTTTCGTTGCTGTCTCCCTTTTTATGATGCCACTGTCAACCGAAGAAAATGTGTCTGCCTCCAAAGTTGTCCCCCCTGATGAAAATGCTGGTGCAAAACCTTCAGGAGTAAATGACAAAGCCAGCACCTGCAGTGGCATCGGAAATGGAGACCAGCTCATCAGGCAGCTATGGGAGAAGCTTTATACTTTGCAGTCAATGAGCATCATGTCCCTTGCTACACTCCTGGACCCCCGATTTTAAGGTTATGGGATTTTCTTTACTGAAGCAGTAAAGCGACTGACATCAGAGTGTGCTGACGTTGTAAGGGCACAACAAAGCAGAGAGGAAATTCCCGAGGCCTCTACCTCTCATGATGTCACTGGAGGTAATCTGTTACTTTACATTTCGACATCATTTATTCCTATAAGAACACTTACTAACATGATCTGTGGTTTCCTCTTAGGTGGCAAATTGTGGCATCATTTGGACACCAGCATCATGGAGGCAAGAAGGTGTCAAAATGTTACAGCAGATGCCACTGTGGAGGTCCAGCGGTACCTTTCAGAACCACACATAGGATGACTGGAAAACCCTCTGGAGTACTGGGAGAGGCAAAAAATTCTGTACCCAAATTTACACAAACTTGCACTTGCCTTTTTGTGCACACCGGCATCTTCTGTGCCTTGTGAGGGGGTCTTCTCTAAGGCCGGAGAAATTGTGTTTAAAAAAAAAAAAAAGAGATTGTTTCACAAGTCTGTGATGCTTAAATATCGTGATGCCCGGCTGTTTAAATCTCCGACCTTTGCTGAATTCATGAGCATCATGAATTCAGCTAAGAGATGTCATATGTGAAGTGTTCTCAGCACGCAGAACTGAGCTGGACACATATCTCGCCATTATTTCTGATTCAATAAATCAAAATGATAAATAAGTAGATCAATAGATTTATGTTCAAGAGAGAGATGCAGCAGATGATGATACTGTGGAAACAGAGTCAGCTCCCCGCGAAACGTGGGCATGCTCATCTTGTTCAAAGCCTATGGTTCAGTACATGCAAGAACCTTATCCTATAATATCCCCTGTTCACACCTTTTAACTGTGCCCTAAAACTGTGGCTACAGGCCAACCAACAAGCTTCTTCTAAGCCTACAACTTGGCAAAACCAAGTTACTGCAGGGACAGTTATCTAAAAAAGCAGCACGCCCAAGATCCACCCGCCTTGTAAAAAAAGAGGAATACAGCTGTTTACTCTATCAAATATCCCTGAGCTGGGGAAGGAAATGGCAAAGCATCCCAACTGCTGTTGTGAATTATTTGATAACAGGACTGGTTCAGGGGTTCCTAGCAGGTTTGGTGGCCAGCCACTGGCCAGCAAGCAAGAGCCTCTCTCTGCCACCGAAGAAGGGAAACCTATATCCAGATCATGGTTTCTGCTCACCTCTGCCTGCTCTGCCAATCCTGCTTGCTCCCACCCGAGCGCGACTCTACCCATAGATGCAGCTGCAACGGCATCCTCCATTGTCCCCGTCTCAACACTCAAGGCTACGGTCAACCGTTCTCATCAGCCTATGAACGATACCTCAGGCCTGAGGCTCAAGAAATGCTTATGCTCAATTAACTAGTACTTTGACACCAGTACTTTGAAAAATGCTGCTGCGCCATAATTCTGTCCCATATATATTGTATTCTTAAGCATATTCCCAACAGGCTGCTTCAATAAGACAAAAAGACTCTAGCTGGTCCATCACACCGCTGAAGTGCACTCACTGGGACTCAGACCACCATTATCAGAAAAATGCTGCTGCACCATAACTCTGTCCCATATATATTGTATTCTTAAGCATATTCCCAATTATAAATGTGTGTATGGATGAAATTAATCCTGTTCCACGATCATGTTTGAGGGTACCCTATACTACACAAGCTTTGGAGGTGGGTAGGTTGCTTCATAATTTCTCGCTGCTGGCTGCTGCTCTCCCTCCCCTGTAGGGGCTTTCATGTAGCTCATGAAGCTGGGGAGGGTTGCCTGGTATGGTTGTTCTGGGGGGAGGGGGGGCTTTTCGTATTTATTTGCTGCTGCCTTGGCTTTCATGTTTTCATGCACATGAAAAGGAGGGGAGGAGCTCTGCCCTCTTATAGCCGGGCATTGTACAGTTGTTTTGGGGGATTTTAATTTATTTATCTTAATTGTATTTATTTTGCTGCCTTGGCTCTCATGTATGCACATGAAAGGGAAGGGAGGAGCTCTCCCCTCTTAGAGCCACTCCGTGCAAGCGCATGGAAGGGCAGGGAACCCTCAGAACAGAGCCATGCTGCCAAAGTAAAAATGTTTGCTTGTAATAAATAATTAATTTTGACTAAAGTGAATTTCCTCTCTTGACGACTGGAAATGATACAATCTGTTAATATTACTTTTATTGACAATAGGGGATCAAATCAACCTGAGGGTTGTGTATTTTTTTTTTTTTTTTGCGTTGTGGGCTGAGAAAGCGCTGCTCTGCACACTCCTCTTAATGCTAGCTTGCAGCCTAACACTGCCGGTGTAGTAGAAGTGTCAGGTAACATGGGAGCTATTTAGCTCTGAGACACTAATATCTTTTGGGACATGATGAAAATTAATATCATTATTAGTTTTCTTACGAGCATTGCAATCTGATAACGCACACATTTGTTCCACAATCGTCCTCTCTACTTCTCCGAGTCTGGCCTGCAAAGTGGGGCTCCAGGGGCGGAGCTTGGATTTGTGACATAGAAAATCTTACTGTTTCTGAACCTGCCATTTGGGTCTGCCAGAGACTCACAGCGATTTGAATGCAGAAATACTCTGAAATGCAATTTCGCACTTATTTTTTCATGATATATCATGTAGCATCAAAAAAATGCCATATGAACGTGTAAAAAACCTGATTTTCATCATAGTGGGTCTTTAACAAAACTGAGCTGCTTTGTGAAACGTGAAATCTGTAATGCATTGACTCCACAGTAATATGGTACAAACTTTCCCTTTGTCCTGCTCATTAGATTTGAAGATTGAATTAAGGGCTGTCAGGATGAGAGCGCACAGTGCAGCTCTGCACATTAGAGGCTGGAGCTGCTTCAAAGTCATTTCAATCACAAATAAGACCAAACTGTATTAAGTTGTAGATATTTGTGGTGACTTCTTTAATGCCCCTATGTTCTGTGAAGTAAACCTTCAGCAGGTAGCAGGTAAAAATGTCAAATCTTGTACAATTCTTGATGCAAATAGTGGCCACAATCCATTCTCACAGAATTCACTGCAGTGTTTTAATTTGTAAAGCAGCCAAGGAAGTTTTGAAAACTGTTTTTCCAATAAAGAATCTCTTTTTAGTGAAAGAAGGTAACATTTTTATTTGTTTTGAAAAGTTGCTTACTCAAATATAGTAAAATAAGGGCCTAAACGACTTTGACAGTGTTCCCTAATGTTTTCATAATGGAGATTAGATTGGGGGAGATTTAATGACAACAATAAAAGAGCAACTGTTTATTAAATAAAAAAAACGAAAAAGCAGCATTATTGTTTTTTAACAACCAAGAGAGTATCTCCGCAGACTTTCAAACTGTGTCCTTTCTTCAGCACATATAGTACAGTACACTTTAAAAGAGGCTCCCAGATGTGGAATGAGGCAAGTTTGGAAATATGCTGAGAGGAAAGGGTATTTATGGCCCTCACATTTTGTCCAAGAAATAGAGTTGTTTCACTGATGTATGACTTCATGCAGCTGCTGAAAGCAGGGGGTTTGAGACCGCAAGTCGTGCATCAGTGTAAAGACCTGTGTTCACCACAGGAGAACCAGTCAGTAGAGTGGCTACTGTGAGGAGCCTACCGTGCAATCAACCTCTCCTTTAAAGTCCTGGATGTCAGCAGAATTTATTTTTACTCTGGCCTTTATTCAGCACCACTGTGCTAAGGATATAAATTCAGTTTTCTGTGTCAAGGATGAGACAGACTTTCTACTGTGACTTTCCTCAGCTCCATCTCATAGGAGAAATGTTTTCTTTCCAGAAGCTAAGTTTGCCTCTTTTTTGGGTGGACTTTTTTTCATGAGTATTTAGACAGATATGCAAGACAATTTTCCCACTTGACTTCCCTGAACTGAGCAAAGCAGATGGTTTTGCTTCAATTTACCCAAGTTTGAGAGGAGAAGCAACTTTTTCTTACTAACTTATGGTTTTGAGTCTGGGAGGTAATTTAGTTATTTTTATATGCCCGAGGTTTGAGATTTCAGTTTTTCTTTCTGCCTTGACTTCATCAGTGATCTATGAAGGGAAATGTTACAGACTTCACTTGCCTTAAAAAAGTAGTGTCCTCTGCATCTTACCAAGATGGACAACCATATCAGTGCATTATTTTTCTACACCATAAAACTCAAAAACACATTAACATAATTGGGTACATTTCAGGGCTGGACGATAAACTGAAAATTTACCAATACTGAAATTTACAACAATAACCAATGCCATTTTGCCCATATTTGTATATTTGGTGTCAAAAAATTAAATAAAAGTTGGTTTTGGATGTGTGTAGGTAGGCTATGGTCTCGTGTCACTTTAAGATGCTGTCCTACGTCGGAGATGTGACTCCACCCCATCCAGTCCGTAACAAAGAGGGAAAGACAGGTGAGGAGATGGAGGACGGTTCAAAAGTTTTAGTGGCTGGAGTGGGGGCCTGAAGTAGATGAAGTTAATGTGGGAGGGGCTGAGCAGCTTGTGGAGTGGTAATCATCCATTCATCATTATCGAGGTGAACTGCTCAATATATTGTGATATTGGTTTGAGGCCATATTGCCCAGCCCTAGTAGGTTTATAACATTACTCCTTACAATAAAAACTGAATTTATCCAATGAAAACAAGTAAAATTCAAAAGAACTGACCTTTAAAATTGAGGTGTAGTTAAATATTTGAAGCAGAGAGAGAAGAAGCATTCAGGACCTACCTCACTTTTCTTACAAAACTCAAGAAAGCAGCCCCATTGTTATAAATACTTTCAACACTGAAACCGTCACACAGTCCCTATATTTTTCTATAAGAGGCTCAGACAAAGATTCTTCTCTTCTGAGTCACCAAAAGTTTAAATGATCTAAATTATCTATAAAGAGTGCAAGAAGTGGTTCCATTTACTGTCTTCTTCATCTGCCTCTTATTGCACAGCACACATGCATTATTAAAACTAAACTCTGCCTCTGCAGCGAGATGACCAGTTTCTGACAACTCATAGACCCATGACTACAAGATGAAGGCTGAGTCAACTTTTTTCTGTGAAGAGGATGTCATCAGCAATTACAAGCCTGCACTGGTTTATGTAGTCTCTGATGCATGATAAAACAATTACCCAGACCATATGCTAAATGTCACTGCATTACAAACTAAACTTATTATAAATTAGACGTATGCAGGAATCTGATAAAGTCTTTCGGTGAACTTCAGAATTTTGTGGCATTTATCAACATTTGCTGACTTTACATGAGTGGAACACCAAGGAGCACAAACTCATATCCCTTTTCATTGGTCTGTTGGGGCTTTTGGCCATTTGAATTGCAAACTGTGTCGCATATAGAGATGAAAATAGTCAATAAATCTATCTAATGATCGATCAAACCTAGCTGGACTCTTGAGTTATTAATAAAAGTATCTGCTCACTTTAAAAGAAAAGCCAAACATTTTATGGTTTTGCAGTATCTCTTTGTGCATCTGTGTATACTCCAGTACAAAATGATAAGAGTTATACAACTGGAATTATAGTTTTCAGCATTTTTACACAAAAAACACTTCACTTCAGCTCTGAAACATGCAGGAAATCCAAGATCAAACTAATTAAAAAAGCTCCTGTGAGAGATTGTAACTTCACTTTAAATCCTACAGTATTTGCCTCTACCTTCCCTTAAAGTAGATGCTGACATGCAAAACATTAACATGTTGAAAAAAACTACTTATCGGATGTTTTCCAACTAAAACTGGACTTTTGATATATATGTGAACATATTAGTCTGACTAAAACATCTATTTTTCCTTGCACATATACACTAACCAAAGCCAGAGCTGCTTTTTAGAGACAAAATATGATAGCCACTTTTTTCCAGAACAGCTTTCAGCTTTGCAGAAGACCAGGTGTGTTACAATGCCTTAAAACACAAGTTTCCAGGAGGAGGAAACCAGGTTTCAGTGTTGTAATGGAAGGTAGAGGCTTCATAAGAAAGTGTGAAGGCTTGTGGGAGGTCAGTAGCCAGGTATTGATCTACTTCAGCCAGTCGCTGGGAGAAAACATCCCACACATTCTATGGGGAGCAGAGCGTTTTCTCCCTCGCTCAGAGTAATTGAGACCTTTTTGCACAACAGAGACACTTTGTGAACTGTATGAGTGTGCAGTAGCCCTGGTGGCTGAATGGATTGATGTGAGTGCGGTTAACTGGTTCAGCCTCTTTATGTGAATCTTTATCCTCTCTGTTTATTAGTGTTCAGTCATACCTGCAGAAGAGGCTTCAGAGTCTGTATTTTGGTGTTTTTTGTTTTTTTTTTTGTTTTGTTTTTTTTTAAACTTGGGTGCATTCTTTAAAATTCAAACCCCCCCAAAAACATGAAGCGAAAATACAAAATATGATTTCACTGACTATGGCTTTTCTTCTAAAGTAAGGCTGTCTACTACTAAAAATATACTGCTTGGTTTTAGCAACTTTTGTACTAAGTCCTTGCAGTGCCCAGCTTTTTGTCAAGCTCCTAACAGGTGACCATCAGCACAAGTCTCCCCGTCTTCTCCAGTCTGTCTGCCTACTACAAAAGAAAACGACAAATGTAATAATTCATCAACTTTGACCATGCTGTCTGTGGTCTTGACCTCATTTGAGTGTTTCAATCTCAATGCTGCAAGGAAAGGGACTGCGAGTGAGATTGTTAAACCAGACTCTGTACTGCAGTAATGCACAGGTTTGCAAAGAGAAGGCTGATTGACCATCTTTCTTTTCGCGATATACTGCATGACATTAACTCAATCTTTAAAGTTAGAGCCACACTTAAACCTTTCTGATTCCTCCCCTAAAAATCTGGTAACACAGAGACGCCAAGTCATTTGTAATCTGCCTGACCAGGCTTTCATTCTGCTTCAAATTGGTAAAGTTCTCCTTTTAACCAACTGCCAGTGATGTCTGTGGAAACCCTGATATAAGTCAGAGCCTCATTAGTAGCAACACAGTCGATAATGTTGCTTAATATGTTTGTGTAAGTTATCAGGGGTTGTTTACTCAGACCCTCACATCTTTAAAAGGTGAAAGACTTAGGTTATCCAATTTGCTGTAAGAAACAGGATTAGCATTAGATTTCTCTGCAAACATCTAGCAATGACAGGACACACCTGGAGTTTACCTAAAATTAAGCGACATATCATCAAAGCAAGAAGATGTATATGCACAAACTTGATCTTTAAATCAGTGTTTAGTGTCAGTGTGTGTTTCTCACCTCGTCACAGTGGAGTGGTGGACATCTTAACTGGCACAGCTTTTTCCCGTTCACGCAGCGACATGACAGACAGCCTTCATCCCACTCTGATCCTGCCTATTACACACAAAAAACACACAAATATCACACCAGCTCACTGTTCAATAGCAGATAAAATGATAATTCCTCAACAATTTGTTGGATTCTTTGAAAAAGGGATCCTAAATTTAAGATCTATTATATCCAAAAAGGCTCAGGCCATACTCTTAGGCATAATTTGGGTTAAAGAGGGCTGAAATGATGCTGTAATTACCACCACACATTATAAATACTTAAATAATAGAGTGCATTAAGTGTGAGTAAGTGTGTTTGCCTGTGTGTGTGTGTCTGTCGGCTAAAGGAACCATTAACGAAGCTTGGTTTTTTACATATGAAAACACCCACTCAGGGGTGCTTTTGTGGCTCACTGAGCCATTAGACATTAAAGTCATGAGGTAGTTGATAAGGAAACCATAGAGGGTCTTTAAATGGACATTAGTCACCAACAGCAGACAGACACATGGAAAAAAAATACAAAGTAGATGGACAGAAATGAAGAAGCAAGAATAAAAATCGATGAGTGAGAGGGGTGGAGGCTGGAGGAAAAATGATGAAAAAGAGAAAGGGGATGGGAAAAGTGAGTTAATGAACATGAACCCTGTGAAATAAGAAGAAAGACTAATGAGAGATAAAGCGGATGTAGGCCGTTGTAAGAGAGAAGAGAAAAAAACACAAAAGAGAATAAAGGCGAAAGAGACATGCCTGAGGAATAGAAAAAGATCAAGAGGAGGGGATCTGACCTCTTGTCAGTGTATGATTAATTCTTATAATCCGATAATATCCTCTCCATCATAAATAATTCCTGGCAGGCTAGCCCTGTTGCAGTTCCAGGGCTGGCTTTCTACGGCACCACATCTATAATTGATGAAACTGAGGGCTGGAGAGGCATTGTGGTGTAATGTTGCCCATGGGGCATGTCACTCATCTTCTAATGGGCCCTTCTCTATGAGTAAATAACACAATGGGAGTGAATGGGAGGGAACGTAAACACCACAATGGTGAAGTTCATACACACACCACAATACAGCACGCACAAAAGGTACAAGCTGCTCAGAGAGTGAGTCGGATAGCAGATGTCTGTTTACTTTGGGTCTGGTCCAGCATGTGTGGGTTTGAGCATACCTCCCGCAGGATGCCCTGGTCATAGCAGGGGCAGAGGGCTGGAATGACACACGCTCCCTCTGTGTTTCGGTAAAGCCCCTCCTGACACACGCAGCCCTCGCTGGAGTGGCTGCAGTTGACAGGAGAGGAGTAAATGTCCTCACAGCTCCTCTCGCACAGCGGGGCCGTCTCTGACACACTCCTCCTCCACTGCTCGCCGACAGGACATGCTGCAGATGAGGAAAGGGTGAGGAGATGGATGAGCAAAAGAGGTGTCAGGGAGGGATAGAGAACAAAAAAAGAGGAGGAAAGGTGAGACAGGACAGGGAGGAGACATTTGTGAAAGAGGAGACAATTTAATCCTGAGTCGCTGGGGAAAAGAAGTCAAGGAGGAGGCAAGCATCAAATAAAAGTATTTTGAGAGCTAGCAACAAAAAAGAAGATTCTCTAATTTTAAAAAATCATTAAAAATAAAAATAAAATAGAAAAACACACAAGACCATTGGTCATTCCAGGTAAAATTCAATTTAAAGAGATCATTTAGAGTAAAGAAAAGATGAGTGCAGCATTTGAGGAAGTCCTGCAGGGTCTGTGTAACACAGTAAGTTTTTCAACTAAACTGCATATCACACATGTGGTTATGTGTTGAGCGTGCTTTGTAGTACAAGCCTTGATTAACATAAATATACTCTAAGAAGCCAGGAAAGAACTGATTTTATCAAATGAAGCTAATATTTTCTTTACTTGCTTCATAACATGTCTAGGAAAAATCTGCTGTATATCTGCAATAGAATTATCAGCAGGAAAAATGTCCCAGGTTTGATTCTGACTCCATTGTTGTAAACTTGATATTTGCAAAAACAGCAAACAGTATTTGCTTAAACAAGATGCAGCAGCTTTCTCTCTTTTAGACTGATTAAACCCCCCTCTGTGTACTTACCACAGTCAGGGGCCATGCATGTTGTTGCTCGGCGATCAGGGCCCTCACACGGGGCTCCTCCATACTGGCTGGACTGCAGGATGACTCTGGTTGAGCGCTGTTGCCCTGTACCACAGCTCGCTGAGCATGGACTCCACTGGGACCACATGGACCACACACAGTCCACTGCAGTCGATGACAATCATATAAGAGCATAAACACATCCAGGTCAGTGGTCACCCTACCTTCATAAACCTGCAGCAGTAGAGCAGCAAATAAAAGCTATTCGTCATCGGAGCAATATCTCTTTGTTTGTTGGGAAAATATAATTACAGGTCTCAATGGCAAAATTGCGTTTTATCACAGCCATCTATTCAACATAACACCTCAGACTAAACTCCTGTGGTGACATACAATGTAAAAATAACTGTCAAAATGTGAAGCATTTCTGTAAAAAGGAGATTTGAAATTGCAGATGAAATGCAAAGTTCCTAACACATTCATATCTGTTTTAATGTTTGAGGAGATACTTTTTCTTACACTTTGCTCCCCTCAATCTCTCAGCCCCCTGCCCCCCCTCGGCGAGTTTGTGATGGTATCATGTGTTTATGAAACAAAAGCCCAGTAATGGCCTTTGTATGCTGTGACTGATATGACTGTCGCTCAGTTATTTGAGCCAACTGTTGCAGCAGCTGTTTCTAACTATAGATAGGTTTGACATATCTATCATGGTCCTGATAGTTTCGACTAAAGATGACTGTTGCTGGAGGTTTCATTGCTGAAAGAGAGATGCCCCATAATGTGAAAGATATGCAATAGGTAAGAACAGCTGCGGCGGAGCATCACTCACCGTCACAGAGCTCAGAGGTGCAGTTGAACACTCCTCCTTTGCACACACTGGAGAGGGTAAGAAAAAGAAGAACGAGGTCAGTAAGGTTAATATATTTGGATACTGAGACACCAAACACTGCCATCATGTCACACAGCTGAGCATGTCAGACTATAATCACTGAATAAAAAGCTTTTGTAAGGGATAAAATGACATACGAAATGTCTAGTGTTTGCCAGACTATCTGTTACAGTACATATCACTGTACCAGACTGGAACGTTGGTGACTGTACAATAAAACTCAACTCTGTCCACACCCCAAAACACTTTTAAAAAAGAAAAAAAAAAAGATTGTGTGGCCCCTTTCACCAGCAAAGGTTAAGTTAAAGTTAACTTTGTCTAACCCAGTGAGTGTGAGTGTGTCTGTATTGACCATAGACTGTATAAACTATGGACAACTTGGTTCTGCCTTCCATTATTACACAAATTTAAAGCCAAATTGCTCTCTGTATTTCCGTGATTTTCTCCACTTCCTGAAACCAACACTGTGCTGGAGAGTTGCAGATTTTCGCTGTGATGACGCTCGGCTCAAACAGCAACTCCCCCCAGTGAGCCACGCATTGTTTGTACACCCACAGGCTGTATCAAGTGTCATTCAAAGAAAACATGAACCCCATAAAAACTTTTAAAAATGGAACTGCACAGAAAAAAGAGGACTTGAGCACAAACCAGTCTTACAGTAACTACATGTCAGAAGGAGAAAAATGTATATTCTGTGTAATTAATTTCTAAAGTTTGTTCAAAGCTCCATAGGGATTGCTGGAGGAGGCAGGATTTATGACCTATACTGCAGCCTATCACCAGAGGGTGCTGTTCTCACGGTGGCTTCATCCAGCGAGGAGGCAGACGCTGTCCATTCTATATACAGTCTATGGTATTGACAGTGTGTCGCATATACATCCAGTTCAGTTAAGAACTAGTTTAATCTTTTTAACAACTCTTTGTATTAGCATTTGTATTGTATTGTATTGTATTAACAAGGCATCATTGTTGACAACTGAGGTTAGGGTGAAAGGGCGCACAAATTGTGCCTGATTTCACACAGTGTCTGAACTTTTTTGGAGTTGTGGTTTTGGTTTCCAAAAATTATGTCAGAGGGTTAAAAAAAGAAAAACATAACAATCTTTAACAGGCCCAGAAGACAGTGGAGTCCCACTCACTAGACTTAATTCTTAATAATGACTTTACTTATTTTTAGTAGTATTGAGAAACTGTGGCTTGACTTCTGGGTTAAATTCCTCCATTTGCAAAGACTGTCCTTTCCTTTACTAAATTTAGTAAAATCCATACATTACTTGATTTTAACCTACGAGAGCAGGAGACTTCTGTTCAAATTCATGAAGCTAGTATGAGACTGAAAATCGATATTATTTAAACATGAGGCTGCAACTAAGTACCTGAGGAATTATTAATAAGCTAGATTATTGCCAGTTTAATTTTGTCATGCAGTCCTCTTTTAATGATATAACCAGGCAACTGAGGAAGTTATGGCAGTTTCAACAGGATAAAACTTTGGCCACCTGAATAAATAATCAACTGGTTGAATGATTATGAAAAACTTCCCTGAAGTAGAAGAAGAGCTGTTTTTATCTGTACACAATGAAGAGAAGGCAGTACACAATGTTGAGGATTGACTTGTCAAACTGATTTGCAACCCTAAAATACAGACCCTTAATGTCAGGAGACAATGATTCACCTTGGACCACATTATTCACAGGGCCTCTGAGGTAGACCTGGTTTAGATTTAATCTCTGAAGGACTGATTTCGATCTGGCTGATCTGGTCTCTATAAAACACCTAATGAATGAATAGCTAGCATATGTTTCGTGTCTAACCATGTGTTGCAGAGGTGGTGAACGGCAGTTCCAGGTGGCAGCAGAGCTTCTCTATCCTCGTGAGCACTGATGTTCCAGTTCCAGTAATCAGCCGGCAAGGACAATGGTGAGCAAGGACAGTCAGAGTGGGACACACAGGAGCCTTCATATAGCACCTACAGGGGACACAGTGAGAGTGGGACTTTATCAGGGGTAATGTAAACCTTTACAGTGAACTGTACACAGAAGCAGAAGTGCTCAGACCTGTCCTGGAGGGCAAGTGCAGCCAGGGGAGCAGGGTCCTGGTAGACATTGAGCGTGTGGCCACAGGTCTTCACAGGTATGTGGGCATGAGCCTGAACAGTTACTGTACACTTGTCCACGGGGACACTCTGCAACACAGACAGACAAATAAACGTTATATTAATTTCACTTTATCCTGTATAAATAACTTAGGAAAACAAGGGAACAGAGTTTTCAAAGATGTGGTATATACATGTTTGATTCTTAGAAATCCAGTGAACACACAGATTGATATGACAGCTGAATCTCTCCTATCTTACTGAAATAAAAAGATTAAAAAAAAACATGTACTGTTCTGTGTGATGCATAACTTCTAGCTTGGAATGACACATTTCACTAGGTGATACTGTTCAACAGCTGAAAATAGATCTCATTAAAGGTCTTTCATGTTGCTGGGAAACAACTTTTCGATGACTTTAACTCAGGCTTTATACTCAGGCTCGGAGAAGATTTCACTGATGTGTGTGCTGCGTTACCAGGTAGGCAGCTGTTCGTGTTGCAGACGGCGTGTTGTTCTAGTGGTCCAATGCAAGCAGCCCCGCCCGGCTCTGGCTCTCTGAGGACTGTCTTGTTCCGCACTGACGACCCACCACCGCATGTGGCGCTGCATTCACTCCAGGGAGACCACTCGCTCAAGAAACATCCCTCTGGAGAGAGACGGCAAAAGAAGAAAGCAAAGACCGTTTAATTTTAATGTGCCTTTTTCACAAACTGAACTTTTCTAAAAAAAACAAACAAACAAACAAAAAAAAAAACGTATTTTCTAAGTGTGCATGTGGGTGTTTGTCCCATATCAAACCTGGACACGTTGGCATTACTTCACAGCTCTCTGTCTGCTTGGTGTCACCACAGGGAGGACCACCCTTTGTGTTGTTGCAGAGACGTGTCCTTGTCCTCTGTCCAGGACCACAGGAGGCTGAGCATGAGCTCCAGGGGCTCCAGGGCTCATAAACAGGGCAGGGAAGTTTGGTGCACACCAGAGTGCCATTTTCACACACACTACAAAGAGGGGTGAGGTTTGATGGGTAAAGTATGCAAATCTAAGTGCAGGTATAACAGACCAGAACAGATTCAGAGTTAAACTGACATGACGCTGTTCTCACCAAGTGTTGCAGTCCACAGAGAGTTCTTCCTTAGGGTTGAACTCGAGTGTCCCGTTGCCTGATGGGATCCCACAGCGACACTCTGTCACTGACACACAGCGGCCATCCTGCAACAACTGACCCTCCTCACACCTACAACCTAATAAATCAAAGAAAAGAAATATAGAAATATAGTTGCAGAAACGGGTGCTATATCAGTCAATCTTGTAATCACACACTATTTTTTAACCACATCTTATTTTAGAGGTCAGAGATCACCTGGGTGACAGGCTCCTTGGAGACACTGCACATGCTCCCATAAGTCAGCACAGCTGCGGGGACATTGATTGGCACAACTCTCTTGGTAAGTCCGCCCCCTGTCCTCACAGCGCTCGCCTTGGAAACAAGAACAATCAATTCTTACTGCACTTCATACATAAAAATAAGGAACAGTCTCATCCTTATTTGATATGCAACAAACCTCTTTCAAATACCTTGTTTGAACCCTGAACATAGTCGTTTAAACTTTATAGTGTTGCTGTTTCTATCTTTCAGAAACAACTGCTTTGTCCATAACAGTATGTGATGTTAATTGAGTTTTCAAAGGATCTTACCTGGACAGAGTCCTGTGTTGCAGCTCTGGCTCTGTGTCTGTTGGCTCCTACACTTTGGTCCTGGAGGGATGGCTAGGGGCCATCTGTAGCGCTGCCTGACACCACCGCTGCATGGCTCCGCACAAGCTGTCCAGGCACTCCATCCACTCCACTGACACAGATCTGGAGAGGTAAAATAATAACTCTAACCACTATCAATTCTATTCTTGTCCTAATTATAACAGCAGTAATTATGATGATGATGACTGCTTTAATGGCTGTAATGGTTTTACTGCTCATCATCGTTAATGAAAACAACAGAACATTTATGGGTTTTGGACTTTAAATGCCTAGTTGAGCGAGCTAGTTGTGTGATTCCTATGTTAAAGTTTGTTCTTCTTATTCATTTGGGATAATAAAACTTTTGTTAAGTGTCACTGAATTGAAATCTGCAACAAAAACAATAATGACATCACTAATTTGACATTCAATCCAGCTCATATCTGACAAGGACAGATGGACTAAAGGGATGACAGATATATACGATCAGTAACATTTACTGTTGGCACAGAATACCAAATCTAACCAGCTTTATGTATCCCTAAAGACATCAAATTCCCATTTTAATCAGGCACTTTTCCATTTTCGAGGATAAAGAGGAATAGGGTGGCAGCACCAATGTCTAATAGCATTTTTCTTAGAAAAGTGAAGGTTGTCAGCTCTGACACATGATCAGATAAATACAGATACAGATCTAGAACCCACCTTTATGGCTATGTCCACATAATTATTATGCCAATAAACTGGATGTGAAGCCTTGGTTCTCTCCTGATATAAATGGTTTTTAGGGTACAGTGTTTATGAAGCCACATCTAGCAGTCAGTTTCTAGATTGAACTGACCCCTAGCTCACCCTTTTCACTCTCTGGCTTTTGTGGACAAGAAGCTCCAGTGATACACTGCAAAAAAAACGTCTCTCGATAAGAATTCTTTTGCAAACAACAACCACTATCTTCTTTTTGATTTTCTGTGCATATCCCACAGCTACTGATTCAATACAAACACAACTAGTGGGTCTGTTCTGTGCTCCTAAAGAAAACCCACAGTGTAAAGCGGCAGCCTCCGCAGAAAAGGACCTGCTCCTGAGCAGATATAAAAACTTATTCTGATTGAACAATAATAAAATGTAGTTTATATTCAAGTGATTATACACTCATTTAAACATACTTATGAATTCCCCTCCTACCTGCTGTTTTCCAAACACTGCTATTTAACTTGAAACAACTTTTTCAGATTTAACATCAACAAACTTTTCAATCCAATTATAGGGATGTACTGCTGATTGCCAGATTTACTCCAGCCTGATCAAAGTAATGAGCACCTGCTCTAAAAATCAATAATTACGTTACTTTAAATTCCTCCAGAAACTAGAGGCACTAAATAACTTTGCACTACGGTGTAGCACTCATGCTCAAGTTTGAAACCCACTTTAATGGAACAATACAATCTTCAAATGTCGAGACTGTTCAGGATGAGTTTAATATCCGTCTCATTAAAAGGCACAGCAACTGGAGATGTTCCTTAACAAGTCTCTCTTTAAAGTCACTCAGAAAGCTCCAACTATTTTAGAGCTTAGCTGAAAAAGCCCCATTTAAGTCCCAATCTCAGGCTCAAATTGTGGCTGTGCAAGAAAAAGACGACTTTTTTCACTGGATGGTTTTGGACTAATTTGTTGCTGTGTTGTACAGCATGTGGTTCTTTTGAAACATGTCTGTTTATCAATTACAAGATTAAATCCAGGCGGCATTCAGCTTCAATCTACGGCTGACACTCTGAAATGTAATTGAGAACACCTCTCACTGTGCTGTAACTGCCTGTAGTTTGTACTGTGATTGCATTTCATTAAAACTATTTTTTTAGTCGTACCAGCTTGTGTTTTGTACTAATTGTATTCATGTCTTTTGTCTTATATCAATCATTTGCATTGATAGAGTGAATTACAAGAATTACAACCCAAACAAATGTGCCTAGCATTGTTTTCCACTTGAATTTTGGCACAGAGTATTTCCCTCCTGTGCAGAGAGAGAGAGACATTCGGGAACCACTTTGGCACCACAGACTCTGTCTGACCCAGTCTGTTATTTATTTTTCAAAGCTGCCATGCTTGTCCAGCTCTGAATAGGTCATGGCATTGTCGGTTTACACTCTGATGATAGGAGCAAAGTGTCAAACGGTCGCAACATGTCGAGTGAAACTTGGGTGAATCGAAACTGACTCGTTCATTACTTTCCTTCACTCTCAAGTGAAAGGAACAACTGAAGCTTAACAAGAGCCGACAAAGGAGGAGACTTCATTTCTGGACCAAAATAAAGGGCTGTCTTGGTTCAGAGTAAATCTCTTTTTGTCAGGTTGGATAAAAACTATCACCTCTGCAGATGTTAACATCCGGACAAGGCCTCTCCTCCATCAGTGGTCCAGGACATTGGTTCTCTTCCTCTTCTTTGGAGACTGGATAACCTGAGTCAAGGTCCAAGCAAGCCCGGAAACGCCTCTGAATTGACACCATCTCACTGCCGCTCATGAGTCCTGATTGGGAGTCGATTTGCAGGGAAGAAGAGGGCACACAGGGGGAACATGGAGTCCACTGTGACCACTCGCTGAGGATGACTGGGGGAAAAGAAGGTAAAGAGTGAGCAGAAGAACAGGATGATGTGCCGTGTTTTCTAGCTGGAGCATTTTAGATTAATCTCTTCTCCACATTATTGTACCTTCACACTCTCTCGTGTCACACTGCAAAATCCCATCGTGGCAAAGGCTGGAAGATAAAACAGCCAAACAAAAGAATTACAACTCATAAAACTGAGTGACAAATCCCAAATAAGCAGGAGGAAAATAAGCCGATACAAGGAAATATAGAGGAGAATGGTGAAGATGAAGCACAGAGGCTAAACTTACAGCAGTGACCGTGCAAAAAGTCCAATAGTGCATGTAGTTACTGTCAAAGTGATTCAGTATACAAGTGAGTCTTGAAAGCAATCAAATAGTTGTGCTCTGAGATTTATGATGACTCATTTTTTTTTTCTGAAGAATTTTATATTTCTGATGAAATTGTTGATTGTTCTGTTGTGTGGGTTGGACTTGTATTCAAAGCAAAGCTGAAAGAGGCAAAGACAGGACCCTTGAACATGTTGATGTGTGTCCATGTCTGTACATTGATTAAACAGTTACAATTAAAGCCAATTCAAAGTGTGGTGGTGCGATTACTGGCTGAATTGTAGATGGAGATACATTAAGGCTAGGACTGTTAACAAATGTGACAATCATGTATTTCCAATGGGGGTGGGGGTGGGGTGGGATCCCTATAGTTGAAAAATCAGCATATAGATATATAGATGATTTCAGAAGAAGACCCTTGTCATATATTTGAAATTTGGAGCCGACTTTACGAAGGACTTAAAACAATGCCCTGTTTGATGGCGAAGTATCAAAGTTTTGCCTTGTGGCTTTCATATTTCATCATCATTTAAGTGTCTTAAATGCACAGAGCTGATTGGAAACTCTTTGGACAAGTTAACTTAAATATGACATCTGAAAATCACCCCAAAAGGACATTCAAATCAAGATAGTGCACTTCTTTTTGGGTTTAGGGTACAACACTATAAGTTTTTTTGCAGGTCTTGGTATGATATATTCATGCAGTCGATATCAAGACACCCCTGTGTGTGAGACCCTCTTTTTGAAAGATTCTAGGGTGCACAATGAAGTCATTTTTAGCAAACACATGCACCATACAGACAAAATATCAAAACGTATAGAGTTTTTGACATGTTGTGGCCTCATCGCCGCTACGTACTCGGGCTCTAAAAGCGTTAACCTAACAGTTCATATTTTTTCATACCAAGTACTGCAGCCTATAGTAACTGTGCCTCCCTGTGGGATGATGACAGGTGTGGGTGGTTGTCCTGAAGCTTGGTGCTGCAGGTGGACACAGCCACACTGCTCTTGAGGAACACAGGTGCCGTTCTGCTGCAGCAGACCCTGGAGGGGTAAAGAATAGATCATAAAAAATCAAGAACTGGTGTTGAAGTTTTTGATTTAGTTCAACTTACTTTTACTACGGGAGGTAAAAAAAAATACATGAATAAGTTTGTCTCTTGAAGTTGCCTGGGGGTGTATTTTGAAATGATTGATAACATTTTCTATCCATGGTTTATTTTCATGGTTTTATCAGTGAAAATAAGCAAATATTTGGTAATAAGTTCTCCAAGCTAACCTAAAAGTGATGAAATGTCAATGTTACAAATTCTAACTTTGCTTTTACTTTCCCATAGTGACCCAAAAGAAAACAGACTTCGGAGGTTTAAGTGTGCAATGGAACAGAAAAAAGTAATTTTAGGTGTTTTGATGAAATTTTCCTTGTAACCCTTGTGCTCTGCACCTCTGGTGTAGTGCTTTGTGCTCCATATTTCATTTGATTTACCCTCTCTGCTGCTGTGTAGGCGTATCATCTATCTATCAGAAAGAGTTTTTCAGTTTTTTTGCAATAACTCAAAGCTTAAAACTTCCAAACGGGGCCAAACAACATTATAAAAATGTCATTGCTACTCATGTCATAGTGATGTATTAACAACAGTGTTATATCGCTTATTCCACTCTTGAGATTCATACCAGGGAATATTTACTCTGGTCTCATGCAAAAACACAAGTCTAGCAGTATGCAGATTACACAGTTAAAATGTCAGCTGCTTGTTGTAAATCTGTATAATTGAAGCAAATGTACTGTGTCTCCAGGATGCATGCAGTCATTTCTCTAGATATTTTCCCCATTAGATGACTTCAATTTGGAATTCAAATGGACTTATTTTGACTTTTTAATGGTTCCTTAAAAAGCAAGATCAATTTGATTATCCGAAGTCTGTCGGACACTCCAATTAACCTGAAGAAAATTGGTTGGATCTGATCTAGATAAGGGTTTTAAACACAAAACACTTTGATTTCCCAGCTTTCTACTTGAGAGTCTCTGATATCGTTGATTTGTTTTCAGGTTGAGAGTTAAGATTTCATATTAAACAAGTGATATTTGTAACTATTTTTGTGTGAAAAATGATACAGATCATACATAAATTTTCATTTGTTTCGTAAAATAAACCAGAATTTATCATTTCTCAAGCTGTCAGGATTTCAGCAACAGTCACATTCATTTTTGGTTTCCACCATCATGACAAGTGAAAACATGACTTCAGGTTTTGACAGCATTGCATCATGGTTATGGGTTATTATTTCCGATAGTAAACAAGGGACTGTGTGTGTTTATCTGAATAGAATTTATGCTTTACACAAAGAACAAGGCCTCATAATCTTGTTTACCTCTGGGCAGTAGCAGCCAGGTGTACACTCCCTGACACCTAAACACTGATCCTGGTGGCCTTGCAGCGCACACTGCTTCTCACAGGGAGCGCCACATGCTGAGTAGACGAATGGGGCTTCACAATCTACAAGCACAGGAGAAACAGGCCAGACACGAAGTGTGTAAAATATGTAATAAATTTGATAAATTACAACTTTATGTCAGTATTTTGCATGTTTTCAACTTACTATCACATTGACTCAGACTGCATGGTCTGCTCTGTGTTTCAACAGGAGTGCACTGTTGCCCCCTAGTGGCCGGTGAGAGAGCTACACGGTAGCGCTGCTGCTTCTGAGACTCACAGGAACACCGAGACCAAACACTCCACTGTGACATGGGACAGCCTGCCAGAGAAAACAAATCAACCATTCAGTGCTGGAGGCAGATTTACACAACCACAAAATGTCATTTGTCATTCACTTAGTAGAAATTTTGAAGCTTTAGTTAAACTCGTAAGACCCTGAGCTTTCCCTTGCGAGTCTATTGTTTAGTTTATCTGCTTTAAAAGGGTCTAGTAGTGCATCAAAAATTCATAATCCTGTTTTACATTTACTACCAATCCAACCTCAGGGACTCAGGTTTTTCATCACGATCTTCAATAACTCTATAAACTGAGAACAGTAAATCCTACCCACAGTTAAAACCAAGCATTCATTAAAACCCCAGTGAAGAATGCAAAAATACTTCCATGGATTTCTGCAGTAAGAAAAAAGATAAATAATTCAAGGAATGCGTGTTGATATACACAGTGGGCTCAGTTTAGCACCTGTGTTAACGTTGTGGGGGAGAATCTACTCAGAAAACAATCTTATTCTAACTGTAGATTATATCATGCTGGGCAGAGCTGAACTCAAGCCAACTCCTCTGGGGAAGATTTCAGAGTAGTTGCATGAAGATAACTCAAACTGCCTTGAAAAAGTAAAGCCAACAAAAAAACTCACATAAATTCAATTTGTTTATTTTTTTGTAAAATGTGCTGCACATGATTCTTAATTTTGTTGTTTTTTTTTACCTGAGCAGGGCCGCTCGTAACACAGCTGAGTCTCCTCTTTGTTCCTCTCTGCTTCAATCTCAGCTGGACACGCCGCATCTCCTCCTTCCTCACACACACACACTCTCCTCCTTGACACAGAACCTGCACCGCAGCTCTGTGAACAGGGTGACCATGGAGACCAGGGGCATAGGTCATCTGTAGACAAGAGAGCCACTATGATCTGAGCAGGCCACTTAATGGTCCTGATGTGCTGATGTTCTTTCAAGATCACACACACATAAGTGGAAATGATTTGCTGTTTTACGCCTAACTTTGACGTAAACATGAATATGGTGTGACACGACTACACAAACCTAGACAGGGTGGAGTGTGACAGTCCTGCGTTTCTCTCTCTGGGCCACTGCACTGTGACCCGTTGTTTCTTGGAGGAGGATTAATGCAGGCGTGAGTTCGAACCTGTGTCCCCCGGCCACATGTAACTGAGCAGTCAGACCACACTGACCATGGAGTCCAACCACCATCCACTGAATACAACACACATAAAAAGACAGTTATCTTTCAGGGCAACTTGAATGCATGCAAGTCAAGTTTTTAACAACAACAACAAAAAAGAAACAAAATTACATACGAAAAAAGCTGCAAATTTACCTTCTAATATAAATGCATTGACTCACCTCTGCAGTCAATGTCTTGGCAGTAATGTCCCTCTGGTGTGCAGGTGCTAGGATGAATGAACAAATTCAGAAAGTGCCGAAAAGCTAAATACTCACCTTGGACATCAAAGTGGTATTTTCCCCTGTGATTGTGTGCATGCATCTCACCATTGTTTACACTCGCCCTGCAGCCAAGTGTCTCCAACGTTGAGCTCCCGGTTGTCATGGAGACAGAGAGGTGGGCAAGGTCCTGGGTCACAAGATTTATGCTGAACTTCCTCAAACTGGCACTCTGTTCCTTCACTCTCTGGGATTAGGGACCTATAAAATACATGCATTTTATTGATTCCTAAAACAAATGTCTCTCAATCCGCAGAAATCAACACCAGTTTACAGACTGAATAAATAGCAGGAATGCATCATGATAACTTTCTGTGAGTTTCATCTCTGCTCACCTGTATCTGGTTCTTTGGCCCCGCCCACAGGAAACGCTGCATGATGCCCAACTGGACCAGGAACTCCAAACACAGGTGGGCTGGCAGGTGTGATTGGTGCAGGAGAGCCGCCCGTCAGAGCAGCTGCAGTTGTTGCAGTCCACCTGGTGCCAGCTGCCTGCAGCCCAAATCTGTCCGAGTGAGTCCACACAGTCACACTGCCACAGCTGCACACATACTCCATCCTGCTGCAACTGGCCTGGACACACATGAGAGTTATTTAAACAATGTGAAACTTCAATAAACAGACACAGGCTTTCTACATGGCTGCTGTCACACTGCTGCTGCTGCTGCTGCTGGTCCAAAGTTAGTCCGGATATTACAATAACAAAACCTGAGAATCATTTGAGATTTATCTTTATAGAAAAGAGTTTCAGTGAATCAGTCCTATAGGTAACTAGGATAGTTAAAAGGTTATTTTAGTGGTATTAGTGATCAAAACTTTCTACTGAAGATTGAGGCTTCACAGCACCAAGGCTTTCCATGGCCTTCAGATACAGCTGGTGCAAACAGGCTGGTACACAAACTTCTATGTTGTGCTTATCTTGTGAATACCATGAGGAAAGGAACCTTGAGGGAAGAATCACTGAGATAAGCAGACAAACACACACACGCACGCGCACGCACACACACACACACAGGCTTATCTGTTAATAAAATGATAGAAGCATCAGTGCCTTTAGGGCAGCGACAGCCGGGCTGACATTCTGTGTTGCCCTGGCACTCAATGCCCTGCTGGAGGTCTGCGCAGCGCTGTGGACACTGGTTGGCACACAAGACGAACTCCTGGCCCGGTGGGCACCCTTTTTCATCTGACAAAACACAAAGAGAAGGTCAGGAATTTTTCAATAATGCTGCAGGCACAAGGCGCCTCACCATGAGTGCTGGGCGCAGGCTGGGCTGAATTTTCAGACACAAAGCCTTTTTCTAGTAAAACTAGATTTTGCTGATCTCTTGGCCTTTCTTACAAATGCACAACAACACAGCTGTGTTTTTAACCATGCTTGTGTCTCACCACAGGGTTTGGTGTTGCACGGTTTGACCTGGTTCTTCTCTCCTTCGCACTTCTTTCCACCATTTTTAGGTGGGGGGCTAGAACAGGACCGGGTGCGTATGGAGCGCCCCCCACCACAGCGTTTATCACAGCGGGACCAGGGACTCCAGCGAGACCAGCCTCCGTCCACTTGGGCATTAAGACACAAACAAACATGTTTTTACCACGCTAAAACATACACTTTAACTATGCATATTATTCTAGTTTAATGTCCTAACTCTAAGCCAGTATCTTCCATCATGTAACTCATGGTTTTGTAATGCATTTGAATAATTGATGGTAATCGACTCAATAGACACAACTGTTTGAGTTGGGCTTCAGGCCCACCGGATTTCCATGTCACTGCTTCTTTGTGGTTGTTGCATTCATATAAAAGCATAATATAATTGAAGTTAACAGGGTATTAAGTTCAGTATTAACTTTTTTACTTCTTCTCTCAGTCTTTGCTCTGTGTCTCCTCCACCTCTTCCTTATCCACATCAGCCCCTAAATACTTACCTGCTGCTGTTTTTGCCAACCCTAAATCCTATATTCCACTCCCATGTGTTCTCTGCTTGTCTGCCAGATTGTCTTTGTGTTTTAACATTTTTCATTCCTGTTTTTTTTAATTACTCTGGTTCACTGGAATCTGGTTTGAGCCTATAATCTGCTTGGGGTTCATAGACTGGTACAGCGAGACATTTTGTATCAGAGCCTTTATTTTGCAGTAAAGACCTGACCTTGTTTTCAATGTCTACTCAGCCTACTTCTTCCACTGTAATCATAATACCAAGGGAAAACCACCAGGAGTATCCTTACCTGAACCCTCGAGAGAGGAGCTCTGAGTTAAAATCATTTGTGGGGTTTTTTAAAGCACTGAATGTGCCTGTAAACTGTTAGATTATAATGAAAACATTTAAAATCCAGGTAAAGGCATTTCAGCCTGCATCTGTCTTTGAATGTTCTCCACAGACAGCACTTTAGTTTTACTTTACTGTAGTTGAAGTTGCTCCTGCTGCTCAGCACTGGTATTTATGTGTCTCAACTTTCTTTATTTCTTTAATATTGCTTGAAAATTACTTTATTCTCCTTTTGTATGAACTTTTGTGCTCTGCCTTTAAATGTTTCCATTCTCTGTTTATTTGGGCATCTATTTTTTTTACCCTTGGAAGTCTCTTTCACTGCTGTGAAGAAAACTGAGTTGCCTTTATGTCTGAAAATGTGCTTTATGGATAAATCTGTCCTACCTCATGGAGCATTTTACTCTGTAAGTTAGAGCTTCATAAAATTATGTGGCCTATCAGTAAATACAATTATGTGGAAATAATGTGGGAGATAAACAGGTTTGAGGCCAAAAAAGTTCTGTAACTTTGTGGCTTCTGGTGCAGGAGGATTTTTATGGCTTTTGCAACATTACTACACAGCCATAAGTCCTAGGAGGCAAGTGAAACACCTTGAAAACTTAGACCTTCAAGCCTGAAAATCCCTGCAGGCAGGAACTGATAAGATGTCCAGTAACACACATGACATTTTTACAGATGTTCACTTGAAAACTGGAGATCCAGAAACATTCCATCCATCAGCTGACCTCTGCAGGGCTTGATGTTACAGAAGCGATGCTCCAGGTTCCCACCCAGGATGTCTGCACACCAGGAGCCTTTGGTTCCCGGGCTGAGAAACGTTCGGATCCTTTGCTGTTGGCCCACGCCACAGGATCTTGAACAAGTGCTCCACTCCCCCCAGTCTGTCCAGGAACAGTTTCTCTTTGCACAGTCAGCTCCTGTACACCCCTCACCTCCATCTGGTAACGAAAGACATCAAACAGCTGTTTGTAGTCATTTTTGCAGGTATCCCCCTATGCTCCTTAAAACTAAATCTTGAGTTCACAATTACTGAAAAATAATTTGTTTACAATCGGAGTATTGCTGAAGTTTTCATTCATTTAAGCATCTGCTGTACACAGAGCCCCTTACAACACAGCTACATTAGATCAACAGTTTATTCAGGCTCGCTGAAGGCAGAATAAGGGCCTAGATGTTAAAGTGAGGATATTATTCAGTACTTCTATTGTCTCTCTGCTGTGCTATTTTGATGCATGTACAAACAGAAACACACAGCTTAAACAAACACTCACACAAACCTGGTAGATTATTGTTTTGCAATAATCGTATTCCTGTCTGTGCAATGTGATAACACCTTTTGATGGAATTAAGAACTCGTGATGAAGGCAGGCAGCTGTGTCTCGTTTAAATTAATGAATGAAATCCTGCAAAGCAAACCTCACTGTATTCTCAACAATGCATGCTCGCTCATACTGATCTTTTTCATTTCCAAATAAAAAAAACAATCCCACTTCAACATTTGTTCTGTCGTCTCTGAGATAAGCACAAAGGAAAATAACAAACTTAGTCTGAATACAAATAATCCTGAACACCAAAGCAAAGATGTTTGATTGAAACTCAGTTTTTGATGAGATTTTTGAATGGACTGATAATTATTGTACTCAGACACACAGGCTCTGAAAAGCTGCCGGAAGCTTCCTCTGATTTCTAACATAAGCAGTCAGAAAAACATATTTTGTGGTCTTTCTGTCTCAGTGTTTGAATGGTGCCTTACTCTACGCTCACACGGCCATTTCATTCAAAACTGCAAAACTAAAATAATCAATGACAGATAACTCAAGTACTGATAGTTTGTTTTTTTCTAAAATCTCAAAACCACTCACTGAAAATGCTCTCCAAGAACAAGGAGGATCGACTTTCTCTGACCAACTCTGAAAGCAGTAAAGAAGAAGAGTGTGAGAGGTGGTACCTGAGCACTGTGGCAGATTACAGGCCTTCTCTTGGTGGGAGCTTCCAGAGCAGGGAGGTTTGATACACTGTCTGTGTCGGGATTTCATGGCTGGGCTGAGAGCGTCGGTGCATGTCTTAGTGCAGGGACTCCATAATGACCAGGGAGAGAAGCCGGCGTCTTCATCTAATGATGATAGCAGGAGAGACAGGCAAGAATGATCGAAATTCTTCAGCGTACAGGGAATAACACAGTTTTCTTTTTAATTAAGAAATTTAAATCACAAAATCCTGAGAGCTCTGAGAAGTGTGGAAAATAGATTTTATCAACAAATGATAGTGATTTTTTTTTTTGAACCATTATGATTAGTTTTTCCTCCTACTCGCACAGACGGATAAAACCTTGATCAGCTGTTTCTGTAAATTAATTGAATGTCTGATATTACTTGACTCTTTTTTTGTTTCATTTATGCTGACAAAGAAAGAAAAATGAACTTAATACTTGATCCTGCAAAAAACTTTTCTGTCTTTTACTTCTAAGTCTGGAGATAAAACAATTTTAGGGGCACTTCAGAGAATCTTTTCTATCTTGCTCTTTTTAGCTTCCATAATTCTATGTTATGCACCTCTTACTCATTTAGAAATAACTTTACAGGAGAATGAAGCGACTGCTATCAAAGGGTTAGCAGTTAGGAAGAGTATAGCTGAAAATTTGTAAGAAGGTATAGTTTACCTGGTACAAGTGGTTCATCTGTAGGACCAACAATGACTGTCGACAAAAACAAAAACTAAAATCAGCAAAACCTCAATAAATAAGTATAAAATGTACATGATATGACTTGATTATTACATATAGTTTTGCTTCATCAAACCATTTCTCTTTAATGCCTCCATCAAATACAATAGGAACTAAACTAGTTCCTTTACCTGGGCAGTCTGGGGCCTGGCAGTAGGTGGTTTCCTGGCGTGGCCCCTTGCAGTCTCTCCCTCCATGAGCTGGTGCAGGCTGTGTGCAGCCCCTGGAGCGAGTTTTCAGTCCCAGACCTCCACAGGACAGAGAGCAGGAGCTCCAGGGGCCCCAGGGTGAGAGACCCCCATCAACTGGGCAATGCACCAAGGAACAGTTCCACCTGCCATGTTCACAGCCACTGAAGGGAACAAAGAGGAGGAAGAGTGAAAAGTCTGGCCGAGAAAGCAAGGATTATGAATGGATAAAATAGTTAAGTTATACATCACTATCAAATCATTCAATTCCTTTTTTAAAATGCATTAATGATATCTGAACTCAAAAGATTCCTGTTGATATGTTTCTCACCAAGTGCTGCAGTCATGGACCACAGTGTCTCCAGGTTGAAGTTCCACTCCCTCAGAGATGTTATAGAGGAGCAGAGATGAGATCGGTGTTATGGAAACACTCCGCAGAGAGGCGAGAAACTCTTTGTCCACCAGACACGGGCACTCCTGAAAAAGGACATTAGAATAACATCAGATCCATCACTTCAACTTAGAATGAGAAACTTTGAAATGAATTGATCACCTCTGCTTTTTTGACATTATTTTAAAAAGTATTAACCTGAATAAAAACAATCCTTCTTTAGAATTGCAAGCATTAATGTAGGCATAATTCCCATCTATTGACCAGGATGCTTCTGTTGCTGAAGCGGTTGAAAACTCACCTGAAGGCACGCTCCTTGGTGTTGGTAAGTGTTCGGAGGACAGTGGCACCCTTCCTCACAGCCATCTGAGTAACACCCTTCCCTGCCGCTGACCTGAGCACAGCTGAACGGGCAGCCTTCACCTCGTTCACACTCCCTGTACAGCCTGCCAGGAGGGCAACCCACCTCTGTGTGATAGAAAACATGATGTCAGTAAAAAGACACAAATTCAAAATACTCAAAAACAGTCTGAAGGGGGAAAAAAAGGAACTTACCAAGGCAGACCTGGGTGTTGCAGGTCTTGCTCTGGCGGCTCAGGCCACTGCAGGGTTGAGAGCTGCAAAGACGAGAGCGGGACTGTTGTCCTCCTCCACAGCTGACAGAACACACAGACCACTGAGACCAGGGGAGCCATGGACCCACAGAGTCTGCGCCAGAAATATTAATGAGACGTGAGACAAAGATTCATGAAGGGAATAACGAACTGAATTTACTAAAAGGCAGACAGGCTTCATGTTTTTACAAGAACCACTTGGGAATCTTTTTTGGATTCTAGGAAAACAGAAAGAAAGGCTGTTTTTCTGGTATTAGTTTGCTTAGGTAGGGTGACTCAGACACTACCTGTGCACAGGTGTATGTTGCAGTCTTTCTGCTGTTCAGCAACCCCGAGGCAGCCCCTCCCACCACTCTGAGGCGATGGGTTGTTACAGTGGCGCCTCCTGAACTTGACTCCTCCTCCACAAGGAAGTGAGCATACAGTCCAGGGCCCCCATTGGCTCCAGCCACCGTCAACATGACAACCGGGGACAGACTGACACTGCAGTACCCCAGCATCGCATGAACTGGAGAAAAGTGAGAAGGCCAGTGAATACATTACACATTTTAACTATTGCAATCATAGAATTCTTCTGGAGCTCTTCAGTGCTGTACCAGTTTTTGCAGTCACTGATGATGCTGTCCCCTGGATTTGCAAACTGCCAGTCAGATTCACCAGGCCACACCCATGATGCATTTGTGGAGTCCAGTCCACCGAATGTCATATCTGTATGAGAGCAGACATCTACTGATTAGACCAAACTCTTCTCACTCCACTCTTCTATAAGCAGTTTTCTCATAAACCAACACAGGTCTGACCAGTAGCAGAGGTATTGTGGTATTTGCAGCGGCACTCCTCCCTGGTCACACACACTCCATCCTGCAGAACCATATCACCCGGACAACCGCAGGTCTGCTGACACCCAGGGGAGTCCAAGCACTCTGTGTCACCATGGAGATCCGAACAGGAACGAGGACAGATCTTCCCACAAGGCCATTCTTCTTGGCCCCCGCCGCAGTCTGCAGAACGCAGCAGGATGTACATTTTAGAGAGAATAAAGTATAAAGCTAAGACCTAAGGCTGATGGTCTGGTGTTATATTAGAGAGTACTTGTAAGAAATGTGAGAGCACATTTTGATGTAGACAGACTACACAGCGACACAAAAGAATAGTCCCTGAACTGGGGGTGACCTCTAGTGAACAAATTAGAGGTACTACTGTATCAAGGTTGTGAAGAAAGAGCTTCATGGCCATGTGCAAATGACCAAATTGGATCCCTGAGATGGATGATTGATGATAAGCGCTTGATTGATTCTGCTGAACATTTTTGTCTTAAGTGTGTGTAACCCTGACAGTGCATCCCAGCTGTGTTGACAGTTGTCACCTTCTAATTTGTCAGTAATCCCTGTGGTCATCCTGTGGGAGTTGGGCATGTACAGGAACATGAGAAGGTGGAAATAGGTCAACCACAGTTCATTAATCATTCCCTAACAGGCAGCTGAGTCATGCCTTTCTGCAGTCAAGTAGAGGGTTTTCTATCTACCATGCTTTACCTCCGGTTGCAGATAAAAAAAAAATCTCAATAGATGTCACCGTCTGTTTAGTTTGATCAGTTCAGCTATTTTCTCAATTCTATGAATTTTCTTCATTTGTTGACACATTTAGACAAAAAGTCAAATTTCATCCTTTTTCTACAGTCATGAAGTCAGATATGTACGAAAGACGTTTAGGGCCACATGGAGAGAAAAAAAATAATTACAGTAAGGAGACTTAAGTTAAAAAATAAGATTAGAAAAATGAAACAATGTCAATAAAGTAGAAATCTCGAGACAAAAAATTGAAGTTTCGAGATAAAGGGCAAAATTTTGTGATAACAAAATGTCAAAATGTTGTGATTGATGTCGAAATTTTAAGATAAAAAAGTTTAAATTTTGGGATTAAAGTCAAAATTTTGACTTTTTTCATGTAACTTCAGGTTTTTTAATATCAAAATTTTGATTTTAATGTCAAAATTTCATTTTTTTTCATTTCAACTTCAATCTTGAAATGGAAATGAAAAAAATCTCCCTCTTGTAAGTTTTTTCTCTTCTTGTGGCCCTAATCCTCTTTGGTAGACATGACTGCCTTAACATAAATCAACAGCTGATATAACATACTTTATCATACTGACCTGTACAAACAGTCATGTTGTCATGGCAACCACGTCTCTGCCTGCTCTCACCAAGACAGGGCAGGCCGCCAAATCTGGCAGGAGGACTGTTACACTGCCTGGTGCGGGAAGTTGACCCTGCACACCCATCACAGTCAGACCAAGCTGACCAGGGACTCCAAGAACCATGGACTACAGAGAAAATTAGTGTGAATTAACAAAGAGCTATAAAGAGCTTTAATGTAATAGTGTGGGAAGTAGGAGTTGAAAAGGAGCATGAATCAAGGGGGATAATAGGAACAGATTTTTCTCTTTTCAATAATAAGAAAATAAGACTTCTAAAACGACGATGACAATAAGTACATATCAAAAATTTTTTGAGAATGCCACTTTATTGAGCCATCATGTGAAGACTTTATACCAAAACGTTGTGCCTGTTTGAGACACCTGTACTGTAAAGTATATGTTCATTGGAGTCATATTCACCCTAGATATAACCTCATTTACACTGGCCAATGGTTTTGATGATGAGTGATGGCGTTTACCTGGACAGAAGGTGATGACAGGGCATGGCTGTCTCTGTATTTGAACTCCAACCCCGTCATGTATTTCCTGTTCTCCAGAGCAGGCTGCTCCTCCGGCTTTGGGCTCCGGACAGCCACAGCTCCTGTAACGAGACACAGACTCTGCCCCACACGTCCTTGAGCACGGAGTCCACTCTGACCATTCACACCAGCCACCAGACACTGGAAACACATGAGGATCAATAAATGAACGTTAAGTATTTATAGTGTTGATGTCCTCTATGGTTGTCTTTTGTCCCTGTTTTACTTTTCCTCTTTACTAGCTCTATTTTCTTCAAACAGCTCTTGGTGGGGTTTTAAGTGCACTCCCTCTTTTGTCAAACACTTTTGAGTCAGGTTGTTATGGTACTTTTCCAGTTTGCGGCTAGGATTTACAGCAAAAAAAGCCTTTTGTTGTACATTGTTCAACAATAGATCATGATGTGAAGCAATATTGTACCATGAAATAGAAATATAGGAGGCCTTTCTCTCAAAAGCTCACTGAAATTCGTATTGTGTGTTTTAAAAGTAGCTAAAACATGGCCATGGAGAAACTTTGTTATTTCACCCTTTTTCATTTTTTTCATTTTCTGACATTAAATTTAAATTACATTAAATGACTGAGCCATATCTTTAAGGTGGCTTTGTTGGTTTAAATTTTGGATTTGAATACATTTTTAAGCAGTATGATGTTTTGAGTTTTTTGTTGTGCAAAACTTGGAAACACTTTACTTGACATCTATCTCTATAACAAATTATAAATATATGTATAATGTGTTCTAATCATGTTATAGCACTGTATAAGTATAGTTATAAACACTCGTAAATGTTCATAATGCTTTATAGCAATAGTCATAACACATTATAAAGCATTTTATCATGACTTACAAGGTCAGGTTATATAATGTGTGATAACTGTAAACAACTCACTGACAATGCCCACATAGATAATGCATTAAACATATATTTATGATGTGTTATAATTTGCTTATCAACTTGTGTAACTATCATTATAAACACTCATTAATTATCACAAGGCTTTATAACAATAAACATAATACATTACAATACCTGACCTTGTAAGTCATGATAAAATGCTTTATAATGTGTTTTGATTTTTGCTATAAAGTATTATGAACATTTATGAGTGTTTATAACTGAATGAATGAAAACTGAAACTAAGTTAAACAAAAAATGTAAAGCCTAAACTCAACTAAACTAAACTAACAAACTAACAAACCAGCTTTAAAAACAATTCAAACTAAATAGGAATTGATAAAAAGGTGAAGCAAGTTAAGGCTGACAAGATCTGAACTACTGTAACCTTGGGTCTGGCTCACCTGGACAGGTGTTTCTGGTACAGTTCAGCCTCCCACCCACACAGGTACTGACAAAAAGAGACAAAAACATCATCATCTTCCTGTCCTGTTTTTCTCTTTCCTTTTATGTACAGACTGTTCTCCATGTATTTTTATTATTCTGACCAGTTGTTACATCCATCAGGAGCTTCAGTGGTCTCCCCTGGCTCTAGTGTGTGTCCAGTGCTGAGGTCCAGACAGGGACAGTCCTCTTTCTCTACACAGACAGTCCCGTTAGCAGACAGGACTTTTCCCCCTGTGCAGTAGCAGCCCGGCTCACATTGCCACTCACAGTGCTGAAACACAAAGAAAACTCCTCCATTATCACAAAGGTTATTCGTTGTTATCTCCACAGTAATGTTTTGGTAACGGTCATAAGTGGAAAGAGGAGTCATAGAAGTCAGTTTGGTGTGATACGCACAGCCAAGTCTTCGCAGGAGCGAGGGCATGAAGGACCACAGCTACTGAATACTGTGCCAGGGACCAGTAAACACGGGGCCACTGCAGACACACACAAAATGACTAATGTAAAAAGACTGATATGGAATCATGTTTGCTTTAATACTTCTTTGTGCACATATTAACTCAAAAACAAACACATTCACACCCTTATTAAGGATGACCACACTCAGTGAGTGTACCTGGACAGTGGGCAGTGTTGCAGGCTTTGACTTCAGTTCTCAGCCCCTCACAGTAGTTCCCGTCCCCCTCAGGACTGGGACTATCACACTCTCTCCTTCTGCTCCGAACACCCCCACCACATGACTTGGTACAGTCTGTCCAGTCACTCCACTGACCCCAACCACCATCCCCTTTAAAAGGCCAGAAATTGACACTGATTTAAAAAAGAGAGTGACATCTGTTGGGGTAAAGTTGCACAACAAGAGACAGCCTCAAACACACACAAGTGAGAAAGGACAGGACATGACTTAGGGACAGAAATGAAGATAAACTGATCCAGTTTGGCTCCATTAATCAAAAAATTACATTTTTTTTTACTGAAATATCACAGAAATGTCAACTTGTGGCAACTCTCATCCCTCCAAACATCATCTGTTCAGTACCTCTACAGGCTGTGTTTGTCATTGAATTTGTTTTTGGGAGAAAGAAAAAAACTCACTGTCACATGGGGTGTTAATACAGACTTGATCCTCTCGGTGAGGGCCCAGACAGGGTACACCGCTGCCAGAGCGCTGTGGGCTGGAGCAGAACCGGTATCGAGACTGAAGTCCCGCTCCGCATGACACTGAACACTGACCCCATGGAGTCCAAGCTGACCAATGGCCATCAACTGTGAGGAGTCGGTGTTTGTGTGTAGAGACACAGAACGAGAAAATGTGGAAGTGATGATTAAAAGGAGACAGTCTGGCATGTTTTTAATAATATTTCTGTGTTGTTTTTCATCATTAAAGCCTGTTTCTTTAAATACTGGGGTTCAATTCCAGTTCACCTGGCTTGAAGTGTTCAATATTGAACTGGGGAGACAGGGAAATTACATGTGATATAGGGGTGTGGGTTGGGACTGAACCTGGGCTATTTGCCTTCAGTATTATAAAGCAAAACAAATTTTACTGCCGAGGGAAATTTTTATTATTTTTTTGTAACTTTACTGTCTCTGTATTTTGTTATGATGTCGAAACCTTTACCTAGCTTTAATTTAACCTGTAAATCAGTGTTTATCAGCATGAACAATTTGAACGATATAACAAAAATGAATGAGAGCATTAGTGGTAAATTTAATGACACAATTCCTACCACTGCAGCTGACTTGGGAGCAGTTAACCAGCCTCCCAGCTTCACATGTACTGAAATACAAAAAAAACACACAAATTAAATGATAATTCAACCCTACTTTGCGAGTCATAACCAGGAAAATTTTCACGGCAATGGAGTAAAAATAATTTGTGTTAATGTAGCTGTTCAGTAATTAAGTTTTACTCACCAGTTGTTGCACTCTGTGGGCACAGTGTCTCCTGGTTTGTACCGCTTTCCACCAACGTCACAGCGACAGTCAGACTCCAGCACACACACACCATCCTGCAAATATGAAGTACCATCAAAAATCTGGATGCCATCTCTGTGTCTGTATATGTGTATACATGTTTGTGTCTAGGTAGACTACCAACCTGGTGAATTGTCCCATGTGGACACTGGCAGCCAGGTGTGCAGTTCCTGCTGATGTCCATTGTGAGGTCTGTGCAGGAAACTGCTCCCCTCACACACTGCTTCCACTGTTGTCCAGAGGGGCAGACCCTGTCACCTCCTGATACAGCAATTACATCCAAGCAGAGATCAGTGTTAACCTGAATAGTGTCATCAAGGACCTCATATGACAAACTAAATTTGAAAACTACTCAAATCTAAGTTGGTGAAAAAACTGGACAAGCAAATCTGTGCAATACTGACATTTTTTAGCCAATATTTTGACCAAAATAACTTATTCTGGACATCATATACATAGGAAAAATAACTCACACAGCTTGATTGATCCACATTGAAAACAGTGTTTGAATATTGACATTGATATAATAATTGCTCAACAGCTTTCAGCCCTCTTTTCCTCTCTGAATTCACAGAACGTTGTTTTAGACTAAGATTTGAAAACAAATACATTTAAATCCAATGTCTACAGTGGTCTGTGATTTTGTTCAAGTACTTTTAACAAACTTTTTAGTAAGCATTAAAGTTATGAGATAAGTTGCAAAAATCCACTTTTTTTCCTCCAAAAAGAAGAACCTGATGACATATTATGATGTACATTTGATATGACATGAAACATGGCGATATTGTTGAATAAAAGTGAGGGTCTTGCTGTACCACAGGGTTGCAGGTTGCAGGCACTAAACTGCTGAGCAGTGCCATGGACTCTGATGGGCCCACGAGTTCGAGTCCTGTACCCTCCTCCACATGTCACTGAGCACTCTGACCACGCACTCCAAGGCTCCTTTATACCTGCAGACACATCATAATGTATTAATTGAGTTTCTTTCATATTTTTAAAAGCAGGAGTAATGTTTCGATACACTGACAGCATTCTTTCTCCTCACCAATACAGGGCTCAATGCTGCAGGTATCAATCCCAACTCTGTCTCCTTTGCAGGGCTGACCCCCGAAAGCCGGAGGAGGATTGGTTCCTGAACGGTATCGTCTTCTCACGCCAACGTCACATGTTCGACTGCAGGCACTCCACTGAGTCCAGCTGCTCCAGCCACAGTCCACTGAGGAACACAAGCACAACAAAAATATGAAACCAATAAGAGTGAAAAAGACAGGGCAGGAAACATGAGGGAAGAAATGTTCACAAACCTGAACAAGCCCAAGTAATAGAAATGCCACTCACCAGAGCAGGGTGCTGTTCCACACTCCATTTCTCCGTTAATGCAGGTACTGATGAAAATCACAAGAGGAACAAGTGAACAATTTGTCTCATAATTCAATTTACAGTACAGGTCATTTTGCAAACAACATGAATGTACCAGTTATTGCAAGCGTCAGCAGGCAGGGAGGTGCCGGCTAGATGCAGCTCTCCCTGGTGGTAGCATGGGCACTCAGCTCGGGGGACACAGCTGTTGTTGAGCAGGTAAGAGCCGAGGGCGCAGTAGCAGCCATCGTAACAGGCTGTAGTACACTGAACCTCTGAGGAGGTCATGTCCAAACACACCCGTGGGCACGCACCGCCGTGAGCATCACACTCCGCTGCTGTCATGTACACCATGCCCTCTGGACACACACCTGCAGAGGGAGCAGAGATCATGAACTTTGAGGCATCTATTAAATAAGGCAGGTAAATCAACAAATGAATACCATAATGCAATTCTTTTATGATATTATTTACATCATTGTTCTGTGAACCTGAGAAGTGGGGTCAGAAGAAAACATGATTCAGTACCTGTACAGGGATGAGAGTTGCAGTCTTTGGTCTGTATGTGTGGCCCAGGACAGCTGCTGCCCCCATGCTGTGGTGAAGGAGAATTGCAGAATCTCTCTCTTGTTTGGACGCCAGAGTCACACTCAGATGAACACTGAGACCATGGGGACCAGTCTGACCAGCCACCATTAACTAGTTGAGAAAAAAAAAACCAAAAACCCACCCACTTTAGTGTCTTTTTTTTCATTTAAATACATCAGATTTGTAAAGTAGAGATGTTACACATATCACACCTGGACAGCGTATGGTGTTACAAGGCTCCTGCTCCTCGCTGTCTCCACCACAGGCAGAATCAAAGTGTGTGTGGTTTTGGACTGTCAATGTGTTGTTGCAGCTGCGAAATCGTCGTCTGAGCCCAACATCATCGACACTGTTGAAACACGTCTTGCTGCACTCTGACCAGCTGGTCCATCTACTCCAGACTCCATCTTCTACCCCTTAAATATCAGGAGCATGACAGGAGGACAAACACATCATCCTTTGACCATGAGCATTTAAGTGATTTCTGGCAATATGACTTTACAATGAGCCTGAAAGTATAATCTTTTAAATAAAGCTTTACTTCAAAATGCTGGCTGTGCATAACCCAAACTTTGAAGAAATACTACTATTTATTAAAACAATACAGAAATACTTAATATTATGTAATAAAACATCTTCTGATGAAAAGAAATTACTCATCACAGCTGCATTCATTTAGGAATCATTAAATCACAGTCAGACGGTTTGGGAGCACTTGAGTTATTATTATGGGTTGGTATACCAGGGATGCAGGGGCTGTAACAGCGACGGGCCTCTGAGGAGTCTCCAGGACAAGGCTGGACTCTGGATGCGCCTGCTGGGCTCACTGGAGACCTGCAGAAACAAAGTCGAGGAATTAACACCCTGGATGCAGAATTTATTGGCAGCATATTGAGCAAAAACAGTTCCTGCAACAACTTCTAGATATCATTCTGCAAACTTAAAGGTGAAGAAGTAGAAGGTGCATGCAGATGGTAAAGCATTTAAGGAAAAGCTTTATTAGGTAATATTAAAGTTTATGTAAAGACACAAAAATGTGTTTAACAGCATTTCTGGCATTAACAAAAAACATCAAACTAAGAAAATTATACAGATTATGCATCACTTGTTTATCTAATGCAATGTAATTATATTTGTCAAACAGGCATTATAAGAGGCCTCGAATGTCTTTATACAGCAAAATCAAATTTCAGAAACTCACCTGTAGCGTTGTTGTAGCCCCAGGCCACAAGTAACATCACATGGTGACCATGACGACCAGCCTGACCAAGTACAGGTGGCCACACAGGTGGAGGTATTGCAGGTTATTTTTCCATCTCTGCACACACTGTTGATGCAAAATATGCATTTCAAATAGCTTTTTGTTGATAAGGCAACAACAGCATTTAAACACTCTCTGGGACTGACGCCCTGATTCAGACAGTGTGGTAAAAGCTTCAATCCTCAGTTTTGGATTCATCTATCAAAATAAAGTTAAATCAGGTTGTAAAGAAGCTAACACAAGTAAAATAAATAAAAGATTTTCTGCATTTGAAATATCTCAGTTTGGAAAACCAGAATTGTTTTCAAAATCAAAACATTTATAAGCCAGTGATGTTTCTTACCATGTGGTGCACTGGTCTTTGCTAACTGGCTGTCCTGGCTGCAGTATTTGACCATCCCAGAAACAACCACACTGACTTGCATTCACACACCGACCACTCTGCAGGTACAGACCATCAGGACAGCGACAACCTGAGGAGAAGAAAAAAAATATTCTAGCCAGCAGTAAATGAGCTTAATAAGTTAACACTGTTTCAGGTCACACTGGTGATTAATAATTTACCAGAGTGTGTGGAATTACCAATCCACCTAATCACAGAAAGTAATCAGTTCACTGACAATGAACCAGAGACCCTGTCTTTTAACCTGAGCTGGTAAGTGGGAAAGAATAGACCTGTTAATTTTTGTAATTTAGTAATAACTAAAACAGAACTTTGATTTTCTTGCCAATTACTTTCACAACTATAAGCAATATACAGCTAGCATTTAAAAATATGATATTTGCTACTTTGCAGCTAAGTGACATAAACCATACTACATGATGGAGATATGTGTCAAGAATAACTGCTTAATTATGCTACTGTAACAAAACCAGGCATGAAAAACCCACTTCTACATTGGTGAGGTGTGTAAGGTGAATATGTTTAGGTTAAAAGTTTGGTCTAATTATTTTGCTGGGAGTACGTTTAAACTTTGCTTTGTTGCTTTGTTACAATCATAAAAACACTTGGTCAGAGAATCAATTTAAATTAACCTTCAAATTACTTTAATAAAACAAATCACTCCACAAACTTCCAAATTGATTCCTCACCAACTCCTCTGTGTCATACCTAGTATACATTCCTCAGAGCAGTTGCTGGACGAGCTGAGGTGTGAGCAGGTGGGAGGGCAGGGCTCGACCCTCCCAGCCCGGCAGTCTGCTTCAGTCACAAGAACCATGTTGTTGACACAGCCTGAACAGTCAATAAGAAAACAGGTTTAATTATGTGATATTCCTTGTCAGTACAAGAGTGTTAGATAATTTTTGTGAGACAAACTGAATATTTCAAACACCAAAATACACTCAGTCTGTGTCGGTCACCTGTCTGTGTCCCGACATCTTTGGTGCAGGGCTGGCTGTTGCAGCTCTGACTCTGCAGGGTCATGCCCTCACAGGGCTGTCCTCCATTTTTAGGCGGAGGGGCAGAGCAGGTTCTGTTTCTTTGCCTCACACCACCTCCGCACTGTGCATCACACTCTGACCACGCTGTCCACTCTGACCAGTGGCCATTGACTAAAAGAGGAAAGAGAGGAGAACAAGATTTTGAAGGTTGATTAGATTTAATCCTGGGTACTTGTAAAAGTGCAGGGAGGTCCAGGAGACAGACCTGGGCATGCTCGAGGGAAACAGGCACGACTGTCAAACTGCGCTCCACCACAGGCTCCACCTGGTAAAGCCTCCCTCAGTATGTCTCTCTGACGGAACAAGGAACCCAGCCCACAGGACACGCTGCATGCACTCCATGCTGTCCATGGAGACATGATGCAGTCCACTAAACAAGAGACCGAAAAAACTATTATTAGTGAAAACTTTTATTTTTCAGTTTTTATTTTATTCTATAAGATGAGCAGATATCTTACCACAGTCTTTTTCATCTGACCCATCCACACAGTCTTTTTGCAGGTCACATCTGCGGTCCAAGTGAACACACTCCCCACTGACACAAGAGAACTGCTTTGCAGAGCAGGGGCTGGGCAGCGGTTGGCCTGGTGGAGTGGTAGATGGTCTAGCTGTTGTGCCTTGAGAGAAAAAAAACAAAATTTTCTTCATCTTGTAAAATATTTCCAGATCTGTTAAATCAGTTATTGCTAACCACAAAGGATTCACATCATAGTTTGCATGTCTGCTTCAATTGTAAAAAAGTGTCCCTACATTTGACTCAAATGGCTCAAACAATAAAAAGACAACTTTAAGGCCATTAAAGTGACAGAAACTTGGTTTTGTGAAATGTTTAGATTGACTACCTTTTGCAGACATGCAATAGGGTTACTACATGATCTACAATGGACTTCCTGTGGCTATTGTGCTATTCGTTTGAAGAAGGTTGAGATTGTTTCTAACAATTCGTCAAAATGGATTTAAAAACTTTAAATTGCAATAACTGCAAAGAAATCCCTCTCTTTTTCATCAGTCTGCCAAAGTTGTTGATGCGTACCACAGCGATCTTCATCTGACCCGTCCAAACAGTCCCGTCTGCCATCACACACCTGCGACGAGTTCACACAGCCAAATGACCGGCATGAATATTGGCCCTCCACACAAAGCACTCTGGGTAGTCCATCATCATAGGGAGTTGTAGCACTCCATGGTGCTGGTAATGAAAATAAATGAGAAGTCTTAATGTGTTCATTAGTGACAAGCAGATGTCAGTTTGAAGTCTCAATCCACGCTTTGTCTCTCACCTTTTGTGGGTTGCAACCCAGGTCTCCCAGAAGTGAGGCTGGTGGTGAGATGCAGTCCAGGTTGACCTGTGGTGACTCCTGGATATACTGGTGGTCTTGTAGTCCACAGGCCTGTCCATGTAGGACATAAAAGGCATTAAAACAGACAAAGAAGAAATGAAAAGATTAATATCTTGAAAATATGTAACAAATGAGAAGCGGATTGATTCTAAAGCTTTTAGTACCTTCACCTGAGGTTGAAGTGTTCTGGAGTCTTGAGTCACCTGTGACCCCCTCGCTAGCCACACCAGGACGGCCACCATTTGATTTGGTGGTAAAAAGGCCTGGGGGGCCTGTTGTGCTGTCGCCATGGAAGCCTGGCCTCCCTGTGGGGCTGGTCTGGTTGTGCAGTCCTGGAGGACCTCTGGTTGGAGCTGTACCTGACGAAACAGAATAAGGATTTTATGAACACAGACAGGAATGGATCAGAAAATTTAAAACAAGAGAGACACATAATTTAGCATTTTTTCTTTATGTGGAACTTCTTGTGCTGCTATCCTGGCCAGGATTCCCTTGTAAAAGAGATTCTGAATCTCCATGGGTTTATTTCCTGGTTAAATAAAGGTTACTAACTAACTAACTAAAAACCAGTAGTGTGAGATCAAGTATATAATGGAAAAGATACAACTATTGAAAAAATATCACACTGTGGCTCTCACCACAGTTGATCTCGTCAGAGTGGTCCTTGCAGTCCGGTCGACCATCACAGAGCACAGAGACCGACACGCAGTCTTCACTGTGCTGACAGGCAAACTGTCCGGGCTGACAGCGCTGTACAGTGACTTTGCCACCACCAGAGGGAGTCTTCGTCACACTGCTGGGTGTCACCAGCTCATCTACGAGAAAAGGAAGGGTAGCCTGTGTCACATAAAGAGCTGTATAAAGATGGTCAGCCCGTTACTTACTCAGTTAAACAGCTGTTCATTTTTTTATAATAACTCAGCTGTGAGTCCTCACCCCCTCTGCAGCCCAGGATCTCCGCACGCAGGTAGAACGTGTGTCTGAACTCCACAGGGATGATGCGTAGGTAGCGAGCTCTGACCAGCCGATCAAGCCAGCGGGTCACAGGAGTCCTGCCCACCATCCGCACTTCAAACACCTACACCACAACAAAGAGAATATTCCTATACAGTCATATTTACTGGTGAAATACTGTTTTGAAATGTCTATTTCTTTACTCTAAAACATCTAATCATGATGAGAATAATGTCTTCATCAGATGAAAAGAAAAGTCAATATTTTTCATGGTACCTGGACAGGACTCCCTGGTTTTCCATCCTCAGTATAGTCTGTGAACAGTTCACTGTGCAGGGCAAAGGCCAGGCGGTATTTGGAGATGTAACCCCACATACGTTCACTTCCCTGTAACACCACCCCAGATACCCATGTGGGCTCCAGAAAGTCCACCTGAAAATATGGTTGAGGGTCTGTAGGCAAAGGGCTCCATCCAGGCTCCATGACTTGACTGCAAGGAAGATAAAGGGGTTAATCATTTCCTGTATGCATTATATCCCCACTCTCTCCGCACTCATTGGAGTACATGTACCATAATCCAATTTTGCAGCTTTTGAGCTCTTTAAAGATCAAATCTCTCACACATTTGGGATGATGTTTAGTCGTCCAGCATCAGCAGGATTGTTCTCACGGTACGAGGATGAAGTCAGCTGACCATACCGTATTCTCCCGTCCTCCAGTCCGAGAGGAGACGAGCAAATTCCTGCAAATATGACACATATTTACACTGTCTCACAAAGAACAGAAATGCAAGCCCTTGCTAGAATGCTCTGCTTTGCAACAATATTTGATTTTCTTCATAAGATATCTGAGGCTGAAAACACAACTAATCTACAAAATAAACAATTTCACACTTACCGCGATATCCTGGCCCAGCATCCTGTAAAAATACACAAAACAAAGCCAGTGTATTTTGATATGTGTCTACATTACACATGTAATCTCTGGGTCTTGTTTAATGCTACATAAAAAGACTACTGCATTTTGTTCAATTACATTCCTCCAGTATTGCACCACTAGTTTAAATATTTGCTGTATGCTTATTATCTGTTTCAGAAAATTTAACATGTTGACTGAAAAATAAACGTTGCTTTTAGATAAACAGGGCGGCTTCAGCAGATTGCTTTTTAGACTGCTTTGGCATTAATATGAATCTGTCTGTAACTATTTTAGTTTGATCAAGAAAACTTAGAAATAGCTCTTGTATTCATATGTGTTCATTTGAAGTGACACCAATTCCTTCTGAACTGAGCAGACATTAAAATAAGAAACTATCAGGGAATGGAAACCAATGACTCAAAAACTTGGCTTCAGGGAAACCGATAATTACTTCCAGTGTTTCCTACCGTTGGTTTAACTGCAGGGTGAGTGACAGCCGCCATTGATGGAGTCCTTAGAGGTGCAGGAGTGGATGTGTGTGGCCTGTAATTTACAACAAATTAGCATTAAGGTGGAGGGGAAATGGTCCAAGATCATTCTTCATTTCTATTAAACAAAAACTACACACAACAACCAGCAAAAGAGGCACTCAAAGCCAAGAGATGACACATGAATTAAAAAGCAGAAAAAGGTATTATTCAAATACATAATCTATAAAATATCACTGTAACTTTTTGTCAAGAATTAGACCATTTGTTGCCAATAATTATGAACAGTTATGCCCTTCACCTGTCTGACTGTGTTGTCATGTTGTCATGGTGATAGCAGCCAGTTTCATCCTCTCCTTTGGGACAGTGAGGGATCCCATCACAACGTTTTCCTTTGTCAATGCAGCCCCCTGGTGGAGGGCAGGAGAACTGTCCAGCAGGGCAGCTTCGAGGACTGGTGGTTGTAGAGGAAGGCTTTGTACCTGCATGCAGAAATAGTCACGGAAAAGTTAGTGTTACCTTTCAGTTACTGTGTGTGCAACTTCTTGGAGTCACAAAGAACGATGAAAAAGAAGCAGGATCAGAGACGGCTGATACTGTAACCTGGTTTTCTTTCTAAAAACAAACTAAAATAAACACACTTATGTGGCATATCTCTAAAAAAAATATATGTGAGAAATTGGAAAATTCACCACAATGCATCTCATCTGACCCATCCCCACAGTCATTGACCCCATCACAGACAACTCCCAATGGACCTGCTGGCACACAGCGACCATTTTCACAGTGGAACTCTTTATCTCTGCAGCCCCCTACTGGAGAGACAGGGGAGGGTGGAGCTGATGTCACAAACCAGTGTTCACCTGGAAGAGAGGAAAGGGGGAGATTTAAGGATTACATTTTTACTCAGAACCACAGAACACTACCAAAACAACTCTCCAAAGTAGCATTATCCACTCACCATCTCCACAGCCCATGATCTCTAGTCGAAGGTAGATGCCGTTCTGGAAATCATGTGGCAGCAGGCGGACAAACTGAGCTGACACCATCCTGTCCAGTCTGATCTCTGCTACTCCTCGGTCATCATGGTTACCGTTAAAAACCTGGGGGGTAAAATGATAATATTAATAGAAAGCTTCAAGACCTTCAAGCAGCTTTCTACGCACACAGCAGAAAGTTATAGTGACAAGTTGTGAAGTCTAACCTTGGCTCTGGGTCGAGCATCAGTGACAAGCTCCTTATATGTGTACCACTGTCTACCATCGCTGCTGAACTGAAGATAGAAACTCGACACAAAGGTGCCGAACACACCTCCACCCTGGGTTAGCAAACCTTGAGAAAAACAGAGGAGACATTGTTTACACCGATATACAGCACATTATCTCATATGAAATTCTCAATTGTGAATAGTACAATAAGAAAGAATTTCAATCTGCCTGTATCCTGCTTTACCGGTGATGTTGTATGGTTGGAGAAGGTCTATCTGTAGGTAGGGGCTCTGAGTTTTGCTTGTGTGTCCTTCAGGACTCCGCTGTGGTAGATCCTTGTACTCCTCAGGCTCTGGACTCCAGCCCTATGGCAGATTATCAGAACACATCATATTGATGATGTTGCAGCAGAAATTGCTTTCAAGTGACGGTGACCCACAGCAGGGCAGTCACATACATGTCATGGGTTCTAAAATAAACAGGGTTGTAAAAATGATTCATGAAATAAGTTAAAAGAAATCCAATCTTAGCATTACTCTGCATGTACAGGGTGGTTAACCATTCTACTGTGCCACATGAAGAGAGATATTTACTCCAATATCAAAGTAAACCCTCTTAAATGATCACTAAAGATGTTTCTAACCACCTCAAAGATACCATTTCAGTAGTGGAGGTAGCAACTGACGAAGTAATTATCACTGCAATATTACAATACACCAGTACCATGGGTATTAAATCAGGAGCACACAATAACACTTAAAAAGCTGTTGCTGAAAACTAACTGAGCATTTTAACAATCCTTACCAAAACAAGGATTTACAATCCAAGCTGATGTAAGATATCCAGAGGTTAAAAATAGACAAATGATCAGACACTATATTGCAGATCAAATGAAAAAGCAGTTTTAGTTTCAATGTTTAGTTGGTGATTAATGCCATCAGAATTTTAACCCTTGGTGTTTATCCTTGATTCAATGATCATCACTTTATGTTAAAATTATGGACTTTGCTGAATTAAATTAGACCTAGTAATCTGATTTATCCTGTAAAGTCACAGTTTGAAATGGTTTGTGTCAGCTACACTTTTGAAGCTGCTGGGGATTCAGAATCTTGTTTTAGAAAATCTCACCTGAAAGGACCAATTTCCGAACAACTGAATAACTTAAAGTCTTGATCTACCTGTAGGTCACTGTGGGCGTTCCAGCTGTGGAGGCGGCCTGTTTCAGGTGGGTGACCAGTCTGCTGTGAGGAGGCACTGAAACTGGAGGCTGGGAGAGACTGAACACCAAGAGGAGTCCAACACTCATCTAAACAAGAAGAAAATAAGAAAATGAGGTGATCACCACAATTAGTTCAGAAGTGATTAATATAATGGAAGCTTAAAAAAAAGTTCTTTAACACACTGCCTACTAAACTGTGTGATCAGCTGATCTTACCTCCAGGAGGAAGTGGGTATGTGGGAACCAGAGGTTTGGTGCCCTCTGCTGGTGCAGACGTTATAGTGTCTGGGCTGATGGTCACAAGAATGGTGTTGTTTTCTCCTAAAAATATAGTAAGATGTAGTAGTCCGATTTGCACACGTGCCACAATTAGAAAAGGAGATATTACACAAGCGTTGGTAAGGGTGGACAGTGATGGTTTTACCTTCGCAGTAACAGCACTTGTCTCCCTCTCCAGGCACCAAACTCTGGCCCTGCACAGACAGAAGATGACTGTGTTACATTTGAATCAGCCCCCGATGTGCTAAAGATGCTTTGGAGCACAGTGATACTGAGAAAATCACTCAGTGACTGCCATCGTGGAGGTAGGTCCATGCATATAAAATTTATCAATCATTACTATCAATCATACAATTATTAAACTCCAAAACAAACTTTGCTATAAATGTTTAATTGGCCCTGTAAACACAAACATGCACTTGGAGAGAAACCCGCAGCCTCACTTTGAGTTAGTTAGACTTATTTATTAGCTAAGATTTAAACAATAATAATTTATGCACCAAACTCAATCTTAAATGCCAACACACCCATTTGATGCATTACATTAAATGGTTGTAAATTCTAAGAATCTCCTCTCACCGCTGGGCATCCACTGACAGCAAATGGACAGTAGGGGGCACACTGAACCATAAGGTTTGGCCTGCAGTGACATAAAAGGCAGTGGTCGGACCTCCATCTGTCTCCCACAGCATGAGACTGACCCTGGTACTCACACTCATCACAGGGGTCAGTCTGGCACCTGCAAACACATAAATAGACATGGTTCAAGGTATGGAGACAAAGTCAGTAATACACCCCCTGGCAAAAATTATTAAATTACAAGTCTTGGAGGATGTTCATTCAGTTGTTTAATTTTGGAGAAAAAAAACAGATCACAGACATGACAAAAAACTCAAGTCATTTCAAGGGGCAACTTTCTGGCTTTAAGAAACATTAAAAGAAATCAAGAAAAAAAAGGTGTTGGTCAGTAACACTTCCTTTTATAGACCAAGCAGAGGGAAAAAAAATACAGAATCACTAAACTCTGAGGAAAAATGATGGAATCAAGAAAAACAAATAAAGAAAAGAGCACTCAAAATTTGTTGCACGACCTCTGGCTTTTATAACAGCTTGCAGTCTCTGAGGCATGTACTTAACGAGTGACAAACAGTACTCTTCATCAATATGGCTCCAACTTTCTCTGATTGCTGTTGCCAGATCAGCTTTGCAGGTTGGAGCCTTGTCATGGGCCATTTCCTTCAATGTCTGCCTTAGATTTTCAATTTGATAGATATTCGGACTATTTGCAGGCCATAACATTGACCTTGCGTACTAACCCCAGTAGCATGACACAATTCAACCCGATCAACATTAAAACCCTGGAGGACATCATACTAAATCTGAAATCCTCCACCTGCTGCCTTGATATTCTGCCAACAGGTTTTTTTTAAAACAGTTTCTAATTGCATGGCCTCAGATCTTCTACAGATTGTCAACATGTCACTTCTGTCAGGTGTCTTTCCACAGGCCCTGAAAACTGCTGTCATAAAGCCACTCCTAAAATAAAGCAACCTAGACAACTCAGTAAGGAACAATTATAGGCCTATATCGAACCTCCCGTTTTTAAGCAAAATCATTGAAAAAGCAGCCTTCTAACAGCTTCACAACTTCTTAGTCCTAAACAACTGTTTTGATGTTTTCCAGTCAGGGTTTCGACCGCACCACAGCACTGAGACTGCTCTTATCAAAGTCTAACGACATCCACTTAAACTCAGACAATGGCAAAATTTCAGTCCTAGTATTGCTCGATCTCAGTTCCGCTTTCGACCCAGTAGACCACAGCATCCTACTCGATCGACTGGAAAACTGGGTGTTTCCTCTCATTTATTCCTCATTTGTTTTGCTGTGCATTTTCCATTTTCAAGTCATATTAAGTTTTCTGTCTTAATGCATTGATGTCTTCCTTGTTCTCCCAATATGCTTGCCTTTAACAACCTTACTGTGTTGTTTGTACTTAGGTCAGATTTTAGACATAGCTGATTGTGAACAACCAATATCTTTTGCAACATTGCGTGGTGATTTACCCTCTCTAAGGTGTTTGGTAATCCTCTCCTTTGTTTTAATTGACATCTCTCATGTTGGAGTCATGATTCATGTCAATCCACTTGGTGCAACAGCTCTCCAAGGTGTGATCACTGCAGACTAACGAGCAGATCTAATCTGATGCAGGTGTCAGTTTTGGGAAAGAACATTTACAGGGTGATTCTATATTTTTTTTTCTCAGAATTGAGTTCTTGGTCTAAAAAAGTAACTGTTACTGACTACCACATTTTTTGTCTGTCTGTGATCTGCTTTTTCTTCTACAAAATTAAACAACTGAATGAACATCCTTTAAGACTGGTGATTCCATAATGTTTTACTAGGAGTTTCTTGTCAATTATTTGGTAATCTTATGAACCAAATAATTGACAAGTGGGAAAGTGATCAGAGGGGAATCAGAGGACATAAATAACCACAAGTGGAGATGAAGAAATTCAACATTAAACAAGAGAAGCAGTTGAGAGTCCAGATGAACACATACCTGCGGGCTTTCCTGTAAATTCCTCTGCATACTCTCCCATCGCCGTGCTTGACAGGACTGTTTGGGCTGCGGAACGACCACTGAACACTCTGAACACCACAAGGTCCCAAACACTCTCCCCACTCAGTCCATGATGACCAGCCACAGTTCACTGTAGTGTTACAGAGGACAAGATTTTGACACAGCTGCAACACAGTTTTTGGATAAAATCAACTTAGAATTCTGTTGTATGAAAGACCCACCTGCACAGTCTGGGTTAGGTTGACATCTCTGCGGTCTTCCTCTCTCACATACACAAATCTCGCAGTCCACCTTGATCTGCTGGCCTGGCCAGTAGCGCACACCTGCCACCTCACAGGAACACTCCTCAGGTAGCACACACTGTTGCATGTGGTTCATCACCTGTCCCTCAGCACACCAACAACCTGGAGCAAGACATATATAAATTGTCAGAAGAAAGCTTTGTGTAATTTTTTTTAAATACAAAGAAGCAAAAAAAAAATGAAAGAGAAAGAAAATTATTCCAGATTTCTGCTGCCTGACCTGAGGAGCAGGGTGTTGTTGAATCACAGGTCATCCCACTGCTGATATGAGCGCAGGAAACAGGGCATGGGGTGCAGTTGTATCTCACCAGCCCTGTGGGACAGCTGGCGTTGGCACAACCATCATCAGGACAAGGCTCTGAGGTGTGACGGGGGAAAATGTTTTTGTTTCAAATCTTTGCCATCTACCAACTCATCACACTTTATTTGAAATTGTGCACTTGGATAAGAGTTTATGTTTGATCAGCCTGTAGTTTTTTCCTATATGAATTTTTATCACAGAATCACACAAATACTCTAAATGAAATCACAAAAGGATTGATCTAACAATGAAAAATAACAAATTTTATGAAACAACAGCCCCTGTTTTCCATCAAAAAAGTTACTGTGCTACTGTTTAACAAAATAAAAGTCTTTAAATAAGTGCTTTTTTACTTACAGTAGTAATTGTGCAACACTGGTAAGTCTGTGATTATTTCAAATATAAATTCTCCAAAATGTTTCCATTATCTCCTATTTTATCTTCAATCTTAGTCTACAAACAGTTCTTACTGATTTCCATCGTTAGGTTGGATGATCCAGGGAGCTGGGAACAGTCTCTGCCTCCATAGCGGGGAGCGATGCAGCCTCTGTGTCTGACTTGCACTCCACCACAAACACCAGAGCAATTTGACCAGCTTCCCCATGGCGTCCACTGACCATCAACTGCAGGGTGTAAGAGAATAAAGAACTCTTATAAGTCATATAAGTCCTTTCAGATTCTTAGAATTAATATGTTGCTTTGCCTGTTGCTGTCTTTACTGAAAATACATAGAATGTGTGTAGTTCATATCCACATCCTTACTAGGGCAGGTGGTGTTAAAGCATTGCTGTTTCTGGTGGTCTTGTCCATGACAGTGATGCAGTGGGTCCCCTGGGGGACAGGTTCTTTCTCGGATCATGGAGCCTGTGCCACAAGAGGTGCTGCAGCCACTCCATGGACCCCAGGAGCTCCAGCTTCTACAGCTCTGCTCATCAGTGGGGACTCCAAGAGGAGTTAATGAGGAGTCAGGGCAATCTGCAACTCCATTACACACCTAAGAGGAGGGAAGAGAGTGAAATAATCATATTATTCCCTGAAGGAGAAAAGATGCTAGTTTGGAACCAGTTTTTAAAATATCAAAAACATTTTATATGTGAAATATTGATTATCAAAAAACTTATAAAAATAAATCTTACCACTCCATGTTTTTTAATTTTTAAGAAGTAATCATGTACATTAATAAACAATGGACTAACCATGTTGAAGGGGACACAAGATCCATCCTTGCAGGTAAATTCGGGACAGGTGACTGTGGTGTTTCTGCTGCCAGGTGGCAGTGGTGAGATAGTCTTATCTGTACAGAAGTATATTTCAGAATCATCATTCACCGCACCACAGATTTTAAGAGCCAAAGCTGATTTATCAGACACTGCATACAAGGGCCTTTAACGCCTCTTTCTTTATGACTTTAATTTCCCTTCTATTCTTCCTTCGCACTAAGCCATCATTTCATTCATCTTCACTTCCACTCTCACCTCGCTCTCTTTGCCTCAACTTGTGAGAACTCACCACACACCAACTCATCGTCGCCTCGAGGACAGTCTGGGACACCGTTGCACACTTGTGTCATGTTCACACAGGTACGGTTGTCACATGAGAAGCTGCCTGGACATGGAGGTATCCGAATAGAGCCTAGTCGACCGACAAAATTTTTTTAACATCAATGCTGTTTTGTGAGGTTATGATATGATCCTTTAATGCGTCTATGATGTTTCTTGTTTTCACCCTCTTTTGTCTTAATATTTGCAGTTACACAAACTCACCACAGGTGTCGATACTCTCGTCAGATGCATCTCTGCACTGTGGAATCCCGTCACATAGCTGCTGGTAGTCCACACATTGGTCCCCACTGAGACAAGTCACCTGGCCGGGGCCACAGGGGACGCTACACTGCTGCTCATCACTACCATCCAAACAGTCTGTTTCCCCATCACAACGCCAGGCCTGAGGCACACACTGCCCAGCAGTGGCACAGCTGAACTCATATGACCTACAAACTGCAGACACAGAGGTGTGATTTTACAGAGCGAACACTTGATTCACTCCATGAATCTCTATATCATGAGTGTGGTTACCTGTTGTAGGCACTGTTGGAGTGACAGCTGAGGATGAAGGTGTTACACTAAAAGCGTAGCAGTTGGTTGTGTTTTCATCCTCTCCATTCGGACAGTCTCTTGTACCATCACATAACTTAGTCTTTGCCACACATGTACCATCACTGCAGGCCAGCTGGTCAGGAGCACAGGTTACTGCGAACCACAAACAGATATCACGACAGCTACTTTTTTTGTAAGTGTGGTCCAAAAATGCAAACGGTGCCTTTTTGCCCTCAGGCATATGTCCTCCTGTCTGGTGTTGACTTAATTTAAGTTGTAATAACGGCAGAATTTTGGACTTTTTTATGATGCCGGTTAAACAAAAAACCTCCTGGCTGTCCAAAATGTGTATTTGGTTCATATTATATTTTATTTTCTGTCAAAAGTTTACTCCCTCTTAAAAAAGTTGGTGCACAGCTCTGCCATGTTTACCTTTACTTGGACAGACGGCTTCATCAGTTCCTGAGGTGCAGTCTCTGTGTCCGTCACACACTTTGTTAGCAGAGATACACTGACCTCCAGGACACTGGAACTCTCCTTTTGAACACACACACCTAAAACACACACACACAAAAAAACCTTTATACTATGAACACAAATGGCATAGCTACAAATGACTTGTAGTAACTGATGGAGCTTTCTTTCAATTTTATTTGGAGTCTGATGTCTGTGTTGCTTTGAGTTCATCTTATGTTGTTACGGGCAGTATATACAAAGCAAGGGTCGCCATGATGACAAGTTAATATGTTGTCTTTAAAAGTTGTCTTTGTTTTTGTTATTTCATGGTAAATTTAATTTACATTAAGGTTGCTGTCATTTTTGCTTCACACTCTGCTGAGGAAAATTATTTAGTGTTAGATGAAGTTAAAGTATAACGTGAATGTCACATGTGAGGGTGCTGAGGGACAGCATCAGCAAAACAGGAAGAGACCGATGAATGAGAATGTGGTCAGAATGATCCCAGCTATTTTTCTTTTTCTGTTGGTTTTATGAGGGCGAACATGGTAATTTCATTAATTTCTTTGTTGTTCAACTTAAATTGTTTGCAATATGTTGTTTAATTACCAATCTCTGTTTTAATAAGTTATTATTGTCATGTGTTTTATCTTTTTAATTTTCACGGTTGCACCACTTATATCTTCCAAGAAGATTACACAGTTGTAGGAATCAGTTTGAAGCATAGACCATTCATAACCAAAACTTACATATATGTATAAATGTCAGAAATTTCTCCTTAAAAATATACTTATAAATAAAAACTGATTTAATTTACTTAAAATGCCCAAATCTGCTGTTTAATAGAACTGAAGACGCACCCTCTTTCATCACTGAGGTCCCCACAGTCATCATGTCCATCACAGCGATGGATGTATAGGATACAGCGTCCTCCAGCACACAAGAATTCTCCCTCATCACACACTACACCACAGTCTGGAGGACCAAAAGTACAGTCCATCATAAGTTTACATACATATCGTACTAAAAAAGTCACCACTTAAAGCTTCTTAACATGTGTCTAACTTTATGTGCTGAGTATACTGCTATAATAGAGTTATAGTTATACCTTGCTCATCAGATCCATCAGCAAAACCACAGTCCAGCCGTCCGTCACACACACGGCTGGCTGGCAGACACTTTCCACTAGCACACTGAAACTCCCCTGGTGGACATAGAGGCACAGGAGTTGCAGGCCCACAGAACTCCTCATCTGATTGGTCGACGCAGTCTGGGTGGCCATCACATCGCAGGGCTAGACTCAAACATGGTCCGCTGCAAGGTTGGGGTCATTACACTTTAATAAATTCTGTTGAAGACTGACATTTTCGTTTTATAAAACAGCTGGCTGTTCTGAACTCATTCTAGCAATCCTGTATATATTAGATGAATGTAATTATTTCAAGGACTGGAGGACTGAAAAAACTGTTAATAAATGATTGTTTGGTAAACCTTTGCCAGTGTTGTATAAGTAAAACTAAGAGTATATTCATTGATAAACTGCATCATATCAGACAGCTGGAGGTTAACGGATCATTTGTGTTCAGCCTCAGAGAAACTCAGACCAATTTTGTGTGGAACTATCCCAAGAAGAGTGTTCTGGTCTTCCTTAGTACTTATGCTTGCTGATGAACTTCCCTGAGTTTTGTTTCACCTTGGTGTGCTGCTGCAGCGGAATTGTTCTGGTGAGCAGGTAAATGGGCAGATCTCATCTGATCCATCCCCACAGTCATCTTCATTGTCACACACCCACTGAGAGGGGATGCAGCGCCCCCCGGCACAGGTAAACTCCGACTCAAGACAAGGAGGGGAAGGAGGGGGACAGGGAACACCCTGACACTGCCACATACCATCCTCACAGGAACTGGGGACACAAACAATGGCATGGTTACTCAACAATACAGAGCATCCTTCATCGTGTCTTTATGCATTTGCATTGACTGACCAGTTCTGACAGTGCTGAGTGATGATTGACCCAGCTGGAAACATGGAGCCATCCCACTCGCATGGACACTGAGTGGGAGCTACGCAACTGTCACCTATAAAGCAAAAAAAGTGAAAGAGATCATTTTGATGTCCTATGAGCTTCACCAGTTTAAAATAAAGAAAGTTGCCCTGAGATATGCAGGGTGTAAAGAAAGACAAAGAGTACAGGCTCATTGAAAGAAAGGCAGTTTGGAAAATACTGTAGTGTTGATCCTTTGAAAAGGCAAAGGTAATGTTGTGCCAAAAATAAAAACAGTTTATCCTCTTGATATTTACATGCATTGAAATCCTATTAGTTTTGGAGAAAAAAATAAAAATAAAAAAAACTCTCCGCAGCTGAAAGTGTTTGTCAAGAGAGCTTTCTAAGTTTCAAACATTCAATCTGAAATTGTCACCAAGACTCTAAAATGTGACAAGTCATCCTCTTTGGAGCACAATGTATACTCAAGAGATACACCCATGAAAACATGACATTTTTTTTAACACATTATCATTCCTGGTAGCTCACGCTTAGTTTAGTTAATCTGTCTTACCATGTCGGACAGTTCCAGCGGGACAGAAGCAGCCCTCCATACAGGAGAGAACACCACACTGCGAGTGTGGATTTTTCTGAACACTTGGACATGAGGGGGAGCAAGCCGGGCCACAAGGATCATACACCAGCCCGTTCTCACACTGCAGAGCTGTAAGGAATGAGGTGAGACATATGACACATTAAGATAGACTGCATTACTAGAACAAATGTGGATATGTGTTTGTTGTTTGTCTCTGACATACGACAGAGCTCCTGGGACCTCCAGCGGATGTAAACCCCACGTCGGTTACACTCCTCAGCGTAGGCGGCAATAGCTGTGCAGAGACACTCACAGTCCCCACCTGAGTCACAACTGCAACACAAAGACAGTCAGTTACATGGTAAGAGCTGTGGTTAAATATTTCTGTCTGTATTGTAAGGGGATACAGATTATTTTTGGAAGGAGAGACTGCTGTAAATTGATATGATCCAAAAATCAATGTCCTGGACATGATAAAGAATATCTGTATATCTCAGATTTTCTCAAGAGTAAATATTGTGTACTGATATTAAGTTTAATGTCTGTCACTCACCCGCATGCATCAAAGACACACCAGTCATAATACTGCTGGAAGGGCACCTCAGAATGACACTGAGAGAAGAGCTCCTGAGTCAGGACTGCACACTTTTTCCTGGCCCAAGTCATCCTGTGGGGGTTCAGCTGAACAAGACAGAGAAAGAAAAGTTAGTGCACTTTTGTTCATAGAAAAAAGTGACAGTTTACTTCCAACTGGGTCTGTTTCTGTGTAAATGGCGAACGCAATGACAGGTCTTCTCTGAACTCACAGCACATGGGTCACGGAGGTCCTGGTTTGCCACGTCAGGGCAGGAGGGGCTGACCTTCCAGGAGTTTCCAAACAGTTCAGGTGTGGACTCCACAATGCCCTGCCGTGTAGTGAAATCATTTTCTGTGTCCCCATCAAAGTTACCACACAGACCCCCAACCCTACCCCGCAGGTGGGCGGCCAGACGGACATACACCCGCATACCTAAAGACAACAGGAGGTTTGACATCATGACTACAGAATCATTTATTGACCTCTGCATACCGACACAGACAGAACCAATGGATTAGGAACTATTTGGCTTTATGACATGTGTCTTCAATAACAATCAGTAAAATATTTATATATTTTCAACATAACATGAGGACAAAACTTTTGAGCCAGACTCATGCAGATTATATCAGGTAATAATGGCCTATGATAGGTCCCAAATTTTGTATTTTTCTATACAGGTTTCTTCTACCACAGGAAGCAGTTCTTGGGCTGTGTGACTCAATTTTCAATACTACAAACATTGTCTGAAACACAAATAGCCAAGCATCAGTTGGCCTCTGAACAGGCAGTAGGCCACACTACTATTTGCCGACAAAATCAAAGTTGTTAGGAGACAATTCAAAGCTGCAGAAGTTTTGAGATGTGTGTGCTCTACCTCCATCCCAGAGGAGTGTGACCCCCAATTTTGAAGAAAGGGAGACGAACAGTCCGACTCTTTCCAAAGTTAGACCACTGCCACTGTAAGACTTTGGTAGACTTACAGGCATCCCATTTACAGTCACGGCTTTACCTTAAGGACAGACACACAACAACTAGCTTGGGCAACTGAGGAACCTCTGGACTTAAAGTTATGCTCTTTGCTCTTTGTAGAACCGTTCTACCTACCTCTCAACAGATGTATGACCGTATTCCCCAGGCTGAGGGTCACTGACTTTGTACAGGTAACCCCTGTACTTCCACAGGGCACGTTCTCTGCTGTGACACTGAACAAACCACTCGTCTCCCTCGCCAACACATACTGGCAGTCACCCAGGAAAGAGTAACAGCGTCCATCAAATGTCACATAGTGTGGGTCTCCAGTTGCCAAGCACACACCTGCACAGGCAGACTGGCTGCAGTGCCAGCGCCGCTCCTTACACACACTGCAGGAATGAATGTAGGTAAGCTGCGATTCTACTTTATAACATTAAAGTGATGCTATACAATGAGACAGCTGCATACATTACCATGTGTTGCAGTCCTTAGTAATGGTATCATTGGTGTAGTAAAGTCGACCATTATGGTGGCATGGGCACTCATCAGGAAGAACACAGTTATCACCCTAAAAGTAAACACAATTCACAGACTTCATTGTAGCCATACAGGGTCAAAGCATGAGATATCGATCACCTGTGTTTCTGTTTACCACTCACACTGAAGTTTTACAATGAACCCCTTTTGATGTGTTTTCATACATTTACCTGCCAGATGAGCCTTAAGATCATCTCTAAAATCGAATGCATCCCAAAGTTTTAGGTTTTGTTGAGACAGTGAACAAGAGATGATGATTTAACTTTTATAGAATCATCATGTATTTATTACTGTAATGCATGGTGGTGGTGTAATAAAGTCTTGTGCTTATAACTAATTTGTGTAAATTCAATGGCAATGCGTAATTTTTGATAACTTCCTGTTTAAGGTTTTGCATCAAAAGGATATTAAATCCCTTACTGACATTCTTGGACATTCATGTTATGGCAAAGTCCACAGTTAAGGTTTGTAAGATCTAAATACACCTTATTTAAGTAAAACAGGTAAACAATGCAGAAAAGGTACATAAACTAAAAAGTGATTATTACTAGTGGAGATATCATAATGTTTTCTTTAAAACAATAACAATAATAACCTTGCTTAAAACAAACAGTTGCAACATTCAGGATTATTATCGTGTTATGCCTGTCAATTTTCACTTTTTAACCATCCTTAGCAAGCTCTTGTAAACAAACTAGAACCAGGTTCTAAATGTCTCTTTTGGCGTACTGGTAGGCTAATGCTTTTACAAGACAATAACATCACACAATATCATTTTTTCAGTTTGCAGTTCAATCGGTTATCTTCCTACCTGGAGACAAGCTCAGATTAAAGAAGTGTGCCCCATCTTGCTTAGCTTTTCAGTGTAAACATCTTAGTGTCTAACTGACAATTAGCAACAATTGGCTGGTTGGTTTTACTGTCCTGCATTTTGTTGTTAGGCTACATGGCCAGACTCTTTACGAAATATAGCAATATTACTGTATTTACAGTCTATTTATCAGTAAGATATATTTAAAAACGTAGTCATACAGTACCTGCGAGTTTTTCATCAAGGATAATTAAGCTTCTGATTTCCGCAAACGAAAACGCATTTGTGGCCGCATTCTATTTAGCTTTACCAGTGTCCTAGTTGTGTATCCTGTATATGCAAGCTCACTATAAAGCTGTATTTAATGCTATATGGAACGAGTCCTTTTTAATTAGTCAATATTGGCTACATCGGTGTCTGCAATGACAAGTCACAATTTTTTTCTGGTTTATTTGTCTTAATTTCAAAAACATATCCTTTATCAGATAATAGCAAAGAATCTTTTTTTGTTGTTGTTTTTTTTGCCATAAAATTGCTTTATATTTTATGTCATTGCCATCCTTTTACTCATATGAGTAAAAGAATGAAAATTAGACAAATTGCAGAATTACTAAAAAAAAAAAAGTAAACATACAGAAACCTTAAAGTACATCCACTCACCTGGTGCTCTTCTACATCTAAATATACCATTATAAGAAGTGTTGATCTAGTTAGCTAAAAAAAAAATTGGATTCACTCACCAGTAGCACAGTTCCCTGGGGACAGACACACCCAGACAGGGGTTCTCTGCAGCTAGACTGTGAAACACCAGACCCCTGCTGCTGGCCTGGAGGGTCCAGGCTGGAACAGGTAAGAAGGCAGGAGCGTGGCGAGTAAATTAAACTGCCTGGACACCTGTTTACCTCCTCACAGTGCTCCTGAGTGCAGTTAAACTGTCCCTGGACACATACACTGTCAGAAATAAGAGAGGAAGTCAACACTGATATCATATGAAAAAATGTATAGCTTATCATACTTTATGATGTAAGGCTTTGGAGAAAACATTTAGACCTTTCAATAAATGATTGGTGCATCTAACAGTTGTAACTAAAAAAGAAAAAAAAAAAACAGGCAAAGTTGGAAAACAAAGTGGAGCAATTGTAAATCCATAGTTTAACTGTGAAAGAGAGCCCTCTAGTGATATTCTGAATCACAACAGTTCACTGCAGATAAATGTCACTTTGAATCCCAGAGAAAAGCTTATAAAATATAATAAAAGTGCAATAAAGGTGCCATGTGGTGTAAGTTCATTTAATCAGCATGGCTTATCATTCAGTCTAGATGAATGGATCTACTGTACACCATATTGTACAGCAGCTTAATTATTATCCCAAATGCAATCTGTTTTACAGGAGCAGTCAATTAGGTCAACTGTCTTGCAAATAAAACACAAAAAAGTAAAACTTTGGCAATTCATTGATACAAACATGAACATATAATAAAATGAGAGATTACCAAATAAACAGTAGCTTTAGTGATAGTGGCTGTGTTTGTGCAGTGAAGAGATGCAATGAAATCAACCTATCCTGTATCAGGTAGCAGGAACATAGGGCGATTTCATCAGAGCTCTTGCACCACCAGGAGTCTCAGGGGATATTCTGGTTTATGCAATACTGTACATGTTCAGCATGAAGTTACACGCATTCAGAGATAAATCAAAATTTGTGCACAGAACAACTTTCTTTAAAAGTGGTTCAGCATAAAACTGCCATGTGTAACTAGAAGCAGAAGCTAAATATGCCCAAATTTTGTGTAATTTGGCTTTATGGTAGCTCATAGAAGCATCTAGGAAATGCTTCCAACAGAATGAAAAAAACTACCTCTATTGCACGAAACTGGACTAAAAACTAAGATGATTTCAGGTACATTTTGACAACACTTGATCTGAGCAGGTGAAACCAGGGGGACTTCTGTTTAAGTGTGAAATTGTGGATGCATTAAACCTATACTTAACAAACAACAGTGGAAACACACCCTCTGATTCTTTATCACAATACAACCGTAATAAAAGAAGCAATAACAGAGACAAGCTCTGTTTTTATGACATGCTGTAAAATATTGTCTGTGCAAGTGGGTCATTGAGAGTTTATGCTGAGTTAACCACGGCCATGATGTTTTCTTTTCACAGGTTTCGTGTGTCGGCTGTTTCAAGCTGCAAGAGCACATGTGTGTGGGCAGTGATTTAATATTCAACCTGAGTTTAATGTTGCCATGAAGAGTTAGATGGAGCTGTAAAATAGTCTGATCTTAGTAAAAACCATAAAACTCACATTCATATTTTTATATATGGACTTTTAATGTTAGAATTTGATTTTACTAAAATTTTTAATAATTTTTATCTTTAATTTTTATTGTAGATGGTATTGAGGACCAATATGGATTAGATTACAACATACCAAGTGTTACAGTTGTTGGTAATAACAGCTCCAGATGGGTACGTCTTGTCTCCTTGCACACAGGGGCACATAGTGATGGGCACACACTGGCCCTGGTGGTCCTGCACTAGTCCTGTTGGGCACTGGCAACCTGGAATACATGTTCTCAGACCCATCTCATCACCACCATCATCATCACAGCTCCAACCCTCTGAGCAGGAACTCCCACAGGCACGACCACACTCCTGGTACACCTGACCGCCTGAGCACTGGACCGCTGGAATGACAGGAGACGGGGAAATAGTTTGGTACAAAATGCAATTAATTATCGTTAACATGGTTGGAAGTAAGAGCAGACTCAATTCTGTCAATTCATAATTTAGTGCTTTTAAAGTCAAGCATTTGTCCTGTTGTCAGTGTCTGAATAAGATCTAGGTCATCCATCCATTCATCCATTTTCAAGTGGATGAATGGATGGAGGAATGCAGGTGCAAATTACGTATGCACCTGCATTCTTTCTAATCCATTTTCTACTGCTTTTCTGTTGGGGGTCTGGAGGAGCCTATCCCAGCATCTTGGGGCGAAGGCAAGGGACACCTTGGACAAGTTGCCAGTTCATCACAGGGCTAACATATAGAGACGTACAACCATCCACACTCACATTCACACCTACGGGCAATTTGAAAGTGACCAATTAACCTAACCCCACTCTTGAACATTTTTGGGATGTGGGAGGTAACTGGAGTAAACTCACGCAGACACAGGGAGAATATGCAAACTCCACACAGAAACACCCTGACCCAGATCCGAACCCAGGACCTTCTTGCTGTGAGATGACAGTGCTAACCACTGCACCACTGTGCCGCCCCTGATCCAGGTCATGTGACCACTAAATTGGGTATATTGCATAAACTGCACAAAAGCAGTGGACATTCATTGTTTCAAAAGTAAAGTTGATATGAAATTGGATGTGCACCTGCATTCTTTCTAACAGCCAGCAGGTGGAGACTTCTCTGGTTGCAATTTAAGTACATTTGTTTTCAGCCAGAAACACCACCCGGTCTTAATTGGTTCATTGCCTAAGTTAACTTTTTTATCATGGAATGATGGTTTCATCATGTGTGTTGATTAGTACTGTGCTAAATTTTAACTGAATCATACACATGGTATCGTATCAAAGCATATCATATCATATTGTTCAGTACTGTACTGTATCATATAGCATATTGTGCCATGTCATGTCCTGTCATGTTGTGTCGTAATGTCAGGACAGATAAATAAACAGTCCCTATGAAACACAATGCAATGGTGGCCATCAGATAACTGAAGTGAGGGCCATTTTTTGGTGTTATTGTTGAAGATGTGTCTTTATTCTTTCTAATTATAACTCTAAAATACCCTGAGTTGTATCTGTCACAAGTCTAAAAACTTACAACAGAAGGTTTGATTTCTCCAGTGGATAGAAGCGCCCTCCTGAGCACAGTGTCTGCTGTAGGCAGTGAGGATGTTACAGTGACAGGTCCTCTGTGGATGGCAGCCACAAACCTCTGACAGACAGAGATGATAATAGGGCTCCCTCTCCACCACATCATGACACACCTGCAAAATCAGAGGGAGAAGTTCAGAGGTGCATGTGTAAAAAAAAGAGAAGAATTACTCCTTAGGCAGCAGGGGGATTAAGGAACTTCATTTGACCTACCTGAAAGACAGAGCTGTGAATGATGGAGCACACTCTCTCTGCAAACTGTCTCATCTGGTTGTAGGTGGTGCAGGGGTCAGGAGGAGCTCCTTTAGGTAGAGCACAGCGTTCAGTGGTGAATTTTCCTGCAAAGGATGACACACTGTTCTCCACGTCTCCTTCTGGAGTGGTGAAGTCATCATGCTGGCTCCAGGTTAGAGTCCCACACAGGCCACGCACCTTAAGTACAACATTTAGAGGTTTTAGATAAAACAACATATTACACACTTTTGGACATTCAAAGCTGATTGTAATCTATTTCCTGTTTTAAGAATGTTTGGAAAGTGAAAGAGAAAGTTTCTAACTGCATGTTCTGGACTTAACATCTGGTTTAACCCCCTTCGGAAATTTAAGACAGTTATTATTACTACATCAAAGAATACCTTGTTTGCAAATCCAGGTTGTAGTGTGATGAGCGCCAATGGTCCACCTAAGTGCCAAAGCAACTGGGCTCCAAAAGTCTGTATGAGTAGAAATGATGACGAAGCCCTACGCACAACCAGGTCCCCGGTCACCACAGGCAGCGACTCCCTCTGACCATTTAATGTTACTGTACCTGGGAGTACCAGAGTCAGATTTGAAGTATAAATAACAATGTTTTAATAATATGGTCATTCTCTTAGCCCTCGCCATCGTTTTATGGTGATTTGTTAATTAGTGCGAGAGGAACAACATTTGTTTTCATCAATCTGATTCTGCATATTTATTGTCCATGGGTCCAGTTATTTTACATTTGTGCATGAATCACCTTTTTCCCTCCCTGTGCACATCCTTGATGTCAGGCCCTTCCCAAAGTTATACTCAGGGACCCACAGTGCACTTTACACCTTTAACAGGTAATGTAAAGCTCAAATTTGGCATTTTCACCATATTGAAAATGATAGTCTGACATAACTTTACATTAGTGTAGAAATGGGAAATGAGATGGAGTTAAAACCATATAACCTTTTCACCTAGCTACAACACATCCATATGTCGGTCAAATGATCCGTCACACCCTCACCTTGCATAACTCTTAGACTTCAGAAAAGTAAAGCTAATAAAATATAACCAGCCTCAAGCACTCAGGTTATGCACTCTTGCATCATCTTGATTTTTTTAAACATCTTAGGTTGATTACTGGCAATAACTTCAAAGTTATGAAAATTAGTAAACTAGTTTAACTTTGCACAACTGAGTATATATCTGACTCACCAGTTTCTGTAATAGTGACTGTAGTGCGGAGTGCTGTCACAGACATCTCCCGCAAACAACTCAGGCCCCCTCCACCTCCACCTTCTACTCCCCCACCTCCACCTCCTCCTGCTGTGCACTCCCCACTCCGCACACTCACCACCAACTTTCTATCAACAAAGTCCTGTAAGAATAAGCAGTAAGTGTTACCACATGCAGAAAAATGTCAACCAAACTGTGTGTATGTTTGCATTTCATGTGTCTCACCTCCACAGCTGTGAACGCACAGTCTCCACCCTGCAGTGAATACCTCTTCTTGTCAAAGGTGGTCACCTGTAGCGCCCCCATCAGGCTGCACTGGGCTGCACACTTCTCCTCAGTACACTGCCACTGACCGGCTTTGCACACACTGAAAGAATTTAGGTTACAAAAGTGAAATGTGAAGTCTGGAAATAAAGAATGAAAATAAATGATGTATGGAGGACTTACCAGGTGTTGCACCTCTGCTGTATTCTGTCCCCTGATTGGTAGGTGCGCCTGCGATGAAAACAGGGACAGTCGTCTCTTTTTAAACACTGTCCTTGGTGAAGGTAGAGGCCTGGTGGACACTCACAGCCCCCCACACACTCCTCCCTGCACTGCCCCATGGCTGCAGCAGGCCCAGGGTGTTGAGGGGATGTGCAGCTGGGGGGACAGGAGGATACACAGTCTGAGAACACCTGACCTCTGGGACAGACACGACCTGAAAAAACAAAGAGGAGGCATGAACTTACAAATGCATCGAGTGTACTTTCCTTAAAGTCTCATAGACTGAGTGTTTGCAGCTCATTTTCCATTGTTACAACATTTAAAAGAATTAATTAAATGTTTTTTAGACATTACTCTACTCTGCACAAAGTAAGACAAGTTCCCAGTGCATATAGTGCTCCACCAGCATCATGATTCTGGGTGTGCTTTTCCAGGACAGGATCCCAAGGTGCAGCTGGGTGAACTTGTGTCTCCAGTTTGTTGGACTTAAAATTTCCTTGTCATGTTGGGGTGGTTTTGTTGGCTTCACCAGGCTATGACTACAGCACACATTAGGGTGGTCTGCAGCCTGGTGCAAAGTGGCAGGGGTGAGAGTTAACATAAGGTGAAGGTGATAATTTTCTGTTGGAAAACAGCGGACTGCTCTCTCTGTGCCGGGGGTGAGTTTTTGCCCCAAGCGAAGAAGTTTGAATATCTTGAAGTCTTGTTCATGAGTGAGGACAAAATGGATTAAAGGAGCTGGGCTGGAATGCGAAGCTTTGGGTTTACTCCTTTACCTATCATCCAACCCTAACCTATAGTCTTAAGGTCAGGGTTGTGACTGAGAGAATAAAAGGGCAGATACAAGTTGCTGTAATGAGTTTCTTCCAAAGCATTTCAAAGCACTACAGAGTCATGCCTTTTTTTTAACACAGTGCATTCACACACCAGTATGAACATTGGATCCTGTTCATGGCAACTTTGTGCTTTTACCCAGCAAAATCCTGTTTGTGTTCCTCGGTTGACAATGATATTTCAACAGAAAGTTGTCCCCTTTTAGTTAATCCGGCTCCTGTTCAAGCTTTGAGCATAAAACATCACTACTAAACTTTGAGTGAGCACAGAGAAGCAAATTGGCTTTTGTTACCGAAAATACAACCAAAGCATTGCCGCTCATGTTCAATAAGAATAAATAATTAATCTTATCTGTGATAATCTTGTTTAATTATCTTAAGAATAAGACAATTTAAAAATTGGTCAAAAGCTCCTTACACAGCCTTTAAACTGTAAATGTCACTTGTGCCCACTTTAAAATGCTACTTCTATTTTGGTTAATACGTTTTTTTATAACAATTACTCCTCAAAGCTGTTTTCATTTTGTTTTCTCACACAATAAACTGCTACAGAATACTCTAATAGTTATATTTTAGTACCACACAGAGCAGCCGTCCTCCACACTATGATGACATGTTGCTGGGCGCACTCTCTGGCGTAACTGGCCAGGGTGTCACACACTGCTGAGTCTCTCTCTTTGGGCGGGAGGCTGCAGAACAGGTAGAGACAGGTGTCTTTGTATGCTGCTGGGTCCACCTGAAAGAAACAAAGACACAAGCTTAAAGAAACCAACAAAAAAAGGATTATGTATTTGCAACAAGCAGGCGTGTGCAAAATCATTCATGAGTCCTGCACACAGTGGACTAACAATGCAGAGAGACTGTGGTGATTATTTTTTAAATGTAATTATGAATAAAATGTGCAGTCTTTACAGACATGCATCAACAACATGCATCAACAAATCAAACAGAAAATTATCAAAAGGAATACTTCATAATTTGAAAGAGTGATCTAGTTGTAGATTCTAGGTCAAACTTGAGAAGTGCCCTATATTAACACCACCATATCATAATTTGTTAACTATTTATCAGAGTTTTATAAGCTCTGTTAATCATTGTTGCATATAAGTGCAAGTTGCTCACAATGACACCTGATTAATTATCTATTCTTTGAAGCTTTTTCATATAAAGATCATGCTGTGCTTAGCTTTCCATTGAATGAAACTTAAAATCTGATTGTCATGACATGTGACTGTGATTCATAGCTGGGTTGTCTAACCCGGTGGTGACAGTGTGTGAAGGGGTCCTCCAGCAGTCGGTGACACACTGATTCAGCATGTCTGCGTAGTGCAGGGTCTCCTGAGACATCACAGCTGTGACCCAGCTCAGCGGCATCACTGCAGGCCTGAGGGGAAACAAAGAGATACCAATTGCAGAGGGTCAGACTAATGAAAATACTTAGTTGTTTGTTTCAAATGAAGAAGTACCACAAAACAATATATATTTATGTCAAATTCAAACTTTTTTCAACTGTTGATAGTAGTTTCTAAACTTTTGGACCATATTTGATGCATCAAATTGACTGAGAGCTCAATAATTTCATTTTGCTGTTTAATCAACAACAAAAAAACTGTGGGAGCAATAATCTGTTGTCCTATAAAAAGGAAAATACTCATGTAATGTCATGCATGTGGTGTAATGTGCTGTACTTCATTCTGCTGGTCAGGAACTTTCCATGAGTTGCCAAAGCTGGCAGCATACTGGGATAGGGTGCCACTCATGGTTGTGAAGTCATCTATGGCAAAAACACACAAACAGGTCAAAATGAGATAATTGAGTTAAGAAAAATGTAAGAATAAAGAGCCCCAAGTCAGAAAGGTTAAGTTAGAAAATGCTTAATGTTACACTATGATTTTGACTTAAAGCTCCTGTAAGGAACTTTTGGTTTGAGTCAGTTTGGCGCCCCCTGTGGACAAAGCAATCTTTGCTTATCTTGTCTTCACCATGCTTAGACAGTATCTTCTGACAAAGAAATCCTGCTCAAATATATATATATATTTGTGGATATATAATTTGGAAAATACAAAAACAGGGCTTTTTTGAATGGCTCCACTGACAACTTCCCCCTTGCACTTGTTTCAGGCATCAAAAATAACTGAATAAATAAAAATCGTCAGCCTTGTCAATGATCGTCTTGTTCGCATTTGTATATCATACACGGCATCAAAATGGACAGTACAATATTTTATAAATGTTAAAAAACTCCCCACAGGAGCTTTAAGAGCTTCCAATGTGCACTTCCCATACCGTCAACGTTGTTGTTGTACACTCCGCAGAGTCCCCTAGTGGCAGCCAGGTGCTCCGCAGTGACTGTCAAGTAGACCGTGTTAGTCAGGTCAAACTTCAGTCTCACTCCCAGACCGCTCTCCACAAACACAAAGTCCCCAAGCCAATGAACACTCACTCCTGGAAAAGGACAAAGAATAACAGAGCGTGATTAAAGCTTAGTTACTTTCTGGATAACTTTAGAATGAAGTGTGTTTCCCTTCTGTTAGGATGACCATATTCTGAAACCCAAGAAAGAGAACACCACTACACAGGGCGGAGACATACGTAGTAAAATTTTTTTCAGGTCGGGTCAAGTGTTTTTTACGCACTTCTAACTCAGTTAGTCCACACTACACAAGCTCAAAACTTCCATACAAAACCCTGGACATTTGAGGGATTTTATAATCTCCCCCAGACAAAGGCGAGACAAGCATGACAACCCCCCCAAAACGAGGACATGTGCAGGTAAAAGAGGATGTATGGTCACCGTACCGTCTGTGTAATAACCATGACTATGAAGTAGCCTGATGACCTCAGTGGACATTTTGTAATTATGTGATTATGGTCCCAGTCACTAATTTTATGTCTACAGCATACCCTAGTTTATCAACAATAAAACAAGGCCTGTTTTAGTGTGTTTCTTAGTTACAACCACAGTAGATGCAATGCAAATACTGTATTATAGACCAAGACCTATCAGCCAACCATCCAAATGCTGCACTATGCTATCCAAAAAGTGTACAAAGGAAATAAGCCAAATGGTGCAATGAGACCTGAAAGATTCACTGTCTTTTTAGTATAAAAACATCGCTTTAACTGGTTTAGTGCAAACCTGTCCTGGTGCAACAGGAGAAAATCTGAAATTATCACCTTTGGTGTGGTCTCAGACAATGCGTTGTTACATTTACAATATCAGGCAAGAAATGTTACCAGGAGAAAGCTTCATACACAGCTCACCATTTTGGAAGATTGGTTCACCATGTGGGACAGGAAGGTTGTTCAGAGTGAGGTTGTTGTGATGAATGGTGACCAAATCTAGGCCCAACATCATCCTCAAAGCCTGGGAGCAGGAGGGTATGAACACAGAACAAGTTGAGAGCAGTCTTTCATTGATAAGAAGGCACATTATGGCACTAGCAAATAACAAAAAAAAGCCTAAGCAAAAACCAGTTTGAACCGGCACCAGTCTGACCTTCCGCAATTAACAGCAATTTTCCCTTTTTGATAATGCAGCTAAACTCTGCCTTGTATCACACCTTACTGCAGTGTCCTCCCTCATCACAGACTGTGCTGATGTAGACAGCCCAGGTGCCATCAGTGGATGAGGCCAGCAGGTAAGTGCAGCTGCCCTGAAAGTGGAAGTGCTTCCTGTCAAAAGTGCGGTAGTGGGCCCCACCCCAGGACATGCAGGTAGCTGAGCTCTGAGGCAACCTAAGGCTGCCCAGCAGACCACCCCGCACCAGAGGGGAAGATTGGGAGTCTGCAGAGGAGAGACAGAAGAGTTTTCTGTTACATTACATACAAGCAGTGTGCTGCTGCAAACTTTTTGGTGTGAAAAATCTAAGATGCAATCATGCAAAAGTGGAAGTGTCAGATATCTTCACACCAGGGAGGAGAGTGTAGGTGCAGGACAGGCAGGTCTGATCTGAGGCATTCTTCCAGCTCAGACCCCAAAGGCTGCCGCAGCACTGCTCAATGGGCATCAGAGAGGAGTTATGGACTCCAGGGAAGTCCTCACAACTCCAAGTAGAGTAACACTGGCCACGCACACCCACACCTGTGAGGATGAGATTAGATGAGCAGAAATGTTGAAGAGATGCAAAACATTAAAATTAAGACAAGAAAAAATGGCAAATGGAAAACGTCGGCTTTAGTTGCTGCCTCAAGCGAATAAGAAATGGCAAATCAATATTTTTTTTTTTTTGGTGAAATCCCATCCCAGACAAAATTATTCTGAGACTCAAAGCAGGTCAATACTGTGCTCTTAGTGTTACTGTTAGTGAGGGATATGTTTATCAACTGTGGGAGCTTTTATTTTTATTTTTTAGCAATTTTATGGCCTCACCCTCAGAGCAGCGTGGTCCACCCCAGCCTTCACAACACGCCCTCACTGTCTTATTCATTGTCTGGTTTTCCATCTCTGGTGGTCTGTAAAAAAACAGGCATGTCAGGCAGAGGATTCAAATGTTTATGTCTCTGCATTGTTAAGACTTTAAGATTCACAAAGGGATTAGAGGGCCATATTTTTATGAGACACAGAGTTTTTCTCCATTTCATGAAAGTTTTATCTCCTGCAGTGCGTTCATTTTAAAAGTATTACACAGGAGAAATTAACACACAAATATGTTTCTGTAATTTTCCTTCACTTACACTCAGTCTGCTAATGTGCATTGTGACAAAATATACCAAAACAAATGAACATAATGCAGAGTTTTCTCACATTCAGGTTGTCTGACAGTACCCAAAGCCTAACCCACTCATAAGTAAGGGCCATCAGAGGTTTAAGAAAAGAAGAACTGTAAAATTTGAACCTGTAACACAAAGGTCTCACTTTCCAACAAAAAATAACACACTCTTGAATAAGGAAAACCCCTTTATCGATTTTCAATGGACATGACAGATGTATATTTCTTTTAAACACACCAGACAGAGAAAAATTAATCCAGTCAGGCATATATCAGCCCCCCTGATGAGGAACCAACAACCCGCCAAGTCTTAGAGTCTGAAACATTAAGACACAATTTACCAAACTTTTCTCCACTTACTTGTACATGAAACAGGATGCCCTGGGACCCTGTTGTTTGTAGTAGAGTGCGATGCCATCATCGCCTCCATGTTTAACTCGCATCCTGTCCACATCCAGCCTCCAGCCTTCAGTGTTGTACCGATACACCTCAGTGCAGCTCACCTCAAGCTGCAGCCGTGGAGACAAGATTCGTTCCACTTTCTCAACCACTGTGTGCTCACACCAGTGTCTGTGCAAAAATACAAAGACTTGTTTGTATTTTTGTTGACTTGACCTGTGGGTAAAGTGTCTGTCAAAGCTAAAAAAGCATTGGCATATGTTTGAGTTCTGAATTCAAAGGCCAGTAAATAAACTTTGTGCTTCTACAGGGATAAAGACTCTCCATTTAAACACAAAAATGCATCAGCAACAAAATTAATGAGTGAGACATTCAGGCATGATGTGACTGTATGAACAAATTCTTCATTGTTCCTAAAATTCTAATCAGTAACTTTGCTCTTTGCAGCAGATTTTCCATGTAGCTATTGAATCAAATTACTTTCACAGTCCTCTCATCATCCTTCCATTTCCATACGACCTTTATTGCCATTTTGTCCACCAGATTATCTCTCGACACATTAATGTACTTCCTGAGTGTACCACTACAAGAACTGGAAAATTTGCCATCGCATATGTGATCCATTTTGACAAACCCTGTTACAAAACAGTGGTGAGATATTTAAAAAAAAGCAGTTCCTGACTCAGGCTTAAGGTTTTAACTGTGATCTACTTCACATGATTATTGTTCAGTTGTTATTGATTTAATGGTACCGGTTGCGATCATTAGATTCTGTTTTTGGGTAACTTAGTTTGTTTAGTTATTCATTAACCCTACTTATAGGCATTATATTAGATGTTATAAAGTTTGAGGGTTTGTTTTGCTACGGCAGCAGGAGTGTGTCAAGAGGGGTAGCAAGGGGTGGTATAGCCCTTTACCCCCCACAGAAATATGATCTGCCACCTCAGGCGCCACCCCAAGAAACCTTAAACTTTGATTAGATAGATACAAAATTTATATTTGACTGAACTTGATGGACTTTTCTTGCAGCAGGCTACCAGTAGCTTCACTTCAATGTAGCACATTTACTTTTGTTTGTACTTGTGAAAACTAAAACTAAAATGATTCTGTTTTATGAAATGTGCAAAGGAGGGGGGAGAAAATTGCGAGCATGTTTTAGTACCCAATATATGTCACCAATGAATGTGTTTTTAACTACAGGCAGGTAATTGTTTGCAGTTTTTTAAGTGCTTTCAATTTGACTATGTAAGATTTAAATGTTGCCATTTAGTTGTGCTGCATCTTAAAGTTGAAAAATTTTACTTTGAATTTCCTTATCTCTATGAATCTTGATATGTTAAAGCTCCCGTGAAAAAGTTTTATTGTTTGGCGCCCCCTGTGGACTGTAGTAGTAGTAGTAGTCTTATGTTGTCCTTTACATGCTGAAAATGTGTCTTCTGATGAAAATTCACATGTTGATGTTTTTCACTCATTGTAAGAATTATATGTTAATTATAAAAACCAGGGCTGTTTCCACAGCCGCTCAATCACACCTACCCCCTCAAACCAGTTCAGGCATTATAATTGCTATATACAAATTCACCTATGGTCTTGTTTGCTTTTAAAAATCATGAAAAACTAGTAATATTGATTGAAGTGTATTTCACTAATGTCTAAGGAGCCTAACAGGAGCTTTAAAGTATGTATGCAAACCAAAGAAAAACAGGGTGCTAATACTTTACGGTCCCCTTTTTAATTTCCTTGAGAGAACCTTTTCAAAAGGATGAATAAAGTTGTATCTAACCTAATTGAATCATAATTCAGAGCTCTAGCTGGGCCCCCTGGTTAAAAAAAAAAACCTTGACACACCCCATGTAGCAGCACACTGAGGCCAAAATCATGATATCAGAACACCAAGGCTTCTAAAAACATTCAGAATTACATACTTCAATTTGGAACTCTTCAACAAATAAGATATTGAAGGATTGAACAAGTATGACAAATGTGAATGAGAATAAAGATATTGTACTGTGAGTTTTGACTCCATGTTTGACAAAAAGTGGACATTTACTCCTCAAAAAAGTCAAACCACACCAAGTAAATGTCTCAAATCTTATTAAATATATGTCATCCCATTTATCATAAGCCGCACTGACCTGTCAAGTCAAGTAATTATAATTGGTATAACATTTTCTCTCACAGCCTTTTAAAGGATCTTTGCTTGCTGAAATGGGAGCTATTTTTACTGATTACTGTCAGTTAATACCTTGTAATATCTAAAATTAGATTTATATTTGGACCACACAGGTCAATATGACATATATTAAGGTATATTTAGGTAAATCTGAGTTTTTGCTGTGTACGGAAAATTAAATGCCCCAAAGACCCAAAACTGGAGACAAAAGGCATAATCAGCGGCAAACATAGCATCTCATTTAGTGTGATGATGCAGGTTGGATTTGCATGATGGCTGCATGCTGCAAACACACTTTTAACACAAATACACTGTCTTTTTGATAAATTTAAATGTCTGTCTGAAATGTCTGTTTGTGGGATCCGTACACTGACTGATCTTACAGTTCCACCTTTATTGTCTTTTAATGTTGTTAATCATTCACTGACTGGTTTCACTTTTACTTACCCCATTCCCATCACTGTGTGTAGTCCAAGCAGAATCAGTAAAACTGTCTCCATGTTTCCTTTTCTTACAGTGTGTGCTTAAAAAAACCTGATTAGGAAAATGTTACATTAAAAAAAGGTCCAAAATACATCAAATCCATTGTATATTTGGTGCTGGAAAAACAACTAAATAGCAAATTTTTTTGACAGCAGCAGAATTTTTTTTTTTTTTGCATTTACTAGGAAAAGTCAAGACACTTTGATTGCTCATGATCATATCATTGGAAATAATTAAGGTAACATTTATTTCCTCACGACTTTATCCAATCTTTCTTCCTCAATTGACAAACTATGCACTTACCTTTAAAGTGCTTTGAAAAGTCTTTGTATTTTTGCCATAAAAAGTCCTCGGCTTGTTGATCAATGTTAGACACCTTTATGGGTTTCTGATTACTACTGTTTTTTTTTTCTTTTCTGTCTGACAGTAAACGATACGGTCCTCACTGAAGTAACTCTTTGCCCTGTGGAGTGAAAGGAGCCCCAGATGTATAGTTTTAAATGTGGGGGGCAACTCAGAGGATGTACAGTAGCATCTGAACCTGCTGCCATTGGACATACGTGGTAAGGTCACAGCTGGCGGGACAGGCATTGGGCACCGGACCAGTGACGGACACATCCTCTGAGTCTGCGGTTTGCTGGCTGTAAGTGATAGCGGGGGTGGTGGAGTCTCAGCCTCAGGATAAAGAGATGTTTGTCAGAGCCTAATCCTGTAAAGAGAGGCGTCTCAGGAGGCATGATGGGGGCGTTTATTCAATGAAGCGTGTCAACAGACATGGGGTCTGGAGGCTTTTAGACTCACCAGTATCTCAAGTCTGTCCTCCTGACCCTGGGATGAGGAGCCTCAAACACAGCTGTCACCAAACTCTTTGCGTGAACACAGAGGACAAGAAGATAGTTGTGTCACAAGGGTTTACTTGAACTGTGTGTCACAATTTACTTTTCCAACATGTAACTCCTTAGAAAGTTTCCCCTGCTGACTTTGAGACTTGGTACTTGATAGAGATAGCAGAGAGCTGAGTCACCTTGCTAGTTGACTTCAGTATTTTGTATGGGAAGTAAAAGGGGGATAAAGGGGGACATTTGGGAAGCCTGTTTATTAGTTAGATTGTAAAAGTAACTGAGAAGGATTCTATTAATTCAGCGCTTTTAAAAACATTGGGTTACTTAGTCACTAGCTTAAAAGTAAAAGAAAAATGCAAGAAAAAAGATCGATTTTGCGGTTATATTGATCGATTTAGAACTGCGATTTTGTCACATCTGCCTCACAAAAACTAATAAAGTCAGATCTTTTCATTACATCTGTTTCCTTTCACTTAGTTTCGTGGAATCTTTGTCAGACAGGACAATTTAAGAGAGATGCTAGGGAATCCATGTGCGTGTGGATCAGCCTGAACCAAGCACCAATCACTTTAGACAGCAGCCAGGGAGGCCAATGTTGGCTTACTTGGAGATCCAAGTGAACATCCACTACAACAAAGTGGATTTTCACATTCTACTTCTGAACTGAACTCGAATCCAGCAGAAGGTTGTACGTTTAGGGAAGTGGCCAGCCTGGACACCAATGCAAAGACTGCCCAGACAGTCCTTGGATAGGACCAGCCAGAAATTTGCCCTAGTGGGCCAACAATAACTGTTACGATACATTATCAAGACCATACCTTTATGTTGGACTAGTCGTGCATTGGGAGACTGATTGTAGGCAGTCAGGGTGTAGAACAAATGCGAAAGTACCACAGTATTTGAGAAGAGAAGGGCAAAGCTGAGAGTCAAACAGTTTCTTATCTTAAAACAACAAAGATTAGCCCTGACCCCTCAGCAAATCTTTTTAAACATGGCTTTTAAATTTTAACAGATGATTAAAATTGTCACCAGATACTAAACCTATGTCAATTGTTTAATGAGTTTACCTTTAAGTTTGACACTTAGCAGTTCTATTACCGATACTATTTAGAGGGGAAACGAATCAACAGTGTTTCCTTAGTGTTTGTCGCACAACAGGTACCAAGTCATGATTTTCCTCAGTAGCTTATCTGGAACAGCACCACAGGTATTTTTATGGGTGGACAGCATTCCTCTGTCCAAATCCCCAGCCATCTCAACCAAAACATCTGACTTTGTAAAAGAATGTCACACTCTGACAGGAAAGCTTTTTTAATGGTTAACTCAGATGTTTGTTTGTTCTTATTTTGGCTTCATTCAGTAATCACTTGGAGAATAAAAGTACAAAGTTCTACCTTGACATGATAAATATTTGAAGTAATAAAACATTAACTAAAACCCTAATCGTCATTGATGTATTATTGGTGTTCAAGTCAAGTTATTTGTTAGTTGCATTTAATGACTTAATTGCACGTTTAAGTTTCTTATATGGCTTTTTTTAAACTGCCTTATTTCATTTCCTCATGCACTTTATCTCCAGTGAAAGGCACCTCACAAACTGTGTTGTTATTGAAAAGGTTCTGTGCAAATAAAGTTGCCTTGGCACCTGCAGGATTATCAGATAGAGCACCTGTTTCATCACATTTACAACCCTTTCTCGGCCAATCAGTTTCAGTCTCCGCAAAGAAGGAGGTTAAATATAAGCACCAGTTCAGTGATTCTTGTTTCTCCAAGGTATTTTCTCCAGTTGTTGAAATAGAGAGGACTAGTCTGATGTACCTTAGTCAATAGATCACTTCGATCGAGACAATCACTGAAGGTAAGGTATCTAGAGTGTTTTTTTTAACCATTTATCTCAAAATGATTAGTGAAATGCTAATATGGGAACATGATTTAGCTTGACATGACTTGAATGGTTTGCATGAAGAGCAAGACAGTAATTTTAAACACACTAACAAATTTACCTTGAAAATTTTAAGTTTGATATTCTATGGTTTACAAGGTCAAAATTGAATTGTCAAAATGTCTACCTCATCTCCTCATGGTAGCAATACAGGATCATAGATAAATAACAAAAAACACTGACTAAATGTTCAGGATTTTTCTCCCTTTATCATTTTAAGATTTTTATCTGCAATCCTGCTTAGATCTTGACTTCTTCTGGACCAGGATACTCTTGATTTTTCTTGCACTACAGCACAGTCATCCTCAGACCTTGGCACATACACTCGTAACACTATGGGGGTGCACTATCAGTGTTTCAGTGACAGAGTTTACTTTCTATTACGATGCATACATCCGTAACACATTTGACTCTTAGATTCTGCCATTTCAAGGTTTATATTTGTGCTTGTTACTCTTTGTCTGCTATGTGTAACATTCAGAGGGGTGGAGGGAAGTACTGAAGTCATCTGTGTTGGTGCATGTGGAGCTTATTCACCTGCACTCTTACAACAATGTTAAGTAATGTGAAATCACACGCTGGGACATGAAGGATATGCCATTGCAGTGTTCAGTGCATAATTACAAGGGCCTACGGCATAACTCCATTTTAGTGCTGTTGCAAGAAGTATAATGTGTAACACCTCTGATACACATAACTTCGTTCTGCTAATACACCTCTGTGCATAGTACATTGGCATAGCAGAAGTAAATATCCAACCATGAAATAACAGTATGTAAGAGCCAAAGGTTGACTCCATCCAACTGAGAAGCTTTGAACAATAAACTCTTGAAGTTTTATTAGGGTGAAAACATCTAATAATTAAATCTTATTTGGTTTTAGTTTCCTTTAAATAGTATGTTTTCCAGCTATAATTTGATCAGATTTCTTCGATCTATTGGGCACTTGTGGATTTAAAGGAGTAAATATAAATCAGTAAAACTTCAGATTGGTTTGGTTAAGGCTTGAATAAAATTTAGATATGTAGAAACAGTGTTTATTTTCTTTCACAACAGTCCTGGGAAATTCGCTTCCATTTCTAAATAAATCATTATCATTTCTTCATTTTTTTGCATCTACAGTTCTCTTCTCATTACAGCCATGAGGCTCCTCTGTCTCCTGCAGCTGGTCTGCTTGACTGCCTGTAGTGGCTCCAGATCCAGAGACTGGGCCCAGCATGGTGCCCCCATGTTTGCAGACCTCACAGTGCGTGAGTTGAAAGCTGTTCGGGCTTACTTGCATGGTATCCCAGGGCTGGAGCTCACTGATGCCACCAGCAAGACTCTGCAGAAAAACAGCATCCTTCTGATAGAACTCCATCTTCCAAAGAAGCATGAAGCCCTCCGAGCTTTGGACCGTGGACAGGCCAAACCCCCTCGCCAGGCCCGTGTGGTGGTCCAGTTTGGTAACCAGACCAAGCCCAACATCACTGAGTACATTGTAAGTCCTCTGCCATCTCCAGACTCCCATGAAGTCAAGACATTCAAGGGAAACAAGCCTATCTCATTTGACTCAAGGCCTATTACTCAGTCCGAGTACTACCATCTTGAGCAGTTATTGGGAGAAATTGCGACCAAAGCCCACAAGGTCTTGTTTGAGACCACAAGAGGGTTTTCTTTCACTAACTGTTCTGACCGCTGCATGACGTTCTCAGACATTGCCCCACGTGGGCTGGGTCCAGGTGAGAGGAGAACCTGGATCATGTTGCAGAAGTCTGTAGAGGGATATTTCATCCAGCCAGTTGGGTTTGAGGTGCTCATCAACCACAGGGATGTAGATCCAGAAAAGTGGACTGTGGAGAAGGTCTGGTACAATAGTGTGTACTTTGATAGTGTTGAGGAACTGGTGGAAAAATATGAATCAGGAGATGTAGAGAAAATCCAACTGCCTGAACATGATGACAATGACCTCTACTCCACCTACATCCCCAGGGGAAAGAGCAACACTCCCTCTGATATTCATGGTCCCAAACTGGTGGAGCCTCAGGGACCTCGCTATCATGTTGACCGGAATTTTGTGGAATATGCCGGATGGTCCTTTGCCTACCGTGTCCGCTCATCAGCTGGGCTCCAGGTTTTTGACCTCCGTTTTAATGGGGAAAGGATAGCATATGAGATCAGCCTTCAAGAAGCTATTGCCTTTTACTCCGGTGACACCCCTGCTGGCATGCAAACAAAGTACATCGACGCTGGCTGGGCCATGGGTGCTTCAAGCTATGAGCTTGCACCTGGAATCGACTGTCCAGAAATTGCACGCTATGTTGACCTTTACCACTATTTTGACACTGACAAACCTCGACTCCACAGAAATGCTCTCTGTATCTTTGAAATGAACACAGCTACTCCTCTGAGGAGACACTTTGACTCCAACTTTGAGGGGGGATACTTCTTTTACGGAGGGCTGGAAAACAATGTGCTAGTTTTGAGGACAACCTCAACAGTTTACAACTATGATTACATCTGGGACTTCCTCTTCTACCAGAATGGAGTGGTGGAGGTAAAGGTCAGTGCTACTGGATATATCCATGCTACTTTCTTCACTCCCAATGGACTTCACTACGGTACCAAAGTGTACAACCATGTGCTGGGTAACCTGCATACACATCTAATCCACTATAAGGTGGATCTGGATATTGCTGGTGAGTGAAATGTTACACTTTGATATGATATGATATGATATGATATGATATGATATGATATGATATGATATGATATGTACAATTGCAATATGATACAATATGGTATATGTTCAAGTACCATAAAATATGTTACAATGGGTTACAACACAACACAGTAGAATGGACATAATTTGATATAATTTATTATGATAACATGATAAAAACAAAGATCCAAAATATTTTATTACAATTGGACCAAATACAATAATAACATTATATAATCAAATACTATACATTATGGTAGGTTCAAAAACCATATTTTATGATGGTTCAAATACTGAATGGTACAACACAATACAATATGACACGGTACACTTCCATACCTTGTCATACCATACAATGTGACTTAATATGTTTATTACAATATGATACTTTAAAACAGGATATGCTTACGTACCACAGAATTTGGTATATGTTTAAAGACTATGTTAAGATGAGTTCAAATAAAATTATTCAAGTTGACTATGAATTATGAAACTATAGATTTAGATTGAATGTGATTTGGATGTGATACAGTAAAATGAGGTTGAAATTAAACACAATCTGATAGGTATAAACATGATATGATTGGTTCACATTCAATACATTGATTATTTTCAAATAAGATATGACAGGTATGAATTTGATTCAATTGGTTACAAACAAAATAGGTGTGAAAGATTCAGAACAAAACTTCAGGTTTAAATACAGTTTATGATGACCTACCAAAAGGTGAAATTTAAATTTAGAGGTTTTAAAGAGAAGTGCTGACAAATTATTTCTTTGTTGGTAACAAGGATTTTAAGGACAGCTGCAGAAATGAAAGGAAGCCAAGAAACCTTGTTTTGTCTTTGATTTTATTAAAGCAGCCCAGATAAAAAAGCTTACTGGACTTTGACCTGTCATAAAGGGAGAGTCTTGGCCCAACAAGCCTGCGTCACTGTGTAATACTGAAAGTCTGATTAAAGCCGTGCCACACATAGATCATTAACTTTGTTCACTAAAATCTGATGGTTTGATTGCTTTTCATTTGAGTCAGGGCTATTTAAAAGAGCAAGCCAAAAGAGGCATCTTTAATTTCTGATGTTTAACTGAAAACTCTTCATTGTAATGCAGGTCGAGACAACAGCTTCGAGTCAATAGATCTGAAACTGGTCAACTTCACAAACCCATGGAGTCCAGAACATTTTGTCGTCCAGTCCAAACTCCACAGAAAAGAGCACAAGACAGAGAGATCTGCTGCTTTCCGCTTCGGCAAAAAGTTCCCCCGCTATGTGCACTTTTACAACCCTACTGAGAAGAACAAATGGGGGCACGAGAAGGGTTATCGCATCCAGTTTAACTCCCATGCTCACAGTGTCCTTCCAAGAGGCTGGAGAGAGGAAAACGGCATCAGTTGGTCGAGGTAATGTAATATTTCCTCATGTTCTTAGGAAATCTCTGACAAAAGACACATCCCTTCACATATTGATAAGAGTACATTGTGACCGCTATTATGAAACACTCTCTGCAGGTATCCTCTGGCTGTGACCCGCCATAGAGATAGTGAAGCCACCAGCAGCAGCATGTATGCCCAGAATAACCCCTGGGATCCAGTTGTTTCCTTTGAAGACTACATCCGCAACAATGAAGAGATAGTCAACCAGGTGAAATTTCAAACTTTATTTTTGACTAGACCCACATTTTAGAAGAGGGCCTGTGACTTTGTCCTGCTGATAAAGTCAAAATGAAAGCCTCCAGTCTTTAGAAAAAACAAACAAAAAAAAAACAAAACATGATACTACAGGGGAAAGTGACCCGACAGCCTGATGACAGCCTTTGTTGGGAAGTTTCAAATGGTTTCTGGGAAAGGCGTCTTTCATTTTCGGGAGTGGGGTGTTTCATATGCAGGGTACATCAGTAGTTTAAATTTGGTGTTCATTCAAGAATATTTTCACCTCTCATAGTCACTGGCTATCATGGTAACTCTGAATTGCTGACATTTCATCAGCTTGCACCATGAATTTAGATACAAACATCTTTTAGGCGTCCTACTCTCCTTTAATGTGCTGTTTACTCTCCTGTGTGTAGGACCTGGTTGCCTGGGTGACGGTGGGCTTCCTGCATGTGCCTCACTCAGAGGATATCCCCAACACAGCAACTCCTGGCAACGCCGTGGGCTTCTTCCTACGACCTTTCAACTTCTTTGACGAAGACCCTTCACTGGCATCTAAAAGCACCATTATAGTCCGGCAGGGCAAAGCTGGCAAGCCCAAGGTCCAAAGGTGGACGCCTGAGGTTGTAGGTCACTGTGTGACAGACAAGCCTTTCTTTTACAATGGCACTTATCCAGGAGTGTAAGGTGTTTTTCTTCCTTTTTTTTACAGTTCATACATAATTTCACTGCATCTTGGTAAAATGTAAAGAAGAAGCGATGATAAAAAAGTGTTTTGGGATGTACAAGTCTGTTTTTATTTTCTCAGAAATGAAAAAAAGTACAATTTGGAGAAATCTTAACTTTATTTGTAATTTCTGTGGCTGGGAAACAAAGAAAACCAAAGATTTGAAGCAAAACAGAATTTATAAGGGTAGAGCTGTTTCTTTTTTTATTACTTTGGTAGACCATATGTCTTGTTAAAATTCTTTTGTTCTATAAACTTGTTCAACAGCTTGGCTATTACCTGTATCTCTTTTGTGTTTTATGCCTTTTACACCGAGACAAACGTGGACTAAAAACCAAATCATTCACAAAGTTAATTTCGATGTTGTTGGTATTGCTGGACAACCAATCAAACTATACATGTAACATGGTAAGGAGAGGAGGATGTGGTGTGATAAGAGGAGGCTGGAGATCTTCTGTAATCCTATGTCGCGTCTCCATGACTGAGGTTTAGCAGCAGCGAGCATCCAGGATGCAGGATGCTCTGAATCCGCCCTGCATGTGGTAAACCGCTAGCTCTCAGCGTGCTCTGCTCACCCCCGCTACGGGAATGTTTTTACTGGAAAGACAACAGGCCTTACAGAGCAAACAGCCTGATTCCGGTTCCTTCCCCACCAAACAGGATACCTCCTGACTGTGTCGTTGCCCCTGGAAACCAAACTTTACATACAATGTGATGCCTGATATCAGCTGCTCATGTAACTGCTTTGTCCTTTATGCAAACATTCCTTACATAGTTACGTTACAAAACAGTTACCCAACTAAATGTATTACAATAAAACCAAACTTTGATCTCATTTCTGTTTCTGAATTGGATTTGATGTAAAGGTTATATATGTGAGAGGTGGGAGATATGTGGGTACATGCCAGCCAGCAAACAAGCTTTAAGTGGTATAGGGGAAGGACTTGATTTTGCAGTGTCAAAGTGGTTTGTGTGAATGGTAAATAATGATTTAGAGAGAAGGAATCTAGCCAACAAATGTCTGTTTTCACAATCTTTATAAGTGTGTGTCAATGTTTTACTGAGAGCATGGTAAAAGGGGGATAACATGAAAGCTTTGCGCGCACAAGAGAACGGATGGAGTCAGAAGGGAGAACAAAAAACAACGTAAACCCTGTAACAAGCATTCCTATAGCTGTCCCCATGGAAATGATGCTCTGGACGTCACAACAGACAGACTATAGGAGGAGATGGAGGACATGCTGCAGCAAACAAGACACCTTATATCCCCTCTGAGCGGTTGGTGTTTTTTCACTAAACTCACGCTACAACGCAGTTGAACAATATTTTTTTTTTGACAATTTGATAAACACTCAGATATACTATTACAAATATCACTATGAGCAAAGTTAAATGATACCAATGTATGTTTGTACGTAGGGATGACATGGTTTGAGGCAGCACAGATCATTTCTATACACGGGATCTACAAGACAACACATCAATAATTACACTACTGTAATGATATAACACATCTATAGCATAATAAATATCTACAAAAATGATGATAGATGTCTACCTTACTACAACAATAATGTATACAGTCGTGTCTGAATAAAAAGTCTTGAAATTTAAATGAGTGTTTGTTGCCCCCTAGTGTTCATTTGACTAACTGATTTATTCTGATCCTCTGATGTTATAAACATGTGCAGCATATTGAAAAATTTTGCGTTCAAGAGTTTGTGTTTTTATGGAGCTAATGAATGCAGAAATGTATTGCATCCACTTTAAAATAATTGCTGCATTTATGAGACAGTTTATTCATAAAATCAGAAACATTTAAATGTGCTCTGTTTTTCAAATTGATTGAGATTAGTTTCCTCATTTGCACTCTTTGAACATCCAGAATTTTCCCAAGTTCCTGTGAGGAGTTTTTAACTTGTCACTGGTAATTATAATATCATTAACTCTTTATAAAACATTGACTAATTCTATACCATAATTTCTAACGTTTGCTTTTTAAGTTTTATTTGTGTTTTCACTGTTAATGGAAGAATCTGGGTTGAAAATTTAAACAAGAACTGAAATGTACTAATATTTAATTAAGTACTTTTAGGAAGAAAAATAAAAGATATCAAATAATATGTTTGTATTTTAATGTAAACAGCAACTATAAGCTTATTTCACAAACCAAATGTACTGTATATAATTTACTCTAATTTGGAAAACCTTTGTCATCTCCAAACTTTTTTAGATGGCCACAGACCCTGTGTGTATTTTAAAATCAGAGGGGAACATCTTGGACAGACTACCGTAGATGCAACCATGAAAAATCCACAGAAACTTGCCGCACTAACCCTCTTTTGTCTCTAACATCCTTCCTTTCTCTCTTTGTTTATCTTACCCCCTTTATTTCCTCTGTGACATCTATCAATAGACATGAACTCAACTTCATTTTAGCCTCAGTGTGAATCCCACAGTCTGACTCAGGTACAGAAATGTCATGTATGTTTAAATGATGTGACACTTCAAAACTACATCCTGTTTGACATCATCTCAGACCGAGCTGTGAATCGCTCATGAAATCGAAGCTTAAAAACAGCAGAGTATTTCCAGAGCTGTAAAGTAGAAAGACGTCACAGTAAACAAGTTTGTACGAGGGAGTTTATTAGGAGAGATGATGCCGGGAAGATGAGGAAAGCTTCACTCTTGATTCCCAGTCTTGCTACCCACATCCTCTTTCCCACCTCTGTGATACTCCACATGATGCTGTTTAAAGACTTGTAACACAGAGGTTTTCCTCTTAGGTCATAGCATGATATCTGTAAAAAACTGTGGAGACCAAATGTAAAGGGAAAGAGTAAATAATTGTACAGTCATTATGTCACATCTACTTCATCTTTTAAATTAACGCATACGCAACTCTCGAGAGTTAGGCCTTCACTGCTTTGGCGCTCAACTCCAGATGTCTAGCCTTTTTGGTACAGTCATCATCATCCTGCTTCCAACTCCCGTTTTTTCTATCTACTCATTTTTTTTAAAGCCTTTTCTTTACACTTGCAATGGATAGATTTACCAGCTAAAGTAGACAAATAAACGTGCACTAGCCTCAGTGCAATTTTGTAAAGAAATTGAGATGCATCAGTCATTAAATGTCTGTCTATCATATTATGTTGCTCTGTTCTTAACATATCTTATTTTGTTTTACCATATTGTATTGTATTGTATCAAATTGTATCATGTTGTATCTTATTGTGTCAAGCGGTTTCATAATGTGTCATGATGCATTGTGTCGTGTGTTCTTGTAACGTGTGGTATTATGGCATATTGTGTTGTACTGTATCGTATCGTGTATCATATATCATATCGTATTGTATCATATCATATATCATATATCATATATTGTATCCTATCTTGTAGTATTGTATATCATATATCGTACCATATCATATATCATATATTGTACTGTATCGTATCATTTCATGTCCAAAAGACTCAGGAGTTCTGCAAACTTATCATTAATATATTGTATAATTAACACTGTATCAGATGCAAATCATAACTGCCTCACTCTAGAGATGTCAAACCCGAGTTTGTGAAAACCTACCTACCTCAGTCTTGGCCTAGGGATCCAAACAAACCTTAACCCAACAACAGTTAGTGGAATTAACTAGTAAACTATACAGATTGATTTTGCAGTTTAATTAGGCAAATAATTTTTTTCATTGATTTTGGAAACAGTTTGGTCAGGGGTATTAGGAAATATGAGGGTATGAAAATCAACTGATTAGAAAATGTATCACAAAAAAAACTCATTCTCATACATTTATGAGGAAACACAAACAAAGCAAAGAAACTCAAAACAAAAGATCCACAACCAGGCTTTAAAATGCAAATTGCATTTGTTTGCCTTTTTTCAGTATGAACCCCTTGGCAGCATAGTCGAGGTAAAAAAAAAAAGAAGTGCAGTTAGAACTTCTTGTCTTCAGGCTTTAGGCTTTTGCCAAAACTATTTTAGGGTTTTCTTCTCTTTTTGACAGAATCCCCCCACTTGTACTGCTTTTTGTCTGTTTGCTTGTCTGTTAAAACATTATCTGAGCATATCAGGTAGATGTAATTGTGTTTGCGTGCACATCATAGTCCAGTAACCACATTAGTTGAAATCAGAGACATGTATGAATGTGGGATGACCACAAGAGGGCACAATTAGACTGAAAACAACCTGACATGCGCTTACTTTTTTTTTTTTTCTTCTTCACCAGATGATTCACTCCAGTTTAACACGATGAGTTTTGGGCTCACAAAGATTTTTGTTGTCATATGTAGGAGTATAGAGACATTATTAAGAGGAAAATAAGTGACAAAGAGGGCCCTTTTACTGTCTTTCCAAAAAAATTTAGCATGGCTGATCTGCAGTTTGTGTTTGTGAGATATTTACTGTGATTTGGTCCAAATGTTTGATCTTTTTGGCAAAAATGCAGATTTATTAATGAAGTTAGACTTTGTACAAACAAGATACCAGATTATGAGGTAGTCAAATGAAGTATAGGATTATAAAGGTTTTCATAAATTTTATCTGTTGGAGGTGTTGGGGGCAGCTTGTACAGAGAAATGTAGCGCAATAATAAATAAATAAATAAATAAAAAACAAGAAAAAAACTTGTATGTGAGTTTGTTTTCAATACTTTGTTACTATCTACCAAGTATATTTATCATCTATCTACCATGGAAACAACATTTTCTCAGAAATTCTGGTCACACACACACACAAAAAATCACTTTCGACTGACAGAAAAGCGAAAACCTAAAGAGCAGGAGGTTGCATCATGAATTGTGCTGAACCATAATGACCCAGAATATGTTCCAACATCAGGATTATGATCCGTCCAAAATGACTCTGCAAATCCAGGACTGCTGAGGCTGTGAAAACAATCACAGAGGGAGTGTTTCTGAGGAATTTAATCTGGCAGGAGACAGAGCAGGACTCCCTCCAAAACAACATTTTCAATCACACAGGAATCAAATCTTTATCCTGTGTCATCCTGCTTCTGTCATCTTCAGTATTTTTAGCCGTCTGCAGGGTCACCCAGCTGTGAGTCACGTGCACACAGCATGCAGATGGTAACTGTGACTTCTTGACGCAAGTCCAGAAGAAAAGTGTGTTCATATTCTCTGTCTCCCTCAACACACACACACACAAAGACATACACATCTGTCCCTCATGAATAGTGCATCCTCTGAGATCTTGTTACAACTGTGGGCCATCTGTATGCAGACAAAAACAAATGAAGTTAGCGTCTTCTGCCTCCTGTATAATCACTACCTCTCAGCTTCACTCTCATCTCATATCTACCAAACAAGCTTTTATTCATTTTATGTATAAAACACATAAAAAGTTACAGTAGAGCACAATCTAACTCAGTTAAATCACTCCGTTTTCCAGTGATCATATCATTTACTTGTTATGTAACAGTCTGTAATTTGCCTCTGCTAATCAGCTTACCAGTTAACTGAGAGTCCAACTTCATACATTCACTGAAAAATAATTCATCTCAGAATTTCTGTATTTCTGCAGGAGTTTCTTCAACAACATCCATGACCTTGAATAGTTAAAGGAGGAGTTTTAATCAGAAGAATCAAAAGGAAACAGTTTATTCAAATACTTATTATTCAAATGAGTATAAAGATTCACGGAAAATCACTGCTACTAAAAACAACATTTTTTAAAAAACAAGTCTTTTTAAAACTGAAGGATCCTCATATATAGATAATAGGGAATAAGAGGAAGACCAGGAGCATTTGTGTCTCAATTTCTCATACAGTATGTTCCAAGTGGACTAACATAATAAATTGGCA